AAGCTGTCAGAGATTATACATGTTTTTTTTCTACGATAGAGACAGCATACGATGTCAAGACTAGTCTCGGGGGCTCTGAGATGTGTGTAAAAGACACGAGACAATAGAGCGATTGGTAGAATCAGAGTATTCATAGTATACACACACACACACACACACACACACACACACACACAGAATCACACACACACACACACACACACACACACACACACACACATGTCCACGAACCGAACCATTCATGGCCTTCCAAGGACGGAATACTCTGTGTTTCGACCTACCACTGTCCACGTCTCAGGAAGGAAATGCACAAGCAAGCACAACAAGCATAGATCTAATATCGGGTATCACGTAAAGAGCCCATAAAACTAGACTAAGGAAAGATGCAACGGAGCGGAAACTGTCTTTTGTCCCATTCTCTTCTCTACCTGAAGAAGTCTGCAAGTGCTATGCACCAATTTCATGTCTCTGGACTGCCAGCCAGGTGCATCCATACATTACATACAAGGACATACATGAAAAAGAGGAGGATCCGCGCAATTTTTGGACCGACACCTGGATCTGGAACCGAACGACTTTTGCCCTGCCGCGATGTTCCCCTTCAAACTCAATACCCCTGCGTATGCTGCGGCACATGCGGCGCACGAAGATGGGGAGTATGGTACGCGTACGGTCGGTACGGCACGCACAGCACTTGTTTGGACGATTGCTCGGAGATTCTCTTCGACTCCCCCGTCGTACCGCGAGGAGAATATGATAAATCGGGTCAGACTGTGTGGTGCCTTCTTGGAGAGTGTTGTATGTGTAAAGGCGTTTTCTGGAGGTAGTGGTATCGCTAAATAGGCCTTTTCTTTTGCAAAGAGCCGCAGAAATCCCGGTTTTCCTTGACCTTCCGGAGCCTGTATGCAGAACCAGACAACCAGGGCGGGAGGAGGGTTTGTGTGAATGACCCGAGGGTTAACGTGTGAGGTTGGATCCTGGCGATGGTGGGTTCGTGATATGCATAATGTTGCCCACATGAGATGACATGGCGGAGACTATGTAGCAAGCCACACGAGGTTGTTTCGGACCAGCAGATCGGCCCTATACAAAAACAAAATCTGTCCAGGAGAGTCACACAAGACCTGGACATCCCTTTCCATGGGTCGTCGAGTCCTTCGTCTTGGTGTTGGTCTGAACCGGTATTTCAGATTCCTTTCTCGTCATCGGAAGGCTTTGGTTGCTCGATATTCCAAGGGCTCTGCGCATGTTCTCTTCAGCCAGGTTGAAACAAGCGCTGGTAACCCTTCAAAAACAGTGATCGCGAAATATGAACCACTCCATCTCCAAATCTCCCTATCTCCATATATCTGGGAGATGCGACATGCGCCGATTAGACAGCCAAAAAAGGCTGATCGCGTCTGAAGTCCGTATGCGTGGAGCTGCTCAATATCTCTTCCTTGTTGGCTCTGGACTTGGGCTCCTCGTCACGCTTCTCTCATCGCGGCCCCTCATCTTCAGCCACTTTTTCGTACTGAGCTCCAATTCTCTCTCCAGCTCAGGGCTCGGTTCTTTTCTGTGGATGAAATTGCAGAAGCCACCCCTGACGCACCCTTCGCCAGAATTCAACCTGCAACAAGCTTCCCGGAAATCCGTAACCGGTGACAGCTCGCAGTAGATCGGTCGCGCTGCGTACCACCTGCTGTTGAGGGCGTCGCAAGCCGCTTGTGCCGAATCTTCATATTTGAATCGCGCATACACGTTGCCGATCAGGTGGTCATTATTGTTATCACAGACAACCACCTCCTCAACCTCGCCGTACTTGCACATTTCGCACCAAAAGTCTTCGTAGAAGGCATCAAAGTGATTCTGCAGCTGGGAGGCGTTCATCTTGTTCTTAGGGTCGTAGGCCGGATTCTGGTAGAGGTTGGGGAGAAGGATCGTCTGCGAGTATGAAGGTTTGACATGCTTCCGCGAGCAGCGGTCGCCGTGTCGACAAGCGCCGATTTTGTAGTAGAAGGAGCAGTTGACCTGTAAGATGTGGTTAGTTCTGGTTTCTTGTAAAATTGGAGACTTTGGGAGGAACCTACTTTGTCTTGTTCTGTTCCGAAGATGGAAGCAAGATAGTTTGCCATGGTTGGTGTGTTTAATAAGGGTTGTGTCTTTGTCGCGATATTATCTTTTGTCAGTGAAGATGTGACAATGCGCTGAAGTGGTAAGTTAAATGCTGCGTCGAGGAATATGGCAAAGATAGTTGTAGAAACATGCCATGGCAATGCAGAAATAAAGTCGCGTCGGACGACAGACACGGTCACGTGATCAAAGATCTAGTAGGATGCACGTGACTATTATAAATCCGCCACGCCTTCTAGAATTTTCTTGGCGCCGCCACTTTCAGGGGCTTCTTTGTCGGTTCATCGTGACTGTGTACTTTGATACCTTGTATACTTTCTGTCATAATGTCGTCAAGCGTTTCTGCTATCTCCGGGCGATGTGCACCTCTGCCGCGCGGTTCGACCAACATACTCCACGAATCTACATTTTGTCTATGTTTCTCAGCCGAATACGCTCTGAAAGCCCGTGATCTGGGCCGACCCTCCAGCACCCGTGGTCTTTACGCTGGCATTTTGAGCTCCGCTTCTTCCATAGAAAACGACTTGTGGAGGGCTAGGGATACCCAAGGCGCCATCCCATTGAACAACGACGGTGCCTGACGTGGATTGCGATGACAGTGTTATGCTCACCACTTCCATTCCGTTGTAGTATGGGAAGCTCGAAGCTGGGTAGGTGTAGCTGGGAAATACCTCGATTGTGAGGCTAGGTAGCCACTTCTGCGTCCACTTGTTGTTGCCTTGGTAGGTGTCGCCCCGGACGACAATGCTGCCCTCACGCACGTAAACGGGGTTGTACTCCCACTCCAGGTTGACCGTGGCTGATGAGCCGCCCTGATGGACCGCAGTCTTGTTGTAGTACTCCAGATACGCACGAGCTGTCCGGTTGCCCACCGAGGACTTGGGGAAATAGACGTCCCGCATTCCACCTTCCTGGACGATCGGGGCCACGAAAAGGTTGTCGCCAAAGAAATAAGCATCAGTGGTATCGTATACCGAGGTGTCATCTGGAGTTTCCAAGAACAGAGCACGCATGACAGGGATACCGGTCTGCGTCGCCTGATAAGTGAAGGACTTGATGTACGGTATGAGCGCATGGTGCTCATTTGCGGTTGCTTTGAGCACTGAGACAAGTCGCGTTGGATATGGAGCATACCACGGGGTATGGTTAGTACCAACCATGATTTCATACACCGGTGAATAGGACGAAAAATGCATCCAGCGCGCCCATAGCTCAGGGGTCGGCTGATCTGCAACAAGATTAGGAGAACGTATGTATCCCCCGGTGTCGGATGACCAGGTAGAGAATCCCAGCAACGAGGCTCGAATGCCAGAAGCAATGCTGTAGCGGAGGCCAGTGAAGTTGGCATGAGAGTCGCCGTTCCAAACATTGGTCAGAGACCGCGAACGGTCAACGACTGACCGGGCGAAATTGTAGAACCCGGATTTGCCCCATTTGTTGGCCATTACCGTTTCGCAGATCTGTTCGAAGAGTCGCATCTGGATATTTTGTTCCCAGACTGATTCATCAGCACATGACAAATGGAGACCACCGACATATAAATGGCAGCCGCCGACTGGTCAATTTGCTTACCTGGCATCTCCTCTTCCTCACCACGATCAATCTTGAACCCTTTGACCCCGACCGACGGGAAATATGCCATCTTGTTGAGCACATACTCATATGCGGCAGGAATGGACAAGTTCAGGGCCGGTCCGAGGAAGAACTCTGGGTTAATACCGGAGAATAGCCATCCACCAGCAACCGACGCATTGTAGAGCTCCGTGTCCAAGAACGCACGATTAGCCGCCCATACTTGAAAGTCAAAGCCCCAGTTGGACAGATTCGCAATGAATTCTCTGGGCGTGGGGTAGTAGACTGGATCAAAGTCGAAGTTCCCCCACGAATAGTTCCCCGTGCCATAGGGCCTGTCCGCAAACATGGAGGTGGCATGGATCTGGTTGGCGTAGAGATGATCGATGACATCGTAGTAATTCTGCTGTGCATTGGATACGGAGCCATGGAAATCTGTCTCAAAATTGTCGGACCAGAAAGTCGGGCCATATCCAGCATCCGGAGGCATGGTGATGCGTGCCGAGAGTCCCGTATATGTCTCAATGATCGACTTGAAATCTCCCGGAGTGGTTGCCAATATAATGTAGTATGTCAGACTGCTGGTGTTGAAGATGAACTGTGTTTGAGCCGGAGTAAATTCAAAGGATCCCATATCTAATGTGTCAGCATAGACTCCATAGCCAGCACTGCTGTAGAACGCAGGCGCTCGTGCGTTGTCCCAGTTGACGCCGACCGCGTTTCCAACGCCTTTGAGATCGAACTCCACGCCATTGTTGGTCAGAGAATTGTTCCAGGGGTACTCCCAAACGCCATAAAAGCTCTCGTGAGGGCCAGCTGTAAACTGTGCCCCTGTAAACGCGACGCTGGAGTTGTACTGAATTCTGACGACGTTGGGCTGGACGAGGGACCAATCAATAAGGCCTCCGCTGTTGGCGACCACACCATCATTGGAAGCAGATACTGCATCTGCTGTGTTGTTTGTATCGCCACCGAGAATAGCTTTGTTGACCACTGTGATACCTTGGTCTGATGTGACATGCAGAGAGAATGGGTCGGTGCCTGAGACAGAGACAGACACATCAGCTAAGACCAACCCCAAAAGGCCGCAACCCAAGGATAGCAACGGCCACATGTTGTTGACAAGTTGTCAAGTCTCTTCTTTCGCCTTCGTATGGAGCGGTCGAGTTTCTTTCCCAGAAACAAATTTGTATCGAGGCCGCATTGTACCTTTGTACTTGACATATGGAAAATACTACACCGAATACCGAGCATAATTTGGAGGTATTCAGCCGTGCCAGCCCCGAATGCTGCATCAGTTGTTTCTCCATGTTAAGAAATGCAATATAGCCTATTTGTTCTGCTGCGGCCAGGCTAGAAAAGGTAACAGATCGTCACGGCAAGCATAAACCGGTTAAGGAGCAATATGTCCATGATGTATAAGTGTGGGGAACCCTGTCCAATGCGGAGCACCGTAGATCCTTGTTCGGGGGAGAACGACGATGCAAAGGGTGGCTCCACTGCCCAGCAGAGAACAGCGACGATTGATATCTTCCCACGCATTTCATTCCCAATTATACGACCAGATCTTGAAAGGAGGGGAAGGAGATTCGTTGGATGTTGAAGTGCATGTCATTTTTGATTCGAATAAACCGTCTACTCTTCGTCGTTAGCTGATCCATATCGAAATGTAAGATTCCACCAGTAGAGATCCGAGCTGCCATGAAACAGAATGGGGAAGGTGTGCTTGCAGCGCAGACGCTACCCTGCAACTCGACAACAACTGCGAAGTTACCCTCCTCCGCGATTTCACCATAGCTGATGTCTGACAGCGGTCGCGGAACATTTGAACAGAATCTCTCCCATCCGTTCACCGCCTGTAATATATTTAGCCATGAAGATGTTGATGACAGTGAGAGCGACTCAAGGATACGCAAGCCAGGGGGACGAGACGCGCGAAGTGAAGAATGTAGGTAGATCCTGCGCCAGGCCGCCACTAAATATCGGCTACATGTCTCATTCAAAGGGATCTTTCACAGGCTGGTATGAAGCTCAATGTTTTCCGGCAAGAGGAACCGCGAAAGACAGACATTGGCCACGGTGTGTGTAGCTGTAATTCATTCGCGGCGAAGGTCATCAAGTTGAAAAAGCCGAAGACACACTTGCCGAGTAAATTGTTGATGCAGAGGTGAATCGATTCTCCTGGTAAAGAAAGGTGCGGCACAACCTCCAGATATTGCACACACCAGTAGCACCACACATTCACAGCACCTTCGAAAATAGTGCAAGCCACGGAAAGGAATACAAGTTCAATTAATTGATTTTGCCAAGGAACCTGTGCTGGAGTGCCCTCGGTCTGATGAGGGAGGTATCAATCACACAAAGATGGCCTTGCTCCGTCTGGCACAATAGTGTGAATACAGGGTTTGAACCCCCAACCTACACACACAGAAAGAAAAAAAATTGAAGACCTCGGGATAGTTGTAGTTAGGGAGCCCATAGAAGAGGTTAACCTGGAGCTCTAAACTATCTTTGTTGTGTTCAGGAGTCGAAGCCGTTGTATCACATTGTGATAGCCCGTCCCCAGGGATATTGGATATCCCTGGTACTTCGTTACATCGCTGAATGAACTCGGATAGAGTAGAGGCGGCAGATTGGGGATATCCGTTCGCTTCGGTCATCCTTCATCGGTCTTGGGATACAATTCCGAAACTGTAAAATATATGTGAAGAGAATGGAGGTGTGAACATACCAGTAGTGGGGCCAACGCACTTTTCAATGGGAAGGTCACCCAGGCGGTCACTTGCTCATGTGATTTTCCAACTTCACACAGTCGACGTGGAGACCTTCTCATCTCGCTGAAACATCACCTTTTGACAGTCCATCGCGCTCAGACCAGCGCTCAAGAGAATCAACGACTCCGTTGTCATGCTCTGCCACATGTTGCAGTAACAGCAAGGACAAGTGGCCTTTTCGGTTGAGGATGAGAGCGAGAAGGGAGACATCTCTGGTAAATACCGTCTCCCGGCAACATCGAGAGAATATGAGCCCTTCGGGCTCGAGAAATGATGTTGTGAGATTGAATGGAAGAAGAGAAAAGAATTTTGCAACTCTCCAAATTATCGGCTGTGGAATGTTGTCGTGACAAATGCTGCCTGAGACACGTCACTGGCTGTTGCCTACTGTTCATCTGTTGATCGTGACGGTGTCACAACAGCTTGACAGATGGAAGTGAATACGAAGTTTGGAGGTGAAAATGGTGCCTGGCAACATGAAGACGAAAAGGGGGTGCCAAGAATGGAAAGCTTGGACTACGTCAGAGGACAACCGGATTCCGAGGATTGCTCAGCAACTATCCGACCTCGCCGACTCCTCAGCCACCCAGCCTGTTGATGGAAGCGACGAGAGCTCAAAATACTTGATGGATACGAGGTGTTCTGTTAACTAACGACCGCCGAATCTACAGATCATCATCTTTGCTCTGTGGGCAAATCGAATACAAGCTCGTCTGCCATCCCGGTGTTTGTTGATGTCCCACCCTGCAGGCGGCGTCCAAATGGTCAGACTGTGATATCAGCACCGAGGGACATGATCTCAACCACCTTTACGGCTCTCAGGGCTCTCAAGCTTCTTCTACCTTTGGACTTGTGAAGACCTCCCAGCAGAATCCCCGTGAACATGGCGAAAGGTAGAAGCATGGTTTCTGAGCGGCCACGTTTCAGCCCTCCAACGTCAAAAATTTCTATCTTCGTCTCCTTTTCATTCTCTGTTTAGCGAAGATTATAATATAGTTCTTCCATATCGCCCCTGGCCTCTATGCTCGGCTTGCTTTGTTTGTCCGCAATATCTACTGCTTGAATAGCTTGACCCTAACCATACCTGTAAGATCCGAGAACAAGCTAATATGACTTGTGGTAGTATTCTTGGACAGCTTCGATCACAGGCTTACATGTATCTACTACCTTGAGAGCGTTATGACCTCCAGAAGGGACCACACAGCAGTAAATCCATCATCTCAGAATTTGCAGGCGTAATACCATGGAGGGAAAGGACCAAGTAACACGATTTTCTTTTCTACAGCGCTCTACTGTAGCCTAAACTCTCAGTGCTGGGCATATTAGTGCTAGTATATCATTACAAGCACACAAGAAACTATCACTAGAGAGTGTGCCCGTACGCTCTATACACAATGGCAAATGCAGATCAACTGTTTTCTTTCCTTTAAGCCTGACACGTGACTGTGGCTGTGACGAGGCTGAATGGCGGTGTTTTGCGGCTTGTAAAAAGTGGTATGAGCTCTGAAACTCGCTGGCCAATCATCATCTTCCCGAACCTCAATCGCAGTTTCGACAACTTTGGACCTTTGACCTCTGTGCTCTTACAACTCCTCTCCCATCGACTCTCACCTCACATCTCAACGGCCTCCACCATGTCGGTCGCACGCGCAGCTTTCTCTCTCGCTAGGCGTGTGCCTATGTCAGCTGTCCGCGTCGCTCCCCGAACATTCACCACCATCACAGCTCGCCGTACGTACAATTGAACCCTCGAAGCTTCGACGATCTACTCGGAGAAGCTGTTTCGACATTGACTGCCTCATCGGAGCTCGACTGACTGATATGGATGCTTACAGGAGCAAGCAAGTTTGATTTGAAGCCCGGCGATCCGGAGGGCAAACTTCTCCCTTTTGAAGGTAAGGACCCTCATGAGACAGCCTCAGAGTTGGAAGACCTTGTACCCCAGAGAAATTACAAGTGCAAAGGGAAAACATACTGATCTTGGCAACTCTGCTTCTCCAGAAATCAAAACCGAAGCCGATCTCCTTCCACCTGGTGCCGCGCCTGGTACCGTCCCTACCGATCTCGAACAAGCAACTGGTCTGGAACGTCTCGAAATCTTGGGAAAGATGCAAGGCATTGACATCTTTGACATGTCACCACTCCCGTCGGATAGAATTGGTATGTTTTCTTGAGAATGGCTAGCTCCAGGAAAAATGGAGCGGCGGTTGTGTTCCTCGACAGACACGCTTACAAGATTGTGTTGTTCAGGTACATTCGAGGATCCCATTGCAGTGAAATCAGCTGGAGCCGAGTACCAGGTCGGCTGCACTGGCTCTCCCGCCGACTCACATGTTGTCAAATGGCTCGTGGTATGTCGCACCTCTTTCCAATTCTCTATCGCGCTCTCAACGCCAGCCCACTCAACCGTAGATTCTGACTAACACCTTTTCTCTTCTTCCTCCTTGATCAGATGACCCGCGACCGTCCCTTTGAACGGTGCCCGGAGTGCGGGAGTGTCTACAGAATGGACTACGTCGGAGCGCCAGACTCTCACGACGACCACGGCCATCACGGCGATCACCACCACGGTCCCACCTACGAAACACCAAAGACCATGGCTGATTTCGTCAAGCCAGAGTACTGGTACCGATAAGCAGAGGAAGCGTCAAGATTTGAGGGCTGGTGTATCGAGCGAAGATGTTTGCTGGGGGAAGAAGGAAAAAACTGTACATAAATGAGGTTGCAAGGCTAGTCGCGGTGAGAGGATCAATCAATCCATGTGCACTTTGCCATTGAGGACGATCATGGTATAGTATATGCTATGCTATGCTATGCTAGTTCTCTATTCGGTTTTCCTTTCATGTCAGAGGTTGTCTCCGCCAGTCACGCCATACCACACCGTTCATCTGTCCTTTGTGCATGGCATGTCCCGTTTCAGGATCTCCTTCACGTGCTATACCGTGTCCTTCCAAGCTGTAAACCTCCCCTGTTCCAGCGCCTGATGTCCCGTCCCCTCCCGTTAATCCCAGGCTATCACTCACCACCGCCGCCGGCCGGCCGCCTTGATCCTGTCATCTACGTAACATGGCGCATATAAAATACCCGAATATCAGGCACTGGATAAGCGCAAATGTGGGCGGGCTGTCAAGACGTTGATATTCAAGTGGAAGTTCAGGGAAGTATTTCTCAAAGGAACATTTCTCTTTCGACCTAGAGTTTGGTTTGGATTATATATTCGTAGATAGCTGGGACCGACCGATACGATAGGTGTGGTTTACTTGTATGCACAGCCCGTTCCTCTCGAAGAGTCAGGCACGCCACGCTTCTGTCTTGATGTCTTTCTCTCTGTCACGAATCATCTGTGCGTGACATGGGCGGAAGGAGGGAGAAAAGACCTAGACGTGTAAGGACTTACCTGCTTGCTTGCTCCATCTATTCGCGAACTGTCCGGCCAGTCATCCGTTCGTCGACACCAACGAACGACCAGCTTCCCGGCTGAGATATCCTCCTGTTTAATGCTCCCTGTCCAGCACTGTTCGACGCCACCAATGTGACTGTCTTGTTTGCTCAACGGTGCTTTGGTTTGTCCGCCATCTCGACGGCCAAAAATGGACCAGATTGTGTCCTCCTGGCCGAAGCCTCGAATGGGTTCTGCAGAGATGATCGCCTGTGAAAGAGCGGGTATACAAGAAACGTGACAGCGGCAGTCACTTGCTGGGTGGCAAGGATAATGTCTGGGTCAGGTTTATGCGGACCGTTGAATGACATCCTGCGCGCTTTGGAGGAGTATAATGCGGTGTTCGAGAGGCGCCCGCGTGCGCTCTGTTTTCGCAATATCCTTTGAACAAACCAACGTACGGTGGCTAACGATTCCAGGAGGACGTTTTTGCTTCTTCAGTCGAACGATCGCCCGGTACCGAACAAAGAGTTCATCTCAAATCCCAACTGTCAGCTATTCTCGATTCTCGCACTCTTTTTGCGCCAGTTCGCAAGATTTAGGCAAACGTATGTTCAGCATGATGGTGCTGTGGACTCTTGTCTCAGGCAGGTACTTGTGCCCTCTTTTGGTAATGTCTCGAAATTTTGCGGCGAAGTAGGCCCAGGTCCTCACTTCGAAGCCTTGTTCATGTCCATAATGCAATAAGCCCAGAATAGCTGGAGGGCCTCGGCTGAGAGGCCTTTTCGTTGTCCTTCTCTCTGCGTTTGGTACCCTTGATATCTCGTACATTTTCCGACAACAGAGACACAGCCTAAGGACAAACCGGCATACCTCTCCAAGGTTAGGTTGACTGCTACCAGAGGGATGCTGGCGCTTGTTCCTTTCCCCGCTGTGATTGCGGCGTAGGTTGTTCGCACGGGAAATCTACTCCTTTGATGGACCACCTAGCCAGATGGCGTTGCTCTTTATCCTCCCAACAGCGGTGAGTCGCGCCATCTTGTGATTGTTCAGCCCCTCTGCAGACCAGTTTCGTGAACAGTGCCTGCCTCCACTGAAACGGACCTTTGACTGCCTTGCATGCCGCCTTCCCAGCAAACGAAGCAGTGAATGAAGCTGCCTTCGGTGTGAACGGTTCATAACCCCACCATCATCAAGATGCATCCCCTGGACGCCGGTGTAGAGGACAAATCGTGGAATGGCACCTGAATAGCCCACCAAAGAAATCCAGCAAAAATAGAATGCCTTCGAACCAGAAACAGTCCAAGATTGGCAAGAAATGGAAGCGCCCTCACTCAAACATACAGCCCGTCCAAGGAACCGTGCAAGTATGCGAATATTCCTCCATGAGCTCTGTCCGTTGCTAACATGGCTCCAGGAAACCGATACCATCCGACCTGAAGGGTATGGCAATGACTCGTGTAGAGACTATGACAAGACGAAAGAGAAACCAAAACGGGACGAGAGCAAGGCTGCCAAGAAAGGGATCAGAGAGAAGGCCTGGGGCTGGGCCAAGAAAGGCTGGTCTCGGATTCATGGCGATGGGGGAAGCAGTACCGAGACTGGAAGTATGGGGCAACGAGCCTAATCATATCGGTGGTATCATGTACTGTCAGCTGATGCAAGGGATCGGGTAAGAAACGTAGACCTAAACCTGAGGCGGTGCTGTGGATGAGAGGTCGCCCGGGGAGGACGGCATGTACATCTTGTGCGACGGGAATGTCTCCAAGGCTCGAGAGCGAGAGTTAGCCTCGTGCGACTGACGGCGTGTAACAATGCACCACTGCAGCCTGTGTCAAGCACGACAACCATGGATATCTCTTGGGGCTTTTCCTGTCTTCGATCTTGTCTTCGAGTAAAGCAAAACGTGAATTGTAACAAGGGATTCCAGCTGGAGCCGCGATATGCCAGTCGACGACCTCGAGAAAGGAACTCACACCACCGATGAGTGTCCAGAGAGTGTCAGCAGTGAGTCCATCTGACACATTCAGACACAGAAATAACAGAATGAATAGACTGGAGTTGCTTGCGTCGCTTCGTCAGTATAAGTCGCCATCTCCAGCATCAGAAACATGATAGAAAGGTCCCGGAGGAGGAAAACACCGACGTTCGCGCCCGTAAGTGCTGCCAAAGGTCGTGATCACGTCTCTGATGTATGGATATTAGTCGAGTGTGCCGTCGGAGGATGGCCGAGAATAGCGACCGTCGTCGACAGCGATCCCAACTTTATGATCTATCGCCGGTTCGGATTCTTGAGAACACGGCTGCTGCTGTGGCATCAAGACATCCTCCGAGAAATGGAGTCCCGGCTCGATTACCAGGACATGCAGGACGCCGGGTCAGCGAAGACACGACGATACCTGTCGAACCGGGACGGCGACGACATGCGATCCCCAGCCGTGCGTCGAGTCTTGTTCCAGGAGCTCGACGCACAACTGAAGGCTTACGGTGTGCCCTTTGCCTGGTCTCGATGTATTTGAGATGGAACGAGCTGACCGTGGCAGTTAAGACGATCTTTTGGTGCGTTCCGCAACACTGTATCAGTGGCAGAGACCTTGCGACGAAGATCGCGAGAGCATCGTCAGTCTGATCCACAACGACGGGAGCCTCGCGCACCGGGACCGGAGCTGGATCAGGAAGATTGACGACTTGATCGTGCTTGGTGGAGAACCAAACTCTTCCTGGGTCCATGGCCTGGTCAGCCACCTCTTTACATGGACCAGCAAGTCCTTGGTCCGAGTATGAAGCCCTTCTGCCGCATTTCTGTTATCGTCCCGAGATTCAGGGCCGAGGCTGAGACTGACCTGGGCAAAATAGTGCTTGTTGCGCAACAAAGTCCAGAACCGGAAACTCGAAGGTTCGACGATCCACGTCCAACTGTTTGAGAGACAGCGATTCAACCGGGTCGTCGGGTTCCTGTACACCATCGCCATCGCAGCCTTGATCATGGGCCCAGTCCTGGTCCTCTATAGGTTGAGACACCTCGACGGGTACGCGCAGAACTCGTTGGCGTTTGCCTTTACCATCGCGTTCGCATTGCTCTGCTCCACGGCGACGGCTGCAAAGCAGCACGAGATCTTTGCGGTGACTGCGGCGTGAGTGCATCGCCTCGTATTGATCCTATCTTGAGTAAACTGACTGACTCTTTGCAGTTATTGCGCCGTCCTTGTAGTCTTTACCTCTCAGAACACAAATGGTGAAGCACAGACTCTGCCCACGACGGTTCCACAGTCATCTTCATGAGCGATGGCTGGCAATAAATGAGGAGGAGTGACAATTCAGTCCGGAAGTCTTGTCTGTCTTATTCTGATTTGATAGGAACCGTTGAGGGACATTTCGTATTGGAGAATGCAGACCACTAGTGCGTATCTTCTGACCTTATGTGCCGAGCCTTGAATAGAGGGTTATAATTAATATACTTGGGTCTTGGGGAAATTTGAGGTTTGTCCACGGGGAGCCTCTGAACAGCGTCGTGTTTGGAAATGAATTGATTCAGTTTTTCTTCGCAATAGTTGAAATCGGATCCCGGTATCATTGGCATGGTTTTCCTCAGAGGCGGAATACAAATCGATGAGCTGTAAAGGTGGAATGTGTGGGATTCTAAGAGACTGATCGTGTCTCCTTTGAGAGCACAGAGATACATCAACATGCCGCAAGATATTGAGAGTGCCAGAGTACTAGCAGAAGGTCTAAGGATAGCCTTATAGGTCTTCGCTCAGGCAATCCACCGTTGTAGAAGGCTCTTCTTTATAGACCGTACCCCCGAAGGGATCCAACAGAGAAAATTGCCATCTTGCGCTTCGCGACACACAGAAAGACGCTCACTTTCTCGCATTACAGGAACAATGGGGGAATGTAAATATTTTAATGAATGACATCTCAGGTATAAGGTACATTTGAGGCCTTGAACACATACCAATACAATAGACAGGGCTCAAATGCCACCATGCTTACTCATGTCAAGCCTTCTGCATGGTACATGCGGTGGGCAGGTATAGTAGCAAACCCGGGCTTCGGTCCGAGCAATTGTTGGCGGCTTTCGTCCCGGGTTGAGCGTCTAGTCGTGGCTGGTGGTTGGATCCCAGGCGCAAGGAGCATAGGAGTCGGGAAAATGAAGGCTCTTCATATCTTCTTCATCAAGCTCAAAGTCGTAAATAGCGGCGTTCTCCTCGATTCTGCTGGGAGTGACACTCTTCGGCAATGGTACATAGCCCTTTTGTAAGCTCCATCGTAGCAATATCTGCGCCCAGGTCTTGCCATGTTTCTCGCTAAGTTGTTTCAGAACTGGCTCGTTGGCACGCTCGCCGCGGACGACGGGACAGTATGCCTCGATGACGACGTTCCGCTTGCGACACCATTCCACAATGTCGTCGCGCGGAAGCCACGGATGGATTTCCCATTGACCAACGTCGATGGTGCCGCCAACTCCAGAGGTCTTGATGTACTCTTCCAACTCGTCCAGATGATGTACACCATAGTTGGAGACGCCAATGGACCGAATCTTCCCAGCTTTCTGAGCTTCGGCGAGCGCTTTCCATGCCCCGCACCGGGCTTCTTTGCCACCGTACGGAGAGTGGATGAGGTACAGGTCAATATAGTCGAGGTTGGTCTGAAAAAAGGATGACTCAATCGACTTCTTTGCCGCCTCGTAGCCCATACTCTTCGGTGGGACTTTGCTGGTGAAGAAGATTTCTTCTCGCTTCAGCCCAGAACCGCGAATCGCATCCGCACAGGGTTGCTCGTTGCGGTACGCGCGTGCGGAATCCACATGGCGGTAACCAACGCGAAAGGCATGCAGTGTCACCTCTTCGCACGTCGCCGCAGGAGTCTGGTAAACACCATAGCCCAGAGCAGGAATCTCGTAGCCGGAGTTCATCCGGTACGTGGTGTTGATGTCGAATTTGGTGGGGATCTGGGTGGCCATTGTCCGTCTGTTTCTCTCGAGCGGAGTGATCTTCCGGAGGATTGTTTGTTGGAAACGAAGGGTACGTCCGCTCAAGGGTGGCATTTGTAGACGAGGCAAAGGACGATAAGCCGAGATGATCAATGGAATGATGGTTTGTATCAGTAGATGCGGAGATGTTCACGCAAAGGGTCAATTACTCTGTCAATTGTCAATTAGGCTGGGCTGGCTGGCAAAGCTGGTTCGGGAAATCACCGAGACTTTAATATTATTCCTGTCTGACATGGGATTTCTTGCAGCGATGTGAGATGCGAGCGACACTGATATGAATCCGTCTATCAGATCCGCGGATGCTTCTTGAGTTGCTGATCTTGCTCAGAGGGCACATTGTTTCTGCGTCTCTCAAATACATTTGGATCTACCCAGATATACAGCTACTCGCTTGCTTGCTTATCATTCAACACCTTCATCGTCAAAGAGAATCAGATAGAGCGCTAAACTCGCCTTAACCCTGCAACACCTTCAAACTCAAGATTGAGCATGCAACCCCCTTCGCTATGTATAGATCAAAATCCCACAGGTTTGCTAAAACATGGCGACAGAAAAGAAAGAGTCCATGTTATACATAGAAATGCTTTACAGCCGTGGCGACGAATCCTCGCGCCAATCTTCGCCACTGTTCAACACTTTGTTTCCGGGCTCATCTAGCCTAGGGACGTCATCCTCGTCGTCCACAAAAGTGTCATCTTCCAGCATCGGATTGGCTTCGGGGTTCGACGACTTTGATGCCCGTTTGCCCTTATCATGGTCCTGCAATGTGTCGTCCGCCGAGATAGATATGCCTCGTGGACCCCAGCGGTTGACCTTCGGTTGCTGAGGGTTCTCATTGTTGTCGTCGTCACCAGCTTCTGTGTCCTGTTCCGGTGTTGGTCGGGCAGGGTTGATGACCCTGTTGACCAACCAGCCTTTCCGCAAGTCCTCTGCATCGACGATGCCACCGCCTCGCAGCTTGACTCTTTGCCTCGTCCAGTAGACCCACGCGAAGTCTATATAGAACGCAGTTTGAACAATGCCAAAGATGACCGAAATGGCATCAGGTTTCGACGGCGTGAAAGCCCGGTAGATCCAATTGAGAAGATAGAATGCTCGGTAGGAGCCTAGAGTGACGAGGTAGAAAGAGTCAATGACAGTCGGGACGGTGGTCTGTCGGAGGAGGAGAAGCTGCGGGAGAACGCAGACGGATTCCAGGATAATGGAGAACGTCCACAGGACTTCGGTAAAAGTCGTCCGGCGCGGTCCGTTAAAGGTCAAGCAGACCAGAGGAGCAGCAAGCATTGATGCTGCGGTGGCATAAGCACCCCATTTCCAGGCCTTTTCTCGCTCGCGGGTCCGCGCAAAGACTCGAGTCATCAAGATGATGATATAAATTGAAGACCAGATATAGAAGTTCTTGAGAATGAAATTCCACCATGATGCAGACGGCGGGACCCAGAACAGGTCGAGATAACGGGTGACGAAGACGGCAATATAGAGGATTTGGGTCAGCAAAGAGACGCCTGCGGGCTCGTTAGTTTGACTTGTTCAGTGAGGGGGCGCCCAGACTGTGTGATGAATCTGACCTTCGGCACTCTTGTTGGAATGGATGGCCCAGATGAGGATAAATTTGGAGGCGGTATGGGACACATCGCCCAGGATGCGGAAGATATTCATGTTCATCGTTGGCGAATCGACATGGCCAGAAAGAGCAGAGTGACTGTCGATTCAGGCTCGGCCCCCGAGAAATGGCAGAGTAACAGAATGTGATCCTGCAAGTCTAGGTCCCTTGTGAATTGAGAGTAGAAGAACCCAAACCAACAACCCAATATTGCTTTCGGGGAGAGGGAATTGGTCCTGAAGTGTGAATTGAGGCTGCCTGCGACGGGTGAAACGCGGCTTGACGGGAGAGGAGCAACGCTGAGGCTGAATGTCTTGGCTTGCCAGCGCGGTGCGCGGGAAAGAGGCGCTGCTGGTTGCTGCTTTTAAGCCGCTCTGCGCACGAGGTACCTCGTACCTACCTAGCACCCACCTAGTACAGAGTATCCCTGTACTGAGTAATTACATTCGTACTGCACTCGAATTCTTCCTCCTTTCCAATACCATGTCTACTGGTAAAGATCTGCAAAAGCAGATAAACGCTTGTCAATGTCCTCTGACTCGTCTATGTTGTACCTGTTCACAGCACCAGGAGAACGCTGTAACCTCACTAGACCTTCCCCAACGTTGCTAACCGATGCGTTCTAGGACATCCCTATCCACGAAGCAAGTAGCCAAACCAGCTGCCCTCCTCTCGTCCTGCAGTCTTCTCAGTGTCTTCTCCACATCGTCTCGGTGACCATCTCCCATTGGGATTCCCCGCGAGCAGTGAAATGTGATATTGGGTCGATTTTAGACGACCGGCATTGGTCAAGTGTTATGCGCGACCACCTTGTTGACCAACTCGCCGCATCTGAACATGTACGATACGGCATACTGTCGTTGAGCACCTCGTACTGTCTAGGGATCTCGCCGGCCCCCACAGCATAACCCTTTGCGGTCAGATTCACGATCCTTCCGGGGAGCCGGGTGTGGCCTTCTCTAGTCTATTAGGCTTGTTTTAGGTGGCTGGGGCTTTCGACTCTTTACTGCTATCACTCGTTAAGCGACCTGTGCATGCATCTCCACCAACCCTTGACTGTATTGCGAGTCTGCATGTCACGACAACACCCTGAAGCAATTGCAACAGCGATCTTCCTAGCCATGGTGAAAGCTTTGACTTGTTGCACGCTCCTACTAAGGAAACAAAACGCCTTCGGCTGGTAGCGAACGACTTATCCTCCCGGTGGGGAACTCGATTTCCGCGAGCGTCAAATAAACTTCCAGGTCTCTAGAGCCAGTCAATAGGTGTGAAGAGACGGGTACACACTTGCGGCCCAAGCTCAGTCACCATAGGGTATCAGGGCATGAGGGTTCCCCGGAATCCAAAAGACCAAGCAATCGCCCAAGAGCGCAATCAATGGCGTGCGGCAATCCCTGTCTCGGAGGGACTTTGCGGATCCTCACTCCTCTCTGATATATTCTCCCCTGCAAGACCTCCTGCACGGCAAGGCGACCTTCAATAGTCAACGGCACCATTACTTGACCATTTTTGAGGTCTCTAACTTCTGCCTTTATTCCCTGTCGTTTTGGCCCCAGTCTGGTGGCATTGCAACGGAGAATTAACCGCCCAGATGCTCTGGCGCTTGTTGGACCACGCACGGCCTAACATCATTCGCCAACACTTTCTCTAAGGCAGAATCTCAGCACACAATGGGTCAATGACCCCAGGGTTGGGTTGATCCTCTCCCCTCCATTATCTCACAGTATTTCACATGTGCTTGAGCGACCATATGTACGAATGGGTAGGTGGCTTGGGTTTCGGTGGCCACATCTATGCGGGAGCGACGTGGACCGTGTGCCAGAGGTCCTGGAAGCCTGCAAGAAGCGCCCCGCCTCCAGATCCTTATGCTCTTTAGCATTGGGAGATGTTTTCTCTTTTCGATCATGGCGCTGGTTGGGGAAGTGGTGTTCTCGTCCCGCCGCGGGTATAGATCAGACAGTGTGGGAGTCTGTCCGAAGACCACTCTACGGTCAGCTCAGCTCTTTGGCTGCATGAACCCCATTGCCCATGCCCCATGCACTTACGACCCTCTCTATATGCACGCCTAGAGGGTCCGGCTGCCCTAAAGCTCATGTGCAAGCCCACTTGCATCGGTACCAGCGGCTATTCCTCTGCTCAGAGTGATCGAAACATCCTACACCTGGCTTGACAAAAGCCAATAACTCCACTCTTACAAGGTCTTTATCTGGCCACATAACTGCAAAGCCAGCATCAGTCTGCCTTCGCGTCTCGGGGAGGCAGACTGGAGGTAATATTCTGCTCGTTGCTGAAGCCATATAACACGGAATTGAGCGCGGATGCTGGAATGCCAGAGATTCACACTCTCGCCTGCACGCCCTTTCCAACCTCGACTCTCTTCTGGAAACGGAGGATTCGCTGTTTGGGTGCGAATACTTCGATAAGTCTACCTACAACCATCATCCATTACACAACTGTCTTATAGCTCCCTCTATCGACAGAACGATCTCCAGTCCTTTCGATGGCACCTCCCGTCCTCCCTTCACCTGAAGGTAGATCAGCCTCGCGGTCTCCGCGGATGCTGAAGTCTCGCAATCCATCGCGGAGGGACAAAATTCGTCAAGGCAAACTCATACGCAGCTGGACGGATGAAGAGGTCCGCTTGATGGCTCTACTTCTTACGCCCAACACTGATGTTCAGCAGGAATCCTTTCTATTCCGGAGCCGGACACAGGGCCAGAAGGTTCCTTACAAGCATATCGCCAACCGTCTAGACAAGACTGAGCTCGCGTGTCGTGTCCATTGGCACCACATGACGGTTGGTCGGAAAGGCCACCGCGCAGAGGAATATGACGATGACAATATCTCTGACCATAATAGTGAAGGAGGAACTCCACCGACCGTCCCTTCTGCAGCCCAGGTTGGAACGCACAGCGGCTCCAACAACACCCAACAAGAAGCGATTCTCACACACCCGACGACTCCAAAACCGTGTGCACTACCGAGTTTCGAAACTTTTATTCGAGATACATTTCACCGACGCAGTATATCGTCGCCAGGATCACTTGTTCGTGATGATGTGGACAATGGCGCAAGAGAAACAGATCTGCCAAACGGCAGCAGAACATCTCGGACACTTTCTGGGTCGTGGCTGAGAGACCTTGGAGCCACTAGCACATGCCTTCAGCCTCCAGTTCGAGATCCACTCAACCAGTTTGGCCTTTCTCGACTTCCCCCAGATCAGCACGGAAACCCTTCGCACTTCGGACCTAAACCCCTGTCAGTTAGGCCTGCAGACTCTTCCCAAACTGTTAGGGACAGGCCGGGGCATTAACGCTCTGGCACGAGGCTATATCATCTATTCATAGGTGTGCTAAACGGCCCTTGGATCCAAACAACTGTGGGCCATTGTCACAGTCGACCAGGCACGAATTTTCTCTCTACGTTTTTGAGATTGCCGCATTCTTGTGGGTATTCAGTTGTCGATGGGCACGGTAGGGAATTTCGGCTTCAGCATCGATCGGGTTGTTCTGGGAGCCGGTTGTCTGCATTGTTCTTTTTCTTTTCTTTTCGAGTTCAGAGACCCCGAAGTGCAAGATGCGAACGAAGAACCTTTCGTGGTTAGAGCTACCAAGGATTCTGCATCGAAGAGCCTTCACTTTTAATGACAAATTCAATTCATCAGCTCGTCCTCGACTACCTCGATTGAGGTATCCCGTGGTTATTTCCAGGCTCCCATATCCGCGCTTCTTGGTCCCTCAGATTACAACGTCTTGTTCACAGCAGGTTACCCAGTCGACAGATGAACCATGGTTGAAATTCTCACAGTCTGTTTGGCGAAGAGCTACATATGGGTTTCCAGCCTCACTCCGCGCCTCCAAAACCAGCAGTCGAGACAGTGACATAGGGCGACAGCGACAGGTGGAAGTTATTTTCCGCGGGGTCAAGCGGGAAGATGCTTTCTCAGCGATGGAAGTTGACCTCAAGGATTTCTTAGCAGAGCAAGTTTGACACCGATTTCAAATCCTGGGGTACGGCAACCAAACTCGGTCGATCCTCGAGGGTCTCTCAAAAGACAAATTATACGAGGCTAATCCTAAGCCCGTGGTGACGACGCTGACTCGCCCACTAAACGCCGGCATAAAGGTCGGTCGAATGAATTCATCCGTCGGCGAGCCGCCAACCACCAACACTTCCAACCACTGTGCATGAAACACTGGGGGAGCTAAGGAAATACGAGCCCGCGACCGGCCGCAAGTCCGCCGCTGAGGTAGGCCACGACTACCAGAACACGAATAATCTCCCTTTCGAGTTCCCTGGCGGCGGGGTGCTATTTCCACAGATGGACCTACTGTGTACCACCCAGATTTCCGAATGTGGCCAGTGATTGTTATCAGGGTGTCTGATGACAAATCGTCAACCACGGCACTTCACAATGGCGCAATCCACATGGGCACAAATGCGAATGCATCAAGGCAAACGTTAAAATATAAAAGGGACATCTCCCACAGAAACACGCTGAAAGGTCGAACTTGTCTGATACCAAAGGACAACGAGAGCTGAAGCCGATTGACGTCACTTTTCCCCTAGAAATTCAGCCTGATTTCTATCTCCTGTTTCTCTGAGTTTCTTCTGCTCTCCCCACACTGTAGGGCCGGCAACTTCAAAAGGACGAGTATATTTGAGAACTCCAACAATCACCATTACCCCTCCAGTCGACCCCGAGAGAAAGCAGGAAGCAGCTCACTAAATCAACACCCGATATGGCGCCCCAAGGTATCAAAGTTGTGTTCGGCACCGCAGCAGTTGGCAATCGTGAACCGTGGATTGCTGAAGACTATCTCAACAAGTCATTCTCTACTCTCTTGGCCCATGGCTGCACTGTCCTTGACACTGCTCAGCTATATGGCGAATCAGAGAAACGTCTCGGCGAGGTCAAGGCAGGAGAGAAATTTACCATCGATACCAAGTGGCAGGGAGGATGGCAGACGGGCTGGGCGACCAAGGAAAACATCGTCAACTCGGCTAAGCAGAGCATAGAGAAATTGGGTGTCAAGCAGGTCGACATCTTCTACATCCACAGCCCCGACGCCGCCGTGCCTCTTGAGGAAACTCTTGCGGGCGTCAACGAGGTCTACAAGACTGGGGTGTTCAAGCGATTTGGCCTGTCCAACTACTCTGCAGCTGATGTCCAAAAGGTCTACGACATCTCCAAAGCCAATGGCTATGTCCTTCCCACCGTTTACCAGGGTAACTACTCTCCGGTGGCTCGTCGACAGGAGACTGAGCTCTTCCCCACGCTGCGGAAATTGGGCATCGCATTCTACGCATATTCACCGTTGGCCGGAGGATTTCTTACCAAAACTGCCCAGCAGATCAAAGATGGCGTGGGCCGTTTTGCCGAAGAGGCTCTCGGGGGCATGTACCGACAGATGTACATGAAGCCATCCTATCTCGAGGCTCTTTCCAAGTGGGAACAGATCGCCAATGACGAAGGTTGTTCGCGAGCTGAGCTTGCCTATCGCTGGGTCACTTACAACAGCCCGTTGAAGCCAGAACATGGGGATGCCATTATCGTGGGCGCGAGTTCAGTTGAGCAGCTTGACCAAACGTTGACAGGGCTTGAAAAGGGGCCTCTGAGCAGCAAGGCTACTGAAGGAATTGACAAGGTTTGGGAGGAGATCAAGCATGAGGCGCCTTTGGACAACTTCACTCGCTGATGAAACCGGGATAGAAAACTTTGTACTGGGCGAAGGCGAACCAGGAGGCAAAGGAGGGGTATTGGTCGCCAATGGGCAAAAGTGAGGTGGTTATTAGACCTGCTTTAGAAGTGCGCGGAGGGTTAAGGGGTTTCTGGGCCCCAGGCTAATAAAATAGACCAAGAAAGCAACTTGGCAGTACGAGTTTGATCATGTTTTCAGTCCCCGTTGGAAGTATCAGCGTTGATCGAATTGTAGGGATTTGGGGCGTGTTAGGCAGCAATTGACTGCGGGGGGGAGCAAACGAGGGGAACGAGTCCCTCATATCCATCCCTTACATCCTTACAAACCTCTCCCCCCTTGACCGCTACAAGATGGCTACTGGGTGGACGTGGATATCCAATGGATGACGAGCTTCTCGAATTCGCCCTCGTCTGTCGGCTGCATGCAACCCTCAGTTCCTGCAGGGGCCTGGAACAATTTCGATTGCATCTCTACCATCAAAGTCTGATCCCGCGCTTACACGAACAGAGGCTGAGGGGCAACCAATCTTGGCCTCCACAAATGCTGACCGACTGGCATTACTCCAGACCCAAGACAGAATTCTGTTGGTCACGCTGAAGACACCATCTCTCTGATTCTTCTTTCTTTCCCCATGACCATGATCACAAGGCCTTCTTCTCGTACCTGTGTCTCGTCGGATTGATGGAAATGCGCTTTTTCTCTAGCCTTCAGCATCTCGTTTATCTTTATGCGTTCGTCATTCAGTTGACCAGGTTTCCCTAGGCGATCATGCTTTTCAACACCACGATCCCAAAATGCGCGTCATAGTCTTGCTACATATCCTCCTCCAAAACGCCTGGCTTGCGTGCGGCGGAACGATTGAAAGAGGTGGACATGGAGAATACAACGGTCACTCTGCTGGTCTCTCAAGCCAGGACCTGCTGACGCCCGAGACAAGAGGAGGAGAAGAGACCACATCGTGGAAAGACACTGTGCCAGGAGTCCTTGGTGACATGTTGAACGCCTTGGACGTCATGCAGGATTCATATTTCGACATCTTCACCGGAACGTGGCCAGATGCCATCGACTGGACTTCTGCTGTCATGGGCACACACGTCTCGGCCACCCTCGCTAGCATTGTCTCCTCGTTGGATGCGTCTTCCACAGCCACCTGCTCTGATATGCTCTCCTGGCAAAACATCGTAGATCGATATTACGCGCACACGACCGTCTTCTATTTTGGCGAGAATGCTTTTGCTTTACGAAATCAAGCTTACGATGACATGCTCTGGGTTGTTCTCGGCTGGATCGAGAACCTGAAATTTGCAGAAATGTACACTTTGAAACACTGGGATTTTCTACAATCAGGAAGGCGCGGCGATTCGGGCACCGGGTGGCATGGTCTTCAGATCAGCCCGATGGCCGCTCACCGTGCCCGGATATTTTACGACCTGGCATCTGTGGGATGGGGTGAATCTCTTTGCGGAGGCGGCATGAATTGGAATCCATATTTGACGCCTTACAAGAACGCCATCACGAATGAACTGTTTGCTGCGGCTAGCATTGCTATGTACCTCTATCATCCCGGCGACAACAACACTTCGCCATATTTCGTCCAAGGCGGGACAGACTTCGCTAAGCCTCACGATCCTGCGTATCTGGAAAACGCCATCAAGAGTTACAAATGGCTTATGAATAGCCGGATGCGCAACCCCAGGTCCGGTCTCTATCAAGACGGGTTCCATGTCACTGGCTGGCGCCGATATCCCAATGGGACCGTCGACCCAGGCACTGGAAATTGCGACGAACTCAACCCCATGGTGTATACCTACAACCAAGGTGTGGTGTTGTCTGCCAGTCGTGGTCTGTGGCTAGCTACCGGCGCCCGAAGCTACCTGGATGATGGTCATGCACTTGTGGACAGTGTGATACGAGCAACTGGGTGGCCATACTCACGTCCAAACTGGAGCGGTTTGGGCCGTGCAGGAATACTCGAAGAATTTTGCGACCACAACGGGTATTGCAGTCAAGATGGTCAGACCTTCAAAGGCATCTTCTTCCACCATCTGTCTGAATTCTGTCGGCCATTGTGGCCACAAGAAGAGGCTTTCATAGCAACTCACAAAACTGCGGGTTTCGACAGAGCAGTTTACCAGTACCATCTCGCCCGCTGCGCTGCTTATGACAAATGGGTTTCCCATAATGCCAACGCGGCGGCCGCCACCCGAGATGCTGATGGGCACTTTGGCATGTGGTGGACTTTCGAGGAACCTGATGAAGACACAATGGCTCAGATCCGAGAAAGTACAGTTCTTCCGACTGGGGCGGACGACTACCTCAATCCTGTCCCAGAGACTGGGTCCACTCAGTTCATGAACTCGACTGATAGGAACGATCGAGGAAGAGGGCGGACGGTGGAAACGCAAAGCGGTGGGTTGGCTGTTCTGCGGGCGCAATGGAACTGGCAAGTTCATTTACAGCAAATTACGACCTAGGAAAGATGTAGTGCACATTTCCTGGATAACATAGTTGGTTGTGACACATCTAACAATGAGGTGTTTGAGCTTGAAATGGTTGAGCACCGTGCGGTATCTTTTGGCAGCGAGTTGACTCCCTCTAACCAACTTCTTTATTCTACTGTGTACCTTTGTCCGCGTGCTTGTCCCACACATTTAATTCGCACAAAGTCCCGTTGAGCAAGCTCTGCTGCAGATTGCCCTTTTCCTGTGCCACGACCAGAGCACCCAGTCAATCAGCAATACTCGAACCGAGGAAGCGAAAGGCCGAAAGCACAGATCAAAGCAGGCTCCCTCCCCTTCATCGGTTGCGAAGTTTGACAAACGTTTCTCTGTGCCCCTACAACACCGTCGGCAGTCATGCGAAAAGGCAAGCTCTCGGAACCGACGCTCTCCCTTTTCCCCTCCTCCATCGTACAGTTCGATTGGCTGCTCCACACTCTGCGTAAGGCGGGCTTACACCACGGTCAGAGGGACGACTGGGGGCGGCGAATGTCGGTGTGGAGGGCCTTAGCCCTTGCACGGGACACCTACTCCCTGGATGGATTGAATGGAGAAGGGCAGAAAGGTTTTCGGCAAACGTCTGAAAAGTTATATAAGGAAGATCTTTCTCAGCACTCGGAGAGTCAGACACAATCTTGAGACGGTCCTGGAATAGCACGACGACGATTGAGGTTCCCAGCAAAAGGAGAGACAAAAGGAAGACAAAATGGGCTTGATATCCAACATCTCTGCAGACTCGCCCTTCACCTTGGACAACGTCCCTTTCGGGGTCTTCTCGACAAAAGCAGATCCACGGCCACGCTGTGCGACGGCTATTGGCGACTTTGCTCTGGATCTTCGCGCACTCGGTCAATCAGGTTTCTTCAAGGACGCTTCAGTGGCCGATGCCCTTGGTCAGGTATGCAGAGAGTGATTGCCCATTGCATGGAGTACCAATGTCACATCAGCAGCAGCAGCAGCATCGTCGACTACTTGTTCCTGTGGTCTGCGAACAGAAACATTGTCAAGGCTCTAATCGGTTGATAGGCGACCTTGAATACCTTTGCGGCACTCCCAGCAAAGACGAGAACCGCCGTTCGCGACCAGATCATCTCTGCCTGCAAAGATGACAAGGTCCCAGACTCCTGCCTGCATAAGCTGGCAGAGGTGAAAATGCATCTGCCCGTGGCCATTCCCGAGTACACGGACTTTTTCTGCTCGCTTGAGCATTGCACCAACGTAAGTGGCTGCGCAACAACGGGCTGTTGTCTCCAACGCAATTTTCTTGTTGCTGAACATACCTTTAAGTGCATGCCTATAACCAACAGCAAAGTCCCCGAGAACTTCTATCATGCACCCTCAGCCTACAACGGCCGAGCATCCAGCATCATTCCATCGCCATCCCTGGTCCGTCGACCCAGAGGCGTGTACTGGAAAGCGGGAACAAAGGAGCCCACTTACGGACTGTCTCAGTTTATCGATTTCGAGTTGGAAATGGGATACATCGTGTCCAAACCAGTCCCTTACGGCGAGACAATCAAAGTGGATGACGCGCCAGACCACATCTTTGGCTTTGTGCTGTTGAACGACTGGTCGAGTCGGGACATCCAGATCTTCGAGATGCCGCCCTTGGGGCCGTTCAACTCGAAGTCCTTCGGTACCACAATCTCCCCTTGGGTCATCACGCTCGACGCGTTAAAGGAATTCCAATGTGCGCCCAAGCACGAGATCCAGCCGCTGGAGCACCTGCGATTCAAGGACGTGGAGCACGGCACATTTAACATCAAACTCGCGGCGTTCCTTGAGCGAGACGGCAAACGACACCAGATCTGCACGAGCAATCTGCGCTACCTATACTGGACCCCTTACCAACAGATCACCCATCATGCGTCGGCAAACTGCGGTCTGCGCACCGGTGATCTAATGGGCACGGGTACCGTCTCGGGCGATGGCAAGGATGAGAAGACGGGCAAGAAGTTCGAGCTGGGCTGTCTTTTTGAGGCGACACAGCACGCCAGTCAGCCCATCGCCTTGGAGGGGGGTGGGAATCTTGGATATCTCGAAGACGGCGATTCTGTGATCCTCTCCGCATGGTGTGAAGATGCCACTGGGCGGCGAGTGCTCGGGTTTGGCGAGTGTCGTGGGAGACTCGTGGGACCAGACGCGCCAATCTCTTGAGAGCTGTCAGAGGGACGACACATGGTAGTGTCATCAGATTATAATATAGGTATATAGCAGATGGGCCACAAAATGACGATTTTATTATCAGTCGGCGATACGGCGAAGTATTGAGTCAGCAGCGACGCTGAGCTACGGGAGAGCAGAAAGACACGTAAGACGCCACCCGAGAAATCGCAGCTGATCAGATCCGCAATGATTTTCATTCCGCCCGCCATATTCATCAACAGAGCAGAACAGCCAGCTGACATGTCGGTCGGCTCACGCATCGTTCCTTTGTGGTCTGTACTATTCCAAACCGAAATATCAGTGATACAGGGACGACGACTGATCGCGGCGTTGCGAGACTATCTTTTGCCGCCTCGCGAATCTCCCCGAGGCATCACTGCCGCGGCTAGTGCTACATCTTGACCACCAGTAGCTGTTACTCCCGGGGTTGGATCTTGATTGGCCCCGTCGTTACTGACTACCTTTACGGCACCTTTTTTTCGCTTTCGGCCCTGTGGCCTCTCTCTTCACCAATTCCGTCATTCGTCTTATCGAAGATGCAGAGTACTGCTGATCAAACGCCTCGGAGGACACAATTCTCCAGTTGTGATGCTTGTCGCCAGTCTCGCCTGGCCTGCGATGCTGCTCGGATCGGCGCCGGGCCTGGGAAGCCGGACTGGTCGGGGTCCTGCTCGAGATGCAGGCGCCGGAAACGACCATGTACTTTTGAGGTACGCCGTGAATCAAGATGTCCTTCTTTGGATCATCGCATATGTGTCATATCGGTGTAACCCCCGAAGAAGAGCGAACAAGACCAGAAATGCTCACATGCTGTTGATCAGTGGATGAACAATGCCAAAAAGGTCGGTGCTCGAGGCTTGCGGAAAACCCGCAGTCCGCCCTTGACGACGGCATCTTCTGAGCAATCGTCGTTGTCTCCTGAAGTTCGACAGCGCGACGTGGAAAACGATGCGTGGATCCCTCCCGCCGAGTCTATTTCTCAAACTGCCTCAGACCAAATTCGGTGCGTATACGTCAGCCTTTGATGCAGCAGGATCACTAACAAGACTTCAAAAGCCTCTCCACCGAGTCGTCCAACTTGGCTGCCTCTTCCGCTTCGTATGTTCCGCTGACTCCACCTTTCGAATGTACAACCACATCGGTCGGTGACTGGCTGGAGCGAATATATGAAAGCTGTTTCGACAATGTTCTCGGATTCTGGATTGGGAGACATGCATGCGCATTGGTGTATGTCCCGTGGGAGTTTTCAAGATAGCATCACGCTAACTTCGTCAGGGCCGACCCCAAGTGTAGCATCATCTACCCTCCAGGTAGATGCTTTTCCGAACTTGACGAGTCTATCTTTGGTGATTGGGAAGCACGGAATCGACTAAGTAGTGTGCAGTCACCCAGTCGCTCACAACAAAGATGGGACCAAATTGATCAATCGTTGAAACATGCTAAACGATCGTATGCAGCACGATGGTTCCACCTTATTCCGCCCGCTGAACGGTCGGGTATCCTTCCAGAACACATTGTCAGAGAATTCTGGCGCAGATCACGCAGGGACATGCTGAAGGTGGTCAACCGCGTGTCTTATAGGTCTGCTTTGACTCTGTTTCTCTTCTCCACGACGCCCGTCCCGGTGGGGATATCAGAAGAAGAGGAGATGGACGGTTTATCGGGGCCGCTCTGTGTCCAAGCCGCATTACAACAGATCCAACGACTGCGTGAAGGTCAGCGCAACTGCCAATTCAGTGGATCCATGGTGGTGCAAGAGGCAGAACTCCTGGCAAACCCGGTAACCAGTTCGAAACTGTCAGATGCCTTTTTGCGGACCGAAGCCCGAGCATACTGGGCCGCCTTGACGTTTGACACGTCTTCCGCGCTGACAATGAATCTGAGATCAACCCTTACGTCAGGACTGCATGGCGCAGAAACCGAGTCTTGTTGGCGAACGCTGAGAATGGGTGCTGGATCCTTCCACACGAGGACAGGGGAATGGCGACGAAATCCTTTTTCGATGACATCAGACGAGGTCTTACAAGCCATAGCCGCTGCCGCTGCGGCTAAGATGTACGTGTGGAAGATGATTTCTATCTTGAAAGAGGCACTCAGAGAAGGTGCCGAAGATGAGAAGGTGCTTCGGGCTTGGACATCATGCACTGAAGCCATCGAGATGTTTCGAGTCACTTTCGGACCACTTCTCAATGACTGCGAACGACGCCTCCCATTCCTCGGTCAGGTGGAGAAGCTGAATTGGTATGAACTCATGCTGCACCATTACATGGGAATTCTAATCCTTGTCGACGCGCTCGAAGTCGCAGAACGGAATGACCTGCTCTCGCGACTGTCGGAAACAAAACTGGAAGCTGAACATGGGGTCTTCAGCGCGTTGAAATTTGGTCTAGAATCCCAATTTACCGTCGGTGGAACCCAGAAAACGGGAACGAGCACGGGGACGCAGAGTTCAAATTCGGACCAGACGACAACTGCATCGTTCATCGCTTTCGACCCCTTTCCGCATTATGTCGTTGCTGCGGCCCAACTCATGGTCAAAGTCGTCAGCAAACAGTACCGGCAGGGGAAGATCAAATTGGAGGCCTACAAATACTTGAATGGCACTCTTCTCAAATGCCTGGCCGAGCTACCCCAGACTTCCAAGTCTGTCCAGGCGGCTCACAAAAATCTCGAGAGCTCACTCATAGGGCTAGAGGATATCTCCACCCAGTCTTCGACGCTCGGAAGCACATATTGGCCTGCTCAAATCCCTCAATCACGCCGTACACCTGACTGATGACTCTCCGGGGATTGGCCAACTCAGTCAGTCCAGCTGTAGAGTTAATCCAATTCAATGGCCCACTTGCGATCCTCCAAAGATATGGCTGCGGCAATGTTCAACAGGAAGCCTGCGGTTATGCTCGCCATGCCTGCCGAAGCTTCGGTACCGAGAACCGAGACGATCCGAGATGTTTATGGAGACCATTCGCAGCACATTTGGAAATGGGGTTGCATATCAAGGTTGAGGCTCAATCGCTGGGTGCGCAAGGCGCCGTCAGTCCCACCCTGACACATGTCTGGAAAGTCGCTGGTGCTCAACTTCGGGACCCTTGGAATCGCGCCCCTCCTAGTTGCCATAGGTTGGATATCGGGCGGTTAGGCGGTAAGGAGCACTCCTCTTACGTTCTACGGCAGGCTATATGGCTCCAATCATGGCCTACCGGCTGAGACCCCAATCCACCGCAGGGCTAGTGTTTAGCAACACGAGGCAGCTAGATCTTGAGGGCAAGGGTGCCAACCGAGGTTCGTTCATGGGATTGGCGCCAACGCTTCAAGTGAGCCAAGCCAGAGGCCTTCGAGTCCGGGGGAGAAACAGGGGAGGGTCCGGCGGCTATGAAATGCCTTGTCAGCACAGATGCACTTGGGGAGCGATATTGCCCAAAACGCATGTATATTATATAACGGCTGATTGTTGCTTTGGACACGACAACTGTTTCCTCTTTGGGACAGTATAGCCACAGCACGTGCCAAGCATGATTTCCCCGACTGTGATGTCATTGGCTCCGAGTTTCCCGTCAATGCTTCACCTCCACAATCGCTTCGACTTATTCAGCAGACTCTCGCACATTTGTTTGTTGCAGCCAGGATGTGAGACACTGGAAACTCTCCATCTCAGTCCTGCAAAAGACGCTTATGACCTACCCATCTCCGCCTCAACGTGAAGCAGTGACAACCCCGACATGACAGAGAGATCGACTAGGTCGAAAACAACGAGTGCCGTGTACCACCGCCGTAATGCCTGCTGAGTCCATCTTTCCGGACTTTGTTCTCGGCCATCCAAGGCATCATAAGACGAGACCCCAGGGAGTGCCTCACAAACAGAAGCCCAAGGCAAGACCGCCAAAGGGTGTGAGGGATAAGGTTCCCTTCTATGGCAAACTCCCGCACTATGCTGGCCCCTATGAGGTTGGCATCATCGACATCGAAGTGCCTGCTAAGAGCCCTAGGACCTTCTCGAACATCAAGCGCCATGGCGTTCCCGCGCTTGCTCTCGAGACGGTGTTGATGACCGTCTATTATCCCGCCCATCTCAATGTCAAGTACAATGTCGATACTCCAACCGCAATGCAAAGGTTTCGTCCGACATGGCTGACTCGACCGAGAGATCAGACGAGCCGCGGATATGGGCGTTTCGCTGCGCTTCCAGAGCACCTGATGATGGCCTTCTTCTTCTGTACAACATGGTATACGAAAATCCCGGCTTATAAAAATGCAAGACTGGCGGAGCATTGGCCTCCACCCGGAGACGCGTCGACAGGGAGCCGAAAGGCGGTGGATATCGAAGGGAAACCACCTGATCAAGGCCCAGAAAAGCCCAAATTTCCTCTCATCATCTTCAGCCATGGACTGGGAGGGACGAGGACGTGCTACTCTTCCGTCTGTGGAGAATTTGCGAGTCATGGCTTTGTGGTAGTCGCGCTCGAGCATCGGGATGGAAGCGGGCCGAGAACTCACATCAATCACTCCGACCACGGACCAGGAAGTCGGCATTGTACAGAGGTCAACGGAAAGGTGGAGCACAAGGAAAAGGATACTAAGAGGTCCTACGATACGGTTGACTTCATCTTTGCAAAAACCGACAAGTACGACACCACTCCCGGCCACCAGGTAGACCATGAACTACGCAACGCTCAAATTGATCTGCGGCTGGCGGAGATTGACGAAGCCTATCAGGTCATGCAAGAGATCTGTGCCGGTGATGGTGACAAAGTTGCAGCGAGGAACCTGAGGGTCAAGCCCGCGATTGGTGCCTCAAGAGTCGGTCTGGATGGCATTGACTGGTCGTCCTGGAAAGATCGATTCTTCACCGAGGGCGTCACCATGGTAGGGCACTCGTTTGGAGCGACGACGACGGTGGAGGTCCTGCGACAGAAACACAGATACAAATACATCACTCAGGGAATCATCTACGATATCTGGGGGATGCCGGTGCGCCCTACTTCCGAGGAGCGGGAGAGCCGCATTCGCGTTCCGCTTCTGGGGATCAACTCCGAGGCATTCATGTACTGGCCTGACAACTTCGACGTGGCAAAGGCAGTGATCACCGAGGCCCTGGAGACGGGCCACCCAGCGTGGCTAATGACTGTCCGTGGGACCGTGCACATCTCCCAGTCGGACTTTTGCATCCTGTACCCGCAACTGGCCAGCTACCTGATGAAGACGACCATCGACCCCGTTCGTGCCATTGATGTCAACATCGACGCGTCTCTCGAGTTCCTATCCCGCGTCATGCCCAAGGAAGTGCACTGCGAGCAGCCCTTCCTAAGGCGGATGAATCCGAAGAAATTTCTAGACCTCCCCGCCCTGGACGAGCTGCCGACCGAGCACCGACCGCACCAGAAATGGACGGCGGTGCGGCTGCGGGTCCAGCACGAGGCGCGCAAACGGCTGACCCCCGGCGCGAGAAGGCGTTACTGGGAGAAATTGCAGAGGTCGGGCGAAGGCGAGGTTTGGCTCCACATCAACCCAGATAGTATGCCGGCGTTGGAAAAGTGCGAGACGTGTCGAATTCCCAGGTGGACGGAGATTGATAGGCCCAAGTCGAGGGAATGATAGGGGCGCGGGCGCACCAGCGAACATGACACTGCTCTATCACCATTGTCTTGCTACCCTACAACTGATCGGATGGTCGAGGTAACCTCGGCTGGGGAGTATTGGATGTCAGGGAGATGCGAGACGCCGTACCAATCGCCGCATAAGGCTTGGGTATATTAATGCTGTTCTCGAAGTCAATGTTGGTTCTGTCTAACCTGCCATGTATCGATAATGTCCTCGAGATATCTCGAGTGGAAGCCCGCGTAAATGGGTGCCTTGTCATATACACATTTGATTTGTCAGAGGGCTAGCAGAGACAACAGACAAAGGAGCTTTTCTGCCGTCCACTCATTTACTTGGTTCCTCTTTCTACCCCGCGATTGAGGCCTTGAGCTGATCGATGTCCTAGTCCCACGCTAGAAAACAGCCCGAGGTACAAATGGCCCCATTCATTCGATGAGATGGGGCCTCCCACAATGAGTCGTTATGGTCGTTCTTTGAGGCCTACAGCACTCTGTACAAAACCACCTCTCGTCTCGACAAATCTACACATTTTTACCGCCTGCCTCTCCCCTACCAGTCAGAACAGGAATTTACACTCGCCACCATGCCCGTCGTCCAAGGACATTGCGATGAAAAGTTCCGCGAGGTCCAAGACCTGCTGCAGAAATACATTGATTTGGGCGAAGAGCTGGGAGCATCTGTCGCCGTCAATTGGGACGGAAAAGATGTGGTTAATATCTGGGGTGGCTACGCCGACCAGGACCAAAAGCGGCGATGGGAAAAGGATACCATCACCAACCTCTTCTCAACCACCAAAACTGTCGCCGCTCTCGCTGTCCTCATCCTTGTTGATCGAGGTTTGCTCGGCGTGAATGACAAAGTAGTCAAGTACTGGCCAGAGTTTGCGGCGAATGGGAAGCAAGACATTGAGATCCGCCACGTCCTCTCTCACACTTCTGGCGTGGCTGGCTTCGACACTCCTTTGACCGTCGAGGACATTTGTGACTCAGCCAAAGTCACCGCACTGTTGGCCGAGCAGGCACCGTGGTGGCAACCTGGTACGGCTTCTGGCTATCATTCATTCACCCAAGGCTACTTGATCGCCGAGATTGTCCGGCGAGTAACAGGTAAATCACTCAAACAATTCATCGCCGAAGATATTGCCGCCCCCCTCGGTGCCGATTTCCAGCTGGGATGTTCAGATAGAGACGAAACCCGCAGGTCGAATGTCATCCCGCCGCCACCAGCAGGACCCCCCGCCTTCGACCCTGCCTCGATCAGGTTTCGAGTCATGACCAACCCGGCCATGAGAGCCGAGTTCGCAAACAGTGAGCTATTCAGAAAAGCAGAAATCGGGGCGGGGAACGGGCACAGCAACGCCCATGGGGTCAACCGCATCTTGTCTGTCATTTCTATGAATGGCCAGGTCGACGGCAAACAGTTTATATCCCCAGAGACCATCGACCTCATCTTCCAAGAACAGTCAAATGGGATGGACCACGTGCTTGCCTTTGGAGCACCCATCCGCTGGGGCATTGGCTTCGCTCTGCCCACCAAAGGGACCTGGATTGACTGGCTGCCTACGGGAAAAGTATGTACCTGGGGCGGATACGGTGGTTCGATGGCGGTGATGGACCTGGACCGCAAGCTGACCATTTCGTACGTCATGAACAAGATGGACAATGTTGGACTGGGCTCGGACAAGGCCAGGGATTATATTGCAGCGGTGTATAAAGCCATGGGGGTGTCTTGAGAATCTCCATAACAAGGCCACCCTCCCCTCCGTGTCTATCAGCCGCGTCGGTGCAAATGACACCGAATCTGAGAGACTGCCGAACCATGGTGCGTTGTGTCTTGTCTGCGCGATCCTCCTTCCACCTCTACAACCAATCTCGTCCTTTGCACATGCATGGATCGACATGGCCGCGTCCACTTTGGTTAAGGTAGTATCCGCCTAAATGGCACGACTTACCATGACGACGCTCATGTCCGTGCCTCCTCCTTCAATGGTGAGATGGGCTACCATACTACACATCATGGACCGCTCTGCAGGGTGTTTTCATCACCTACTTCGTGGAATGAGGAGCTAGATGTGCAACAATCTCGACGAGACCGCACACGATGGCACACGAACCCAAGGACATGGAGGCTGGAAAGCTGACTGAAGCCGCCATCGTGAAACGCAGCAAACGGAGAGACAGTACGACGAAAAGGACGACATTGACGACCTGAAAAATGCTGAGCACGAGCAGAAGAACGTCGGCACTCTAGAACGGAGGCTCAAGTCCCGCCATATTCAGTTCCTCGCCCTCTCCGGCGCCATTGGCACAGGTCTTTTCGTCGGCAGTGGTCAAGCACTCAGTCTCGCTGGACCGCTGTCCACATTCCTGGCCTACATCATCACCGGCTTCAACCTCTACGCTGTCATCAACAGTCTCGGCGAGATGGCTGCCTACCTGCCCCTTCCGGGCGCGGTGCCTGTCTACGCTGCTCGGTTCGTCGACGATGCGTTGGGATTCACGCTCGGTTGGAACTACTGGTACCAGTTCGCCATCGGTGTGCCTATTGAAATCTCGGCCGCCGCCGTGGTGATAGGATATTGGCCCAATGCCGTCTCCAATGCCGTGTGGATTACCATCTTATTCATCCCCATGGTCATCATCAACTGCTTCCCCGTGCGCATATACGGCGAAGCGGAATTCGTCTTTGGCGCCATCAAACTCACCACTATTGTGGGCTTGCTCCTGCTTATGTTCATCATCAGCCTGGGTGGCGCACCGAACCACGACAGGATCGGGTTCCGCTATTGGGACGACCCGGGCCCAATGCTAGAGTACCTCAAAACGGGAGCCCTAGGCCGGTTCCTTGCGTTCTGGAAGGTCTTTATCAACGCCACATTCAGCTACGGGGGGAGCGAAATGGTGGTGGTCGCCGCTGGGGAGTGCGAGAATCCTCGTAGAAACGTGCCAAAGGCCGTCCGCCGCGTGTTTTGGCGCATCGCCATCTTTTACGTGCTGGCCATCTTCCTGGTCAGCATGTGTGTCTCGGCCAAGGACCCGCGGTTGTTGAACGCCATCAGCAGCTCTGCTCCCGGCGCGGCGGCGAGTCCATTTGTTATCGCCATCACCAACGGTGGCATCACGGCGCTGCCCTCCATCATCAACGCCGTCATCCTGTCCTCAGCATGGTCTGCGGGGAACTCGTTCTTCTACGCCTCGACCCGCATCCTCTATGCAACAGCGCTGGACGGCCGCGCTCCAGCATTTCTGCGTTTTGAGAAGTTCGGCGTTCCCTACGGCTGCGTGGCGGCCACAGCCCTGCTGTCCCTCCTGGTCTACTTGAACGTCAGTTCCCGATCCGCGGATGTCTTCTTCTGGATCTCCAACCTCTCGGCCGTCAGCACCCTGATCGTCTGGGCGAGCGTCTGCATCACCTACATCCGCTTCCACCAGGGCCTCCGCCACAACGGCATTTCGCGTGATACCCTGCCGTATAAGTCGCCCCTGCAGCCGTTCCTGGCCTACTTTGCCGTCTGCTTCTGCACCGTCGTGGCCATCTTCAACGGCTTCGACGCCTTCTTCCCAGGTCGTTTCAGCGCAAAGAGCTTCGTCCCGCCGTACATCGACATTCCCATCTTCGCGTCCCTGTTTCTCGGGTACAAGCTCGTGAAGCGAACTCGGTTTGTCCGGCTGAGCGAGATGGATCTGTGGAGTGGCAAGGCTGAGGCGGACCGCTTGGAGGGAACATGGCCTGCGGTGAAGCCGCGGAATTTCCTCGAGAGGATCTGGTTCTGGATTGCTTAGTAGCGTAGACCTTGAGGGGAGGGCTCGTGTGGTGGTGGTGTTGTTGTCTCAAGTTCGCTACATACGCACCTTGACAAGCGCTGTGTAGTGGAAGAAGGATAGGAGTAAAAATGCTAGTCCAGATATGTACTCCCCACGTAGTAAATTGAAAGAGGTATCTTTGGATGACTATACAATTTGCAAATGGCATATCAAACTGAAGTGTAGTATCCACATAACCCAGCACCAGTACCCCGCCTCTTGAGCTTTACACCTTACACCGTATACCTCGTCCAGCCAAAGTCTACCGGACACAGATTCACTTCTTGTCCTGATTTTGATCACCCCCTTTGTCATCCTCCAGTTCTGCACGCACCTTCTCCACACGAATCATCTTACCCGGATTCAACAAACACAGCGGATCGAGCGCGAACTTGATGGCCCGCATGGTGTCGACCGACGCCTCGCCCAGCTCGTAGACCACTTGGTCGCGGTACTCGAGGCCGATGCCGTGTTCGCCCGAGACGGTGCCGTCCATGTCGACGCTCAGGCGCTGGATGTCGGAGATGAGTTGGCGCGCCTGGGCCTTTTCTTGCGCGTTGTAGAGGACCGTGGCGTGGAAGTTGCCTTTGTCGTGTCAGAGCGCATCGGGACGGGATATACAGGGACAGAAGGATAGAGGGATAGAAGGAGGGAGAGACAGGGGAAGAGGAGAGGAGAGGAGAGGGAAGAGAGGAGAGGGGAGAGAGGAGAGAAGGGTGAAAAAAGAAAGCGACAGTGCGCGCAAATGGATAAAGAGTCACTCACCGTCACCAACATGTCCAAGAAACGATCCCAACATCTTCGACTCTGTCAACCTCTCCCGGCTCTCGCGAATAATGTCTCCCAGCCTCGAAATCGGGACGCAGGCGTCGGCGCTGATGAACTTGTCGTCGGGCGACTTCTTGAGCGCCAGCGTCGACCACAGGGCCGTCTTTCGCGCCTCCCACAGCTCTTGACCCTCTTCATCGGTGGCCGCCAGTTTGAAGAGTGATGCGCCACTCTCCCTCGCCGTCTCTTCCACCTGTCTGGCCATCTGTGCGACGAGCTGTGGCGTCGACCCGCTGATCTTCAGAAACAAGGTCGGCTTCTCCGCCCACCGCACCGAACAGTAGCCACCCTCGTTCACGGCGTGCATGCTGAGATCGTCCAGCAGCTCCATCGCCTCCAGCTGGTTGCCGCTCTGGACCGTGTGCACGGCCATCTTGACCGCGTCGTCGATGCTCGCGAACTGCGCCACGGCCACCCGCACGTTCTCGGGTTTCTTGGTGAGCTTGAGGTGCGCTTTGGTCACGAACCCGAGGGTGCCTTCGGATCCCGTGAAGAGTCTGGTCAGGTCGTAGCCCGAGCTGGACTTGCGTGGCCGATGTCTGGTCTGGATGATGGTCCCATCTGCAAGCACGACTTCCAGGCCCAGTACCCAGTCTTTCATCGTCCCGTACCGGTACGCGTTAGTGCCCGAGCAGCCCTGCGCGATCATGCCGCCGATCTGGGCGCCCGGCCCGGGATCCGGGGGGAAGAACATGTCCTGCTGGGCCAGCAGCGCGTTGAGCTCCTGGTACGCGACCGACGGCTGGACCGTGACGTCCATGTCACCCTTGCGGATCTCGAGCACCCGGTTCATGTGGCGGTTGAAGTCGATGCACACCTCCTGGTGCTGCGCGGCCAGGGTGCCCTCGAGACTCGTCCCGCCGCAGAAGCCGATCATGGGGATTCTTCGCCCGTGGCAGATCCGGGCGATTTGACTCACGTCTTGGGTGTGTCGCGGGTAGACGATCATGGATGGGATGTCGTCCGCGCGAGGAGCTGGCGACCACTCAGTGCTTGAGCGCGTGCATCGCTCTCCTGCGTTGAGACTCACGTTCTCCTCACCCAAAAGAGCCATAAATTCTTGGTACGCCTCGTGCAGGTTCTTCTCCGACAAATCATATTGGAGGGGCTGCACGGATGAGAGTGGGAGGGTTGATGCAGTCCCTGTGGCCAGCGTTTGGGGGCCGTGAGGAGCTTCGGCATGAACCTCGCCTCCATACGACGCAAGAAGACTGACGGTAGCTATGCCTGCGAGGATTGCGACCGCTGCTGTCGCTCCCATCGACTTGCTGCTTTTGAAGGTCTGAACCACCGCATCTGGACTGGACTTTCCGGGGAGTTGTGTACTGTATCCTCGTCCGTGAACTGATGCAGACAGGCTCTTAGCCTGACTTCGTGGTGGTAGCTGTGTCCTTGTTGACATTCGCGAGCATTGACATCTAGCTCTAGGGATCGACCTTGTCTCCAGACTCCCGCGACGGATGGCGACTCTTGATATTCTCCCTACCATCATTCGTTCCATGACTCCAACCTGAGAGCTTTCGCCTGCACTTCCAATCAATCACTCAGTCAGTCAGACACTGAGCTGGCACGCTTCTTTCTCTGTTTCCTTCAACTCGGCAACTTGAACACGGTGATGGATGATCTCCTGGACGCCCGTATCACCAATTTCTCCCTCACAGCCTACAGCCAACAGTCTTCCGCAGGCTTGCCACATGCCACCGTCCGTCTGTCCTGTCCGCACTAAGCCTCAGTTGTATGCTGTACGATGCGTGGTAAGGAAAGCCCCGACGAACCAAAGGGTTGATGGCTCGGCTATGTCGCGAAACACAACCAGTCCCGCAGCCGAGATGATCTCGGCTCGGAACAAAGCCGCGCTGAGTCTTGCGACCATAGAGACCAGGATCCCGGAGGCTCAGGGGGGGCAACATCACTGGAGTGAACCACACCACCCTTGCTCATCAATGTATCACCCAGCCGCCAACAGCGACTCAACTGCGGTACATTCTCAGTCAGATTTCTCCATTGCTTGGTGTATTTCGACTACTGTGACGATGACAAGCATGCCCTTCCTCAATTACCAAGACGTCTTCTACAAATGTTCATTCCTGTCACATCCTACCTAACGCCTGGACAGATTTGGGGTAAGAAAAAATCCTAGAGACCTCCCTCAGCGTCCCTCTGCATGGCTCGCAGCTGCAGAGTTGTTTTTTAATAACGTCTCTTCCCGCTGGAAAAGATTTACAGAGTATCGTGCTGCCTTTCAAAGGTTCTGTGCCATACAACCTCAAGATCGCAGCTTCAGTCGGACATTAATTCCAGTCTGCTTAACGAACCAGTGATTTTTGGTTGACCAGGTTTTCCCTTCATCCCGCCATTCGACATCCAACTTGGTGAGTACGGTAGGGACAAGTTTGTGCATTTCTGCCAAAGAGATCTGATGGAAAAGAGGTCAACTTGAGTTTTTTTTCGCCATCTTCACAGTGCCGACAGGGTTTACTCACATTCTTGCCTATACACGTCCTGGTGCCGTAGCCAAACTGGAACATATATCTGTCCATGTTGGCAGCAGCGGCCGGATCGAGCCAACGCTCCGGTCGGAACTGGTGGGCGTCGTCCCCAAAGATTCTCTTGTCGAAATGAATGACGGCAGCGTTAACACCCACCCGATACCCTTCAGGCACATATTTGCCGCAGATCTGTAAGCCGCCGGCCGGCATCAATCGCGGCAAGGTCAGGCCCACACTGGGGTGCATACGCATGCCTTCTTTGATGCATGCGCACAGGTAGGGGAGTTTCAGTGCCTGCGCGTGCTTGACTGGGAAAGACAGCTCGCCTTCGGCATTGGCCTGGTCAATCTCGGCGCGCAGTCGCTGGTAGACCTTTGGATCTTTGACGATGTGGTAGAAAATGGAACGGATGGCAATCGCCGTGGTGTCGGAGCCAGCCAGTCTGCCCAGTCACAATGTGCAGTAAAGATAAGGGCGGGAATACTCACAGTGCAATGTATGCCTCTTGCTCTACCTCTCTCATGGAGAAATCCATCTTCTCGCCCTTTTCTCGCTGGATGTTGAAGAGTTGCTGCAGCAAGTCCCGGCTGTCGGAGGTCGAGGAACCCTGGTCGAGCTCTGCCTGCCTCCGCGCAACGCCTTCTCGAGCTGCAACCTCCATTGTCTGCGTGCATTTGATGGCTGCATTCATCTTCGAGTCGAACAGCGACGACAGGAGGATAAACGGTCGGAGATACGTGGGCGCGACGGCGACTTGACAGAAACCCGGCATAAGAGCGTCCAATGAAGCAATCCATGCCTGATAGTCGGCCGCCTGCTGGAGGAATCCAAACATGCGTCCAAAGAAGAGTTCTCCGATGACATCGAATGTATACCTGTCCCACAAACATTGGCAGGAGACTCACAGATTACGTTGTTTGGCATGGCGACTTACCACTGGATCCAGGTGCCCAAGTCACAGTCCTGCCCACGTTGAGCCAGCTGGGTGAGTTTCTCCACCATGACCGTCGTGACTCTGTCGATGGAAGCTTCGGACTGCAGGACGTTGGACAAGCTGTACACGTGGTTGACGATCCTCCGCCGCTCTGAGTGCAGTCTCTCGTTGACCTGGGAGAAGTTGTCCGCATATTTGGACATGCGCGGGTTTCCCCAGACCGGGTAGAAATCGGTCTTGGTCAGCGGTGCGGCCGTCCTGTACAAAACCTTGATGGCCTCGGGGTCGGAGCAGGCGATTTCGTTGGGCGCAATCCGAACCAGCGGTCCGTACCTGCGATGGAGGTTGCGCTGGACTTGGTCCATGTCCCCAACTTTGAGTCGCCGCATCACCCACAGTCGACTCACGGAGGCGAGCCACGGTCCCGGCACGTCGGCCAGGGGATGGAAATTCCGGGCGTAGATGATCCATGCTACCTCGAGGAGAACCAGAGCCAGAGGCAGCGCGAGAACCGCCACCACGGGATGGACAGAGGATGTAACCGTGTTGATGATCGTGTCGACCAACATATTTGAATCTCAGAACCGTTATTTCTTCTTAGCCTTTCTTGTAAATGTCTATTGTCGATATCGTTCCCGTGGGACAAGAACCAAGTGACTTGAGAGAGCTGTTCGCTCACAAGCAGAACCACAAAACAAAACAAAGAGCTTTACTTACTTACTTACTACCACGCCGTAAATGCTTCTGAGCACCCACCCCCCATTTACCAAATAATACAAAGTTCTTAACCAACGTACCCGAGTATACACACGCCCATAAGGACCTCCCCCGGCCCGACTGTTTGCATACTGTCGGGGTGATGAACCCACCCCCCACACATGAGCCGGGGGGACAAACTCCATTTCTGGTAACCCCGGCTCCCCAGCTCCAGATACCCCAGGGATGCCTAGCGACCCCAGATGCCCCTCGCTCGCAACCTCGTATTGCGAATCGAGCCACGTAAAAACCCGGGTCGGCTGGCGCGGCCGTGTCTTTTTACTTTCTACTTTGGGGAGATTGTAATGCTGCTTTACTCACGATAACGCTAAGTCTTTTTAAGATTAGCATTTGAAATCCCACGACTAAGCGCCAAGAGAATGCGAGTACCTAGTATTCAAGTCAAAAAGAACATTCAACGAACCACCGAAAATATTGTCGTGTCAGGCTGGTGCTTCTTGTAGAGCTGTGTCGAATATCATACAGGCGGCTCTTATCTCCATTCGTATACGCTGTAGAGAGGGCGAAATGAAAGCTTGCAACGGGGCAACAGTCTACGCATCTCGGCACGCTCACAACCTCAGCCTCATCCTCAGCCTCAAACGCCCAAGAACGAAGGCATCCCAGTGGAAGAACGACACGATAACACGATACTGATCTCGATGCAAGCATTATACATGTTGCAGGAGCCAAGTCAATAATGTTGCGTTGTCTCTGAATGAAAGGCTTGCTCGATCGTCCTGCTGACCCTTCCTTCGAATGCCAGTGGTGCCAGAGGGTGAGAGCTGATTGTGAATGTACCACAACTGGGCGCGTGATGCTGCATCTCTCGGAGCAATGGCATACAACCATCAGCGCAGCACCTCCTAGCCCATGTCATCGTGCGTTGGTTTGTGCGACACCAGCAATGGAACCACGCCAGATGCTGTTTCCGTCCAAGTCTATATGTTATCGTCACACCCATTGACCCCGCTCTGCGAAAGATGTGGCAGACCTCTTTCACCTTTCCATCGCTTGGTTGATCTCTCGAACATCCAGCAAAGCCCAAAAGCCTGGTCCATTCACACTGTGTATTTTGCCTTCCCATCTTGTTGCATTTGAGTATTATTATACTGATAGTTCAGCTGTAGCTCACACCGACAGCATGTGTCGGATTGAAATGCCGGTGGAGGGCAAATTTAGCTGTGGGCACACGGGAAAAGACACAGCCGAGGCCAAAACCTACCCCTGCGAATCGGCGTGCCAAAGCGGCCGTGAATGTGCCACAAAAACCACAACATCAAAGGCAATGAGTCGCGGCTACTTTTCCAGAAATCTCTGTCCCACCTGCCGGAAAAAACCACCCCTAGGTACACGAAAAGACGACGAAGGAGTCGGTGGCGGCAGCTCAGGCTCTGCTGCGAGCACATCGGTCATCAGGGTGGGAGCTTAGAAGTTGGACGGCGCCGACATGATCTGGTTTGACATCCACATTGACTGAGAGGAAAAGAGGGTTCTTTAAGCGAAAACACAGCCTCGCGTTTATCTTGGGCAGAGAGAAGCGCAGCGTCGCTGCCCTGCTTACTCGAGAAATTTTCCTGGCTGGATGCTCATTTCTAGCCACACCGACACTCATTTATATAAATGGAGGGCTTGCAGGGTTGCGAGACACTTTGTGTCGTGAATGGTCTCACCATTGAATCTCTGGTTGGTCAGTTGGCTTGCCAATGTGACTGACTGACTGTACGACATGATAGGGACATCCCCACCGACGCGCGGGTACCTACCTGAACACGTTACAGATGGTAAACAGGTATGTCTGTTGACTTGATTTTGTGGTTGTTCAGCCATCCATCGACTACTTATATCACACTCCAGACGTAACTGGCCGTGCTTCCAAGGCGATGTAGTGACTGTCGGCCTCTCTTGCCACGCTGTTCTTCACCCTTGATTCCTGCAATCCCTCCGTGAGGTTACACAAAGCCACCCCCTATATCACATGACCACGCGAATCACTGTCGCGTTTCGAATTCTTTCTGGAGCATCTACTGAAAAATATTGTCACCCCTTTTTCAACTTCACAAACCACCATTCCTATGAGCTTGCGTCTCTTACTAGCTTCACCATGCCTTTATTTTCATCTATCGATGGGTCATATATAGTACCACCGGCGGGTCGATACTTGGCGTCTGGCTACGCCGCAGATGTCTACCAGCTCGACGATAAAAGTCTCGTCCTCAAACGACCCAAATCTTATCCAGGAGACCTCTCCGGGAACCAACACTTTCGCGGACTCGTCGACAATGAGAGACGCATCTATGAACTTCTCGGCCCGCATGAGGGAATCCTGAAATTCTTTGGCTGCCCAGACGAAGAGACAGGAGGGCTGAAGCTAGAGTATGCGGACGGCGGCGATCTGTGCGCCTACATCACGGCGCAACCCAAACCCAGCGACGCTCACCGCTTCGAAATGATTCGACGCCTGTCAACGACGTGGCTGTATATCTACTCGCGCCACGTGCTGATCCAGGACATCAACACGGACAACGTCCTCGTCCACCACGGGATGCCCAAAGTCGGCGACTTCACCCAAGCCATCGTCTACCCCGGGGAATGCCCGCCGCCGCAGCACGACTTTTGGATCGACATAATTGGTATTGGCTGTATCCTGTACTCTATCGAGAAGTGGGAGGTCTTTGATTACGATTACTTCTCAGACCAACGATGGCCAGAGCCCGCAGACCTCAGGTCTGTAGAGGGCATGGCCTTGGGCCCGGTCATAACCAAGTGCTGGGAGCGTGGATACACTTGCATGCAGGACTTTCACAACGATGTCATGCGCCTGCTCAAGTTGTGAAGGAGAGTCTTGCGCACTCTCTCCCTGAGGGATGTTAATCGACCTATCACCACACAACGAACCCAATATTTCATGCACTTGGTTCGCGAGTTTAGAGGTTGGAAGGTAGCAAGAAGAACCGCCGAGCAGGACGCAAGACATCTCCTGTGGTCACTTGGTCTATCACGCCTCTTTTAGGCTGTCGTCAACTCTCTCGCACCAAGCCACAGGTCCTGTCAGCTGCTTCACCAGACGCCTTACTCGGGTACATCTGGGGGTGCAAAGCTAGCTCAAACCCCATAAGCTGCCATGGAGAAGCGGCGACAGATGACGGATCCAAAAAGGAAGCATGTTCAATTAGAGAGAACCAGTCAGTCCGCTACCGCTGTTCGGGGTATACTTCCGGGTACGGTATCGGGTACGAATACGACCACTGTGTAGACGGGGACCACTCCCGAGTTCGTGAGACTTGCTTGTGTATCACCTGCCCAGGTGGCCTCGGTACTCAATCTCAACCCCCCCACTTGGGAGCTACAGTAGCAGTCAGCAGCCGTGTGTGCGTTTTACCTAGTATCACATACATCCATACATCCATACATACATACACACATGGTACGGGTCGGATACCTATTACCTCATCCAGGCATATGTAGGGCATAGGTTGATATTACATGGGTATACCTCGTACTAAAATGAACATCCATGTCTCCCCACATGACGATATCACATACGGTAACTAGTCCTACACAGGCAAGTAAGTAGTTTTCGCGACACCTCTACCGAGTACTTGGAACAACCATCCACGATGAGAAAAAACACATTCGCTTGTCCACTTACCCACCCACCTACCTACCTTGGTAGTTGGTAATTTGTAGTCCGGCCACGCGATACTTGTCCCTATCCTTGTAGACCTTTCCCACCTACACCTCCGTGTTCCTGCCAAGGTTATCTTGTGTAGATAGGTATCTAGGTATCACACGACAGTGCCGTACAGATACAGATACGAGTACCAAGTACGAGGTACGAGTACAATTACTTGTACAGCCCAACCCGGCCTGTTCGAGTTCCTTTCCTCATGCGGTAGTACTACTACCGATAGTCCAGCAAATCCCTAACCGGGAGCGATTTGTACCGGCAAGTTAGGGTGGCCCGGGTATACGGAGTACTCGGTAAGGAGCAAGAAGCAGTTTACTAGGTATTGAGTGTAGAGTCTATGGTACCGAGGACAGCGTATAATGACCGCCTCGATCGAGATATGTCGCCCATGCGAAGAAGCAGACTCAATCACCTCCATATAAGCGATAAACAAGTGGTAAAAAAGACAAGTTTAGCTCCCTGTTTCCTGATATATTGTATTGTATTGTATTTGTATTTCACCAATATCGACGACCTAAAGACGCAAAACACGGCGCAACACCCTGACCAACCTGCCGCCACAATCGTCCGGGACGTTCTGGCTCCTCCACGCGACGAACCGGTCTGGCCTGACGAGCACGGCCCCGTCCTCCTCCACGCCCCTGAGCTGCGCCCAGTCCATATAGACATCCTCAAAGTCCTGTCTGTGGCCGATGACAAAGACGTCAATGGGCGTCTTCAGCTCCCGCCGAACTCGTTCCGCCGCGCCGCGCCACGCCTCTCGTCCGCCGATGCCGGTGAAGATCGTGAACCGGCCTTTGCCGCACAGGTCGATCGTCGAGATCTTCTTCCCCGGCACGAGCGTCGTCAGCCACGCGTGCGGGACGCGACACCCGGGGTACGTCGACGGCTCGTAGTGGCGGATGGGGTCTTTGGCGAACGCCGGTGGGGATTGGCACTCCTCGTCGTCCGTGTACACTGCCGCGTGAGGGGCCGTGTATCTCTGGTTCATCTCGATGCCCAGACCCTGGATCTCGGATTTCGTCGCGTGCAGGGTCTTCTGGAAGACTTGTCGACGGCGGCGACCCTGGGGGGAATCCTGCGCGAACTCGTGCCAGATTTCCTTGCGCTTCTCGACGTCGTCCTCCAAAATGCCCAGGTTGTCCCACAGTGGGCCATAGTCGTTGAATCCTTGGTTTGCCCTGTTTTGCTCAAATCAATTGGCAACTTGTTCCTTTTTTTTTTGTAGCGATCGATCCAGAAAGGTCGCTGGAAGCTAGAAGCGGGAAGATGGACTTACCGAGCAACCACACCTTGTCCTACCGGCTGACGCTCAACGCTGTATGACTCGAGTAGTTCCGGCCCGGCAAGACCTTTGAGGACGTACGCGACTTTCCACCCGAGGTTGAAGGCGTCTTGAATGCATGTATTCGACCCAAGGCCGTTCATGGGTGGGTGTCGGTGGACAGCGTCTCCCAGGCAGAATCTGTGACAGTGTCAGCTCAACAATAACAGCAACCATTTCGAAATCTCGCATAAATACTTACACTTTCCCTTTCGAGTACTGCTCGGCGACCGTGTCGTTGATCCGCCACTTGGAGACACCGAGGATCTCGACCGGGATAGAGTCGTCCCCGATAAACTCCTTGATACGGCCTAGCCATTGCTCGTTCGTGGGTTTGTGGTCGACCCACGCGGCCTTGCGGTCGGGGAAGACGACAAACATCCATTCGTCCCACGGCTTCACCATGCGCACCACGCAGATCCACGCCCAGTCCGGGTGTTCCTTGTCCGGCTGCATGATCCAGTGCAGGTTGCCCATCCGCGCATCCATGAGGTGAGCCATGTCCGCCCTGACCACGACGTTGTAAGCGATACCCTTGTCGGGTCTCTGTATCAGCGGTAAATCTATCTGCGTCGCCACGCGGCTTCGAGCACCGTCCGCGCCGAACAGATATCGACAGCGGATCTGGAATTCGACCCCGTTAAGCTTGTCCCTCAGCGACACCAGGATCCGACCGGTTTCCTTGTCTTCGACGAACGAGACGAACTCGGTATCGAACCGGCATTTGAACCCGTGAAGTGTCGCGTAGCGGACCAAGATGGGCTCCAGAAGTGTCTGTGGCAAGTCGACAGGATCACAGGGACTAGCTTTCTCGTAGTCGCCCTTTGCAAAGATGAAACAAGATCAGCGTCAAGTGGTAAGCATTTTGGAGACTTGGTGATCACCTTCTGCTCCGGGTCATTGCCCCATGAGTACATCCTGCCAAACTCCTCCCCGGCAAACGAGTGTGCCCACCTCACGTGCTGCATGCTCCCGTTCGGGGTTGCGACTTGCTTGCAGTCTCTCTCGAGGTCAATGTCCCTCAGGCATTCCGATTACGACTTAGTCTGAAAGCCCGGAAGAACAAGGGAGAGTACCTACCCATGGCAGCCATGTTGGTGATGTGAGCTCTTGGGGTGTCGGCCGTAGTTGAGGCAATGGCGACGAGGATGCCTTGTATTCCTATAACACATCATCAATTCACTACATGCGAGAGGTAAAAGTGAGACGACTCTCCCTACCTTGCGATCCTAGAAAACATGCCAAAGAAGCACCAGCTGGGCCTGTACCAACGATGAGGGCGTCGGTGTCGACGACTCTACAGCCATTGTCGCAGTCTTGACTGGCCAGAGAGATGTTGTTAATATCGACAACCATCTCGGTCAAAATATTGTGGTTATGGGGACAAGGTATTGGTATACTGAACAGACAAGAGCCTTGTGTGTTCAGCATGAATCGGTTTATAATAGACGAGAACATGTGGTGTCGTGTGTCTGTCTGTTTCACAGAATGGATCCACATCTTGGACAATGGGATCCCAGGCTATACCTGAATCGGTGTCGGGAGGAGAGGGGGTGCATTTCGGCCCGTGGTTGCAGACTCGGAAACATTGGAGGAACGCCTAGTCTTACCTCAGATGGAGACATTGTCAAAGTGGGAATCGAAAGCCATTGCGGTATGATCTGTGTGTAATCTTGAAGACCAAATCTGTGGTTGGTGCGAAAACATGAGAGACTTCTTTGATGAAATAGAGGTGGTGTGACCCCATGAACCCGGAGGTGGTGGTTCCCTGTGGGCAGGATAAATCGATGTTACGAAGCATATCTCAGTGCTGTCTCTTGCAAGAGCTTGAAGAAATGGGTATCACAATGCATCGGTATCAGCCGTGACGCCTCAAGAATCCGGACCAGCACCAGTCCTCTATTGCTGCATCGCCGTACCACCCTTAGACAACCCCGGATAAGTGACTCCCAACCCTTGGATATCCTGTAAAAACGTCCGAACAGATCTGCAAAGAGGTGTGCTAACATTCTCCCCGTTGCGCAGAAGGGATATGCTGAGCTCGAGGGTCTCTGAAATCTGCAGGAGAGGTGTGAAGCTTCCGTTGGGCACCGTCAAGCACGGCACTTTTCCTTTGTCCCAGTATCCGATTAGAGAACCAGAAAACAGGGCCGAGTCTTCGAGTTCCCCATCAATTGGATCCAGACCCTGGTACTGCTTGGCTGCGAGGTGCTCAGAGTTAACGAGAGACGGATGGGAAGTACAGTCGCGGTCATCGATATTGCTCTCGTCGGTTTGGACAGCCATCCCGTAGGCCCAAAGGAGCAAGGCAGCTCGTGCCACTGCCAACGGCCACCACAATGGCCTAGCCGTCCCCTCCGCAACGACCCTGAGAGTATGCATGATTTGTCCGGCATGAAGAAGTGCTCGTGCTGCACCTGAAGTCTTTGCCCACCTTCTGAATGAAGGCATCAGCATCCTGCCCTCAACAAAACCTTCCTTTCCGGCAAAGAGTTGGACGTCGTCAAATGACACGTAGAGTTCCATTGCAATCAGGTGTGCCATCAGGATGCACGACAGGTCGGTGCCGCAACGTATAGGAGTGACATGTGGCATCACTCGTCGATATAACAGATGCCATTTGACCAGCAGGTAATGAAGCTCCTCGCGTCGAAGCTGGCCATACTCGGTAGATGCAGACATCGTACAAGTCTCGGGGTAGAATTCTTCTTCTTCGGGCACAAATCTCTTGGTTTGGCTATACTGTGACACCAGCGTTTGAATACTACACAGGAGCAGTCGAACCTCAAATGGAGTCACAACGTCCTGGAATTGGAAAATGTTGCCAGAGAGAAAGCGCCGGTGAAAGGCGGCCAGGGAATGCGGGCATTTTAATGTCGCCACCGTCGACGATGTCGGCGTAGTGAGCTCGGGTTGATGCAATTGAAGCAAGTCTTTCCATACATCGCTAGTCGAAGCAGCGAACAGAGCCTCATTGCTGGGCATCGGACAACGCATCTCGGTAAAGGACAAAGTCGTAGGGACGCCATTGAACAGACTGATCTCCTGCTCGACGACATACCACACATATGCCAATCTAGAAAGAGCGTGTCAGAAACATAATGGGTGTTGACGAGCATACTACGTACCGCCGGCGTGTCTCCGTCATAACCCAGTCTCTCCACTCAAAATCCACACCCGAGAGATTGATCTCGAGTATTCTTTGTTGGGCTCGTTCGTGAAGGCCTCGTCGAGACATCATCTGTTGTCATAATCAGCCATGCCACAACTAGGAGCTATAAATCTACCGTCGTGTATGAGCTTCTCAGGGCTTCTGCAAGTTCCATCTGTCTCTTGTTGCCGGACCAGATGCCAAATGCAGTTATCAGGATCGCGGTGCTGGTGAGATATATGTCTTTGGTTTGATTCGCATCCCTCAGGAAAATCTCGTACAGGACTTGCAGGATAATGCTTGCTAGGTCAGTAGCAAAGGTTTGAACCTCTGGCACAGGGATCATCAGAGCCCCGGACACGAATGTACTCAGCAGCTGCAGTTGCATTCCAGGTCCGTTGTAAGGCATGGTATGATCCTGATTCAACGTGCCAGGATGGGTGATGGGATAGAATACAGCAAGTCGAGAGAGATAGGCATCAAAGATGGTCTGAACCGTCCTCAGAGGTGGGAACGTGGTGGGGATTCTTCCCATCTGGTCCTTATCGAGCACTTTTGCCAGGACGATATGAATGGTTGCCATGATCGAGTCCCGTGCTTCTTCTGGGATGGGAACGCTGGCATTGTTTTTATGGGATTGGCCAAAGTCGTCTACCTTTGCCCAAGCCTGCTTGCTTTGAAGAAATTCACAAATGACTGAAGTTCTGAGAGGATTCCCTTTTGGGTCGGGCTTATAAAGCTGGGGATAGTTGTCGTACCTCTCGCGGTCGTCAATCGAGATGTCTGAGCCTTGTGCATGATCCTCAGGGCTTTCGTTCGTAGAGTTGATTTGGGGATGCAAGAGATCAGCTGCATAGGACGTGTCAAGAAAGAGGCCTGGTCCGCCCTGTTCGTCGAAAAAGAGCGAAAAGTCGTCCCAAGCCGGACTAAACGTGCCAGCCACTGAAGGCTCGTTGCCTTGCCACCCTGAATCTGAATTTGGGGGGTCTTTGGGAGAAGATTGGTCTTCACTAACGAGAGGGTACGAGGTTTCTGACAGACGAAAATCCTCAGCAGTGCCGGACGCCGCGGGGAGAAGTGTGTCGTTGGCTATGCAGATCTCCGGAGCTGTTGAATGCTCATTCTTTACCAATGTGTTAGACGTGCCGCGAAACAAAAGCAAGAAGGCGAAGCCCGACGTACAGCGGCCTGTGACCTTTGAGCGCGACTCTCTGAGCCTCCACGGGTCCGTTCAAGCACTCCCGAAAGTCTTCGCTCACGCAACGATGGGTCGACACATAACCTCTTGAATGCGACGTGGTCCCTTTCCAAAGTGCAAGCCGAATTCTGCTTGCTGCATCTGCCGCAAGGAGACTTTCCATCACACCGTACTTTCATCCTTGCACACCGATCGCATGCAGCGACTGTTCTGATGGGCGTCTGGGTTTCCAGCCCACTGTTTGGACCCATGTGTGCACGAACTGGGGGGAGAATACCATGACTCTTCTCATGGCGCTTCAGCGCATCCCTATGTGCACACTGTTTAGTCGGGGCTGTAGCAGTAGTTGGATTGGAAGTGCATACTTTCGCGCAAATTTTTGCGAACACACTCCGCAAGAGTATGAACGAAATGGGTTGTCTGGTGTGGAATATTTTAGCGTTCCAGTTGTAGTTATTGGACATTGCAATGCTCACGGATTTGTCGATGCCGTTGGAGATGTTCACTTCTCGAGAACTCCTTCGAGCACTGGTTACATTGGTGTCTCGGCCGCTCTTTTCCAGACATTTGAACAAGCGATTGCAAACCACCTGCGGGCCGAATACATCAGATCGTTTTGGTTTTGAAGGGAACAGACATCAGCCGCGGGAGATGGGCATGTCAACGGTGTATTTTCGAAGCCTGTATCAAGAGCGCAAAGAAGAGGGAAACAGTAACAAAGTGGAGAGCAGTAGCCTTAACAGCAACAACGATTTGCGACGCCACACGTAACCGTGTCGGAGAGTCCAGTCCCGTCAAGCACTTCCATGTGCCTCGCAGTCGATTATTGGCGGGTTGACTCTGGTTACTGGTAGGAAAGAGGAACAGAGAAGGCGGAGGGCAGATAAGGCTAACCGACCTTTCATGCCAAGGTCGAGAGATGCAGGAGCGGGGTTTTGAATCCGTTTGTTTCGGAAACCACCCAGGCTCAAGCTATTTACGAGGATTAAACATTGGAGGCCGTTTATCGTGGGCCGCTCTATCTCCTTGGCTGGCAGTGATTGCTTCTTGTTTTGCGATGTGATTGAACATATGCAGGAGTGATCTGGTCCGAAATGTTGTGGGTACTGCCTGGGCCACACAGATTCAGCGTCACGATTCATCGTGTGAAAGGAGCGCCGCTGTCGACTGCACTCGAGGACAATTATCCATTATCCCCGTACCCCAGCGACAACTGCTGCAGGTCGAAGTTGGGGAGACGCGGGGACTTGCCAATGTCGACAATTGGAGAAGGAAACGCGCTAGTTCAGCTAGTATGGCCACTACGCCACCAAAGCCAATGACCATCGTCAGCTTTATGCACTAACAAGACTTCGGTTAGTAGCTTTTTGCCTACTCGGGCAGCATGTGTGGGGGGTCACGTGGCAGTCCGTCGTCCTACCAGGAACTCTGGTGCCGTCTAAGGAAGTCGGTGTGGCTACTTTGTCAGGGGATTCCTGGCTTCTGGGGTGCTGTGCGAGCAAGATGTCTCCAGCAACTAGTTAATTGAGTACTGGAAGTCACAGACATGATACAAGGCAGCGGATTCAGCCCTGGTTTCACCACCAATTTCACTATCGACACTCTTGGTTCGTGCTTGAACGATTCATATATGCATAAACAACAGGAAAATACAAGTGACAACCAAGTTCCAAACTGTCAACACTCAAGGACCCATTCGACGACCTCACTGTTTCATTGTGGCAGTCATTGTGGCAAGCATGCCACATACTCTTTTATGCTGGTCTATAGGTTTACCACCACCAACTTGCCACCAAGCCCATTCGACTTTCCCCTTCGGACATGATGCTAGACCTATCTTACAACAGTCTATGTCAAGAAGTACTCCATCAAGGGCTCCGACACGCCGTGCACCGACATCCCAGCTCTCCCCCACCCCCACCGGCCCGATTGAGGGATTTGTAGGCGCGGCTCACTATTGGATCGCTCAGACCACAAAGGAAGCCAAGCAGGATTGTGCTTATTGGCCCAGCTTCACTTCGCCAACCCACAGATTGCTCGTACAGAAGTGGCTAGTCCGTTCACTTCTAATACTTCACCTTGGCGTGAATGGTTCGCGCGAGGTTGCTCAACCCCAGACTCGCTTCTCAGCAGGCAACAGTAGTGATATCTTGGGAAGGGCCTTTACTTGTACATCAATCTGCAATACGAGGTGGGGGCGCTAGGATACCTTCCTCTTCCTGCCCCCCTGACCCCGTCTGGAGAAGGACATGGAGTCGCCAATCTGGGGAAGGACATACAAATATGGCCTGTTATACCCTGCGAGCGTGGGCTGATCCTTCGGCTCTCGAACCCGCTTCACCAAAAGTTGACTGAACCCCGCAGCCATGACGGCCAAGACAGACAGTGAAGTTGACGTCGAGAAGCTTTCGAGCAACCCTGAACCAGAAGCGACTCATCTGGAGCGGCCGGCCATTGACTTGGGCAATGAGGCTGTCTTGCTCGACGTCACTGCCGGCCATATTGATGGTGCTCTTCTCGCTGGCTTGAAACTGGCAAAAGATGGACATGTAAGAGCAATGCCCGTTTCCCCCTCTCAAGCAAGGCTCAATAGAGTTGACGGTTTCTCCAGACAGTCCTGATTCCGCAGCCCTCGGAGGATCCAAATGACCCTTTGAATTGGTCTCCCTTCAAGAAGCATATGATTCTTGTGATCTTGGGCATCGCGGCTGGCTTGGGTGATCTCACGTCCACCTTGGGGATCCCTCCGATCATCTTACAGGGCGTCAAATGGAACCTATCTCCCTCGGTTGTCAACTACAACAACAATCTCAATGTTCTCATGCTGTAAGTATTCCCATGCCACGAGGGACCATGGCTTAAATCTGTACCCAGTGCCATCGGTGGCCTCTTTTGGGTCCCATTCGTATATTTCTGGGGCCGGGCTCCAGTATTGTTCTGGACGACGCTAGCTGGCACCCTCTTCTCCCTGGGCACCGTCCTCACGGATGACTTTGACACCTACTACGCTCTTCGTGCACTGCAGGGCTTTTGTCTGTCCTCAGTCCAGGGCATTGGCCTCAACTTTATCAAGGACATGTTCTTCTTCCACGAACATGCTCGCAAGATCGGCATCTGGGCCGCTATCTTCCTGACCGGGCCGTATCTTGGCCCGCCCTTTGGAAATTTCATCATTGCCGGCACTGGTGGATACATCGGCTGTCTGTGGCTGGGCTTCGCGTGCTGCTGTGTCAATCTAACTCTCATTGTCTTCTTCTCGGACGAAACATGGTACAAACGCGAGGTTCCGATCGAGGACCAGCCAGCCCGTGGTCAACGACTCTTTCGCGTGGTTGGCATCTGGCAACTGACCGTCCAGAAGGGGTACTTTCTGTCCATTCCGGAGTCGTTTCATCGACTTTTCCGGGTTTTCCTCAAACCCATCATCATACCGAGCATGATCTACTTGTGAGACTACCACCACTGCAAACATGAATCTACCAGGCTAATAACATCTCTAGCGGCATCAACATCATGTGGGCCGTCGGCATCAATATCGGAACTTCTATCCTGTTTACCGTCCCCAAAGAAGCCGGAGGATATGGCTTTGGGCCCAACGCCCTGGGAGCAATCTGTCTGACCCCGGCGGTGGGCACCATCCTCGCAGAAATCTGGGGCCATTTCTTCAACGACTGGCTCGCCAATCGCTACATCAAGAAGCACGAAGGCGTGTTTGACCCCGAAGCCCGCCTCGTCACAAACTACGTGGCGGCCGCCCTGATGGTCCCGGGCCTCGTCATCCTCGGCGAGGCCCTGCAGCATACACTCCACTACAGCGCCATCATCATCGGCTGGGGCGCGTACACGGCGGGCACACTGGCCGCGTCTGTCTCGTTGACCGCGTATCTGCTGGACGCGTACCCCATCGCTGCTGGGGAGGTCAACGCCCTGCTCAACTTTGCCAGAGCCATCAGTGGGTTCTCGGTCGGGTATTTCCAGGTCCAGTGGGGTGCGAAGGTCGGGTTTGATGGGTCTTTTGGGACGCAGGCGGCCATCGTCGGCGTGTCTGTGAGCATTATTGTCATTCTCCATATCTACGGCGGTCGAATGCGTGCCAAGGGTGGTCACATATGAGCGATAGTCTCGAGCGTAATCTGTTGGTGCTGGGGCCTGCTCTCCAAGAGTCCTTTTCAAGGAGCCACGTACATATCCCCAAAAGATGAGATTCTGTGAGGAACAGCCTCGAGTCTATTCGCGAGCGGTGGAGCCATAGAGACATTGACGTGGTTAATGCAGGTACAAGAGTCGTCCAATGTTGAACTACGCGAGTCATTCCAGTAAGTAGATCAAGAGAACATCCATCCGCATAATGTATGATGCGCTCTAGCAAGCTCACAGATCCTGCTTCAACGTCCTCGCATTGTTCGACGCCTCAAACATGTTCAGAATCTGACTGTGCGCTACCAACAAGATACCTCCTCCGGGACAGAACCGCAGAAGCTTCGCAGTCAGGCCTTTATACAGACCGCGAACACCCTCTTCGCGCGCCACTGTGATCAACGCCGGAAAGACCCAGTTATATTTTGCCACGGCACCATTTGTCCGGGTCGACGCCTGGATCCTCGTCTTGACCACGTCCAGGGGCGTGTTGAGCACGGTGCCCAAACTGCCGCCGATTGCGCCGGTGACGAAGTTCGTGAGGGTCTTCTCGATGTCCGTTGAGGGCGTGGGCAGCGCCGCCTTGACTTTGAAGATACTCCCAAAGTACCCGGCGTTCCAGACGATGTGGCGCCACAGGGTGCTCTCGAAGCCTTGGTACAGCACGAGGACGCCCTCGCTCTTGACGACGTGGGCTACGCACCGCGTCACGGACTTGTATCTGCTCGCAACAGAGGGGTCTTGCAGTCGGACCTTGACGAGCTCGAACGGCGTCACCACCACGGCTTCCACGGCGCCGGCGCTCGAGCCGGCGAGGAGCGCTACGGTCTGATTGATTTCCGGGGCGCCGAGGAAGCTCAGGTATTGTCTGGTGAAGATGTCGTTGGACGAGAATTTGACTGCTCTAGAAAGAATGACATGTGGTCAGGTCAGCTGGTCCTCCGTCATTGATACGTGGGATGATGGGGATAGAGAGAAACCTTTTTGGAGTTTCCATCAGGATGGGAACGGTGATGCCACGGTACAGGCGTCGGAATCTGCCATGTTGATCGGTAAGTACTGTCGTCAGTGTAGTGTGCAATGGGAGAAATACCCTTCATGTCTGATGATCTTCGCGAAGCAGTCCATCACACCCCGGTACGACTCCGCCGAGAGGCTCTTTGACCGCTGCAGCTGTCTTTCGCAGAGTCAGATCCATGTTTGACCCAAGTGATGACTGTACGTACAGCCTGGTCTTGACGACGTCCAGGGGGTACCTGGTTGTACACATGTCAGCCCGTGTATTCTCCCAATGTCCAATGCTCCTGGCACTGCCACAAGTACTGTAGTTGTACGCACATGATCAAAATCTAAACGACAGCACATTTCATTTCATGTCAGTCGGTTCCTCAGCTAATGAACCACCTTCCACCACGCCTTGCACCAAGACCATCACCATGACTATGGCCACGTACCTCCGAAACACCCGCTCCCGCTCCTGAAGAGATTCACATCCAGCCCTGTCAGCGTCGACTCTCTTTCCTTCGCATGGTATGATTCAAGTTGACGTACCGGCCGCAAATTCCTGCGCAAACGTCACGTTTCTTTTCTGAGCCATGGCTACTCCTGTCCAACAAGATGATATTCTAGAAATATATGCTCAAAAACGACCGGAGCGATCGAGCAAGGCTGGAGATTTCATCATTCCTGCTCCTACGATACGGGACCTACGGAGTGTCGGTATGGACTTGCCTTAACGCTCTGTCTACCCCCAATGTGCGGACCAATCAAAGGATATCCCACTGTAGGCTAAATCCGGAATCGACTACGAGTGCCAGTGTGCCACAAATCCACAGAGCTGGATGCTCAGATGCATACCTAGGGAACAGCCTGATGTGTGATGTGGGGAGACGGCCTAATGACACTACTACAAGTAGATTAGGTATGGACTATCGAGGTGTAGTACCGTGGGTCCGGACTTCTTCTGGCAATTCCCCCCCACATCGAATTACATCCTCTGCAGGACAGCCTTGCCAAGGCTCAAGCAGTGTCAGATCACCAAGGTCACGAATAGTCTATCTTGTCCTTGTCCAGAAGCGCATCTAGATTATCGCAAGGACACCTTTCAGTATCATTCCGCCCTGGAACTCCAAGAATGTATGATGAGTCGCCATATCATCCACTTTATCGCCGCCCATCGAGACTAGTATCACCCGGGACTCCTTATGAGCAGCCCTCCACACCTCCTCGTCAGCCAACTGCACCACTAGCTCTCAAATCACGGATCTTTTCAGGAGCAAGTCCCAGTGTTGTACTCAGAATCTCATCCGTGTGCTCTCCAAGTAGAGGTGGTGGCGATCGTATCGAAGGTCGGGAGCGTGAATATTTGATGGGCGTATTGACCAGGTCTACCACACCGCAGCTGGGGTGGTCCACCGAGACGACCATACCGCGGGCTCGGACTGTGCATTGTCTGTCAGCCTGCAGCCCGCAGCCATCAAGAATTCTGGGAAACTCACCGTGTTCATGATTGAGCGTATCCATCAGGTCATTGACTTTGGCATACGGAAGACCTGTGCCGTCGAAAATGTCGAGCCACTCTTGCGTCGTTTTCTGCCGTGTAATCTCCTCAATGGCCGGTTCCAGGACGTTCCGATTTGCAACTCGCGCGGCATTCGTAGCAAAGCGCTCGTCACTGGCCCACTCCTGCTTCCCTAACCCAGAGCATAGAATCCCGAAGAGTCGGTCGTTGCCGCCGCCGAAAAGAACGTCTCCGTCGGAGGTCTTGAATGCTCGATAAGGTACGACGGAAGCTGAAAGCCACAGTTAGCTCATGTGGCCAACGTCCAATTCAAGTACCATACGATGTGCAGTGCCCCATCTGCCACTATCCCTCTTCTTCGAGATCAAGACTGATTCGGCCATGTTCGACAGTGTGGCAACCTGGCAATCACTCAGACACACATCCAGATGTTGTCCTCGATGCGAGTTGTGCCTCTCGAGAAGTGCCGCCATGATGCTGTTGCAGGCGTACATGCCCGTGGTCAGATCTGTGACCGCGCAGCCGACCTTGACTGGCGGACCATCTCTCGTCCCCGTAATATGCATCAATCCCATCTCTCTGTCGATACAATTAGTCCCTTTGCCGTGTATTGGACCATGTTCGAAACCTCACGCTTCCACCATCACGTCATATCCAGCCCGGTCGTGGTATGGGCCGTATTGACCGTATCCAGTTATGCTCGCGTATATCAGCCGTGGATTCGTCTTTTCCAAAGTCGCAAAGTCCAGTCCATATCTCTTCAGTGTCCCAGGTAGAAAGTTCTCGACAAATATATCGGCGGTCTGTGCCAGCTCTCGGATGATCGCTGCGCCTTCTGGATGCTGAAAGGAGACGCCCACCGACTTCTTGTTGCGATTCACCTTCCCGTCTATGTCAGTGTCGTCTGAGATCGCAGCACTAACGAACTTGTTCTCACCGAGAGGTAATATGCACTTTCGCCAGGTCCGCTCCGGCCATCGAGGTATGGGGCGTAAGGGCGTCCCCATTGCCGCGTGTCGTCGCCGCGGACGGGGTGCTCGATTTTGGTGATCTCGGCGCATGGAGGCTATCAGCAGAGAGGTGATCGAGTCTGTCGTCTTCACTCACCCAAGGTCGCCAAGAATTTGCGTGCAATATGGCTGGAAACCTGTCAGACGAGGAAGGTCAAGTGGATGACGGCAACCTACTCCAGCCAGAACCCTTGTGAGATCCACGACCTTGATTCCCTGCAAGGGGAGGCTCTTCTCAGAAGACAGCGACGCAATTTTTCGAGAAGGCACAAACTTCGTTCGAGGGGCCAGCCGCCACAGTTGTCTCCCAGCAGCTGTGACAGGAATCATGTTGGAGGTTTTCTCTCAGCAGGTCATTGCTCAGGATGGGGAACTCTTCAAAAGTCCGCGGGTCTTTTGGTGACTGAATGAGCATATCTGTGGTATAGCCAGACCGTGCAATGCTCTTTTGGACAATCGCACAAATTGTTTGGTATCATGTGGGTTCGTCGTCGCAATTGGGAAACTGGCAAATTGTCGACTCTTTTGGGGCGCTACGCTACCATTTTCCAGTGGCCGGAGGTGCCTAAGGAGGATTGAAGGTGGGGCCTACAGGCGTCGCACCCGCCTAATTCGGTGCCCAATGCCCAAGTGGGAGTCCCTGTTTCCGCCTGGAGAATCAGTCGCGATGGTAGACATGGTATTTTCAACTGACTCTAGGATGGTGTATTCTCCAGCCAATTGCTTCGGTGTCAAACTACATCCTTGAACCACGATGTCGAAACTGCGGATATTCCTACACTGCCGTGGAGGCACGAGAAATCCATTCACCGTCGTGTATCCTCAATTTCGCTCATTCTCCAGCAGCCGTTCCCAATGTCGAATCAACAAATTCTGGACCTCGCCCTTCAAAGCTGTCGCCGACATCAAGAGTGGCGACACGGTCCTCGTCGGCGGGTTTGGGTTATCTGGAGTGCCCATGACACTGATCAACGCCCTTCGCGACCACCCTGAAATCAAGGATCTTACAGTAGTCTCCAATAATGCTGGGATGCCAGGCATAGGGCTCGGCCAACTGCTGGACACGAAGCAAATCAGCAAGATGATTGCCTCGTACGTTGGGGAAAACAAAAAGTTCGAGTCCATGTACTTGTCCGGCGAACTCTCCTTGGAGCTCACGCCGCAGGGAACAATGGCCGAGAGATGTGCAGCCGGAGCAGCTGGTGTACCTGCATTCTACACACCAGCCGCGTTGGGAAGTATAGGTGAGAGACCTGAATAGCCAGCTACTGTTTTCAGAGGACTCAAATTCGTCACAGTGCAGACGGGAGAGCTTCCAGTGCGGTACAAGCCCGACGGCTCAGTTGACCTCATGTCCAAACCTCGCGAGACACGCAGCTTCAGAGGCAAGGACTATCTGTTGGAAGAATCAATCTTTGGAGACGTCGCGCTGATCAGAGTCGACAAGGCTGATCGGATGGGTAATTGCCGGTTTCGAAAAGCACAGAACAATTTCAATGAGGCCATGGGGAAAAATGCAAAGCTGACAATCGTCGAAGCGGACCACCTCGTTGAGGCTGGAGACATCGCCCCCGAGGACATTCACCTACAGGGTATCTATGTTGATAGAGTCATACAAGCGACGGTGCCCAAGGAAATCGAAAAGTTCACATTTGCCAAAAGTCCCGAGGAGCAGTTGCGGCAAGGTGAGTGGTGAGCACAGTCAGCTGCAGATTTATACTGACAAATAATCAAGTGGATGCTGCATCGGCCCGCAGAGAGCGTATCGTGAAACGAGCATCCAAGGAGCTCAAGGACGGAATGTATGTCAATCTCGGCATCGGTATGCCTCTGCTGGCACCAAACTTTGTTCCCGAAGGTGTCGAAATCGTGCTTCAATCGGAAAACGGCATCCTGGGAATGGGCAGATACCCAGATCCTGGACAAGAAGACCCGGATCTCATCAACCCGGGCAAGGAGACCATCACGCTGAGTCCCGGAGCGTCGGTCTTTGGGAGCCATGAGAGCTTTGGAATGATCCGAGCCGGGAAAATCAATCTGACTATGCTGGGGGCACTGCAGGTCAGTGCAAATGGAGGTAAGCTCAGCAACACGAGATGACTTTAGGCGATACGACTTAACACCCAACAGATCTGGCAAACTTCATGCTTCCAGGTAAGGTGAAAGGGATTGGAGGTGCGATGGACTTGGTGGCCAACCCACAGGAGACCAAGGTTGTCGTTCTCATGGTATGTGGCTTTCTCAAGGGAGGCGGATCTCAGTACTAACACATCACCAGGACCACGTGGACAAGAAAGGAAACCCCAAGATCCTTCCTGGTGAGTTTCTTCCCTGTCTCACATAACCTGTGATTGTTGACAGATGTGTAGCCTGCACATTTCCCTTGACTGGGAAGCGATGCGTCTCCCGAATCATCACCGATCTTGCTGTTTTTGATGTTCAACCGGACGGGCTGGTCTTGATAGAGGTGGCCGAGGGAAGCAGTGTGGAGGAAGTCAGAAGCAAAACAGGTGTTGCATTTACTGTTGACGATGATCTGAAAGCATTCTAGACATTACACACAGGATGGAGCAGGCGGTCGTGGAGTGTTTGCCCGGTACACGCACTGAAGTGCTGAAGACGACGAGGCACCTTCTCTGTTGGCAATGCATGATCTTCCAAAGTCTAAAATATAGAGATCCTTGACGTTTATTTGGTGCTTGACTTCTATGACTCTTCACATCTAAAGTCAGGACACACGGAACGCTCCGTTTTACTTTCTCAAGGCTAGGACATCATCGACCATGCGCGTCGACGATCCCAGGTAATTGACCGGATCACACAACTTCCTCAGCTCATCCATGCCCAAAGCATCGACGATCGACTTATCACGGCTCAAAGTCTCCAGTAGGGAGGTCTTATCCTGAACCGCTTCCTGGCAAGCCTGATACACCACGTCGTGTGCCCTTTGTCGACCGATGAACGGTGCAAGACCCATCATGACGGCCTCTCCGACGATGAGGCCCGCCGTGGAATTCAAGTTTGTCAACATCTGCCTCTCATCGACAACGAGGCCTGAAAGAGCGAATGCCGCCTGGTGCAGAGCCCCAACGGCCACGGTGAAGCTTTCAGGTACTGCAATCCATTCGAGGTGCCACGGTCCAGAAGCCCGTTCAAAGTCCGCGACCATGGCGTCTAGGCCTAAACTGGCATTCGACCTCAACACCTTCGACGCAGCGAGCATCAACTCGCTGGAGATGGGGTTCCGCTTCTGCGGCATAGTTGACGAGGCCCCACGATGAGGCACGAACGGTTCCGCGACCTCTGCGAGTTCGTTCGAGCACATAATCATGAGATCGAGTGCGATTTTGCCAATAGTTCCACCAATCAATGCGAGCAGATTGAGTGTCTCTGCGATCCCGTCTCTCGCGACGTGCCACGAGATTGGCGGGTCGGCCAGACCGATCTCCTTTGCCAGCTCTTTCCGAACTACTATCCCTTCCTCGCCAGCTCCAAGCGAAGCCAGGGTGCCAGCGGCACCTCCGTACTGCACCATCAGGGCACGAGGCTGTATCTGCCTGAGCCTTTCGCTGTGTCGATACAGGCTGGACAGCCATACGGCGCACTTATATCCGAACGTCACCGGAAGGGCATGCTGCAAATGTGTCCGTCCCGCCATGGGCGTCGCTTTGTACCTCTCCGCGAGCGACTCCGTGGCCTTGATCACCCTGTCAAGTTCGCTTTCCACGATCGACAAGCCCAACCGGATCTGCAACATCGACGCCGTGTCCATGATATCCTGCGTCGTCGCCCCCCAGTGCAGATACTTGCCCGCGTAGTCGCCACACATGGCGGCCAGCTGCCGCACGAGCGGGAGGATCGGGTACCCGACGATTTCTGTCTCGTCGCTAAGACGGGAGAGGTCAAGTGAAGAAGCGCGTGCCTTGCTGGCTATCTGGTCTGCAGCGTCTTGCGGGATGATTTTTGCTCTCGCCTGAGCTTTCGCAAGGGCGACTTCGACGTCAACGCATCGTTCGAGATACGCTGTGTCGCTGAAGACCTGGGATCCAGATTCCAAGTCAGTCCTCATCTTCTTCCTACGAGAGGAGTGATTTGTGTCCGTGAGCTTCACATACCTTGCGGATCTGCTCCGTCCCAAAGAGATTTCGGAAAACCCGAGAGTCGATCGCACTGACTCCGGACATCTGTCGACAGTGTCTGGTCAACGCTTGCTGCACGCTGGGATTGTTGAGCCTGGCGTGCAGTTTTGATGCAAGCATTCTGGTTGATGTTGACTTTGGCTCGCTCGTTGAGACACTCTTCCAGATGCAGGACAGCCAGACATGCCTGCCGCTCGACAATTGTAGGAGCTGTGACTCTCTTGGTCGAGGGTGTGAGGAATTACCAGATCCGGCTAGGCTGGACACAGGCAAGTGGGACATAAACGTGTGGGGGACCACTGAGACACACAAGATCGGGATGGTTTGATGATGTCATTTAGTAGCAGGCTTCTTTGAAAGGCAGCCTGAGGAGTGCGCTGTGCAGTCTCTGAACCTTGGTCACTAGGTGCGTGATTTCTGTTGTCAAACGCCTCTGTTTCTTTTGGCTTTTTAGCCGTGCATCTTCCCACATAGGCTACCTTTTGAGTCCGCGGAGTTTGACCATGCATTACTTCACGGTACAGGACTCGACCATTCATTTCCCATATCACAGAACATATGCGTCGAAATTCCCATGTCTGATCTTTTATTCGCTACGTAGACAGTGCTAGTTGACCGGCACAAGTCCGAGATGCGGCAAGAGTCTCTCCCGTATGTAGTCCTCGGCGTCATGAAATTTAACCCCCAGCTTCACCACTTGCGGATCTGGCAACGACACACCCGGATGCATCCCGACGTCATTGTAGAACCGGAACATGGTATCTCTTTCCGGCACGCCCGTCGTGGGCAGAACCACGTATTCAACGTTCTTCCCAGACACTGCATTCTCAAAGTCAGCCATCTGATGAATCATCTTGGAGCCGGGATAGAAGAAATACCCTTTTTCGCCGCGGCGACAATGTCCTTCGGCCTCACTCTTGCATTGCTGGCTTGTAGGTACGCACCGTCCAGCTCTTCTTTCTTTTCTTCCCATTGGTCGAAAATCGCCTTGACGATGGCAGAGAGGTCTTTCTCGACGTACAGCATTGTAACTTGATTCAATCATGTCAGTAAGTGTCCCCTTGATTGTTTCTGTTAGGTGACCTACGCTCAGCGTCCGGCTCGATGATGGGCTGCTTGAAAATAATAGTGTCTGTCTCTTTATTGTACGACATGTGTCCTCGCAGCACCATGTTCTCGTAGAAGTTGCCCGTGTACAGAAAGGTTCCGTGCAGGCCGAGCTCGCGAATGTACCCGTCAACGAGGTGCTTTCCTGAAGACCGAAGTCAGCTGACGCCACATCTGACTATTGCAGTTTGATCCCCTGTTACCTTCGTACAGCCGAGTGAAAAACTTGCCGCCGGAGAGAGCATGGGAGCTGGGCATGGTGCTCCAGATGAAACACTCCACCGTGCCAGCATCATGCGCGGCCTTTGCGAGATTGCGGCCCTGCTGCTCCTCGCTCATCGGATCATCGATAATTGCCTGTGATGAGTGTGAGTTGGGGCCAGCGCAATGAAAAGCAGCAAGCGAGCCCATACCGGATCGTAGAAATTGGTTACCGCAAATACTCCCCAGCATCCTTTGACCACCGCAGGAAGGCTCGACGGATCGGTGAGGTTGCCTTGGACAAGCTCAGCTCCCGCATCTGCCAGGGCACGCGAAGCTTTCGATTCGGTGTTGCGAGTGAGACACCTCACGGTATATTGTTCGGGATATTGCAACAGCAGCTTTGCCACCGAGCCACCTGTGAGCAGTCAGAAGTGATTTGGATTGAGCAGACACAAATCTTGCCTTGGTTTCCAGTGGCGCCTGTAACGAGGACTAGCTTTGGCATAGTGGAATGAACGACTTCACTTGTCCTGTATTCTGGGAACGTTGTACCCTTTCACCCTTCGGAAACAGCTGTTATATCCTGGTAGTAGAGAAGATGCCAGTGATCACGAGGAATGGTATTCGTGTTATCGACGCAATTCTTGGTTTACAACTAAACAAAAGTCTTCGAAGCCCGGTTACGACAATATAGAACTGTGGCCTATCAGGTATGTGGGGCATCTCTCAGACCGGTCGTCCAAGACTCAGCCACCCGGAAAATAATGGCCTGTCCTTCACGGCTAGAAAAGAGGCAAATATTTCCATGTTTGAGTGGCTCACACGACTGTTTCAAGGATGCTTCTCCAAGTCCGTATGGAGAAATAATGTACAAGAAGGTCAAATGTTGGAAATGGCATTACTCCTGACGAGGTAGCCCGATGAGGATGCATCAGGATTCCAAAGAGGTCAATCCCGGTTAACTGCATTGAGTTGCTGCTCTCGTGTATCACAGAGTTAATATTGGGAGAGACAATGTACGCGGAGAACTTTCAAGCAGCCGCTTGAGGGGTGAGCAGTAGAGACGGACCAGCATGGACGGTGTGACTTTCTGTTGTTCCCAATTAGGAAACTACAATATCGAGATTACCCAACTAGGTTAGCGCAGCAACAACCCTCTCCCACAACTGTGGTGTAAACACATCTGCAATGCTAGTCAATTTCTTCTACCACGCTCAGTCCTGGAGATTCAGAACACACAGGTAGGTCACTGGGAGGTGTCAGCTATCGTGTCCACAACCATAATGACAATGCAGAAGACATGGCTTTCTTTGTCTCGACTCTTCTCCAGAATGACAGTTGTGTTATTAGGGCCTTTTACCGTTCCTCTCATGATATGCTTATGCATTCCGGGACGTCATGTCACGGCTCGATGCAACAAAGCTAATTTACTCTGATTTACAGTATGTGGGGCCAGTAATATCTCGAAATATTTGCTAAACGACCGGCGGCCCTTTTCATCACTTTCAGAAGCATCACAGTCCCACTGAATCACAAGGATGGCTCCAAGTATCAATGGGACAGGACCGGGCGCTGCTAGCTTGGATAGCCTCGACGTCGACGATCTTACTTCACATGTCATCAAAGTCTCGTCAAATATCGACAACGAACGAGTCAAGTTCATCTTCAGCAGATTAATTCGGCATTCGCACGACTTCATCCGCGAGACAGAGATTCAACGCCATGAGTGGGAAGCCGCGTGGGAGTTTTTGACCAAGGTAGGCTCTGTGGATGGACTTCATTCGTTCTGGAGGCTGAAAGTTCCCAGGTCGGGCAAGCTTGTCATCCAGAAAGACAGGAGTTTATCCTGCTCTCAGACGTGCTCGGTATATCTGCTTTGGTCGACCAAATAAACAGTCGGCAACTACCAGGCTGCACCGAGTCGTCGGTTCTCGGACCGTTTCATAATGAGTCGCACGAGTTCAATCACGGAGACAGCATATCCTCCGTCGGAGCGGGCGAATCTATGCTCATCCGAGGAACAGTCAAGAACCGAAAAGGAGAGCCTATCCAGGGAGCATTGCTGGACATCTGGGAGACCAACGGCAACGGAAAATACGACATGCAGGACCCTGAGACAGGTGGACCGGACTGTCGAGGGAAGTTCTACACTGATGACGAGGGACGGTTTTACATCAACGGTGTACGGCCTGTTGACTATCCCGTGCCCTTCGATGGTCCGGTTGGCATTGTTCTAGATCTCCTGAACCGACAAGCCTATCGCCCAGCACATGTGGTGAGTGTCATCTTGCACATCTATTCAACCCTTTTGATCACGTCGCACTAACAAACACACAGCACTTTTTGATCAACCACCCTTGTTATGAGAGGCTCAACACGGCTCTGTACGACAGGACGAGCCCAAGAATATTCAAAGACCCCGTATTTGGGACGAAAAGCAGCTTGGTCAAGGACATTGAGTGGGTCGAAGATCTCGAAGAGGCCAAGATGTATAATACAAAGCCGTTTATGCGCGTGGTGGATGGACATGAAACTGAGGGGTTTTGGCTGTTGGAGCATGACTTCATTTTGGCGGAGGCTCAAGGGGACCGGAGCCTGAAGACTCATCTATAATGCGTTGAAGACATACGTAGCTATCGATGAATCTTCTGTGGAGGATTCTGTTGGGACGGCTGTCATAAATACGCTTTGCACTTTGTACATGGGGTGTTTGCGCTAACTCGAGAGTCATGGACATGTGCTTGCACCAGAGCTGCTACTTGGAAAATAGACCCATCCTTTGATGCAAAAGGTCACTAGGTATAATGTAGCGTCCCAAGATCACACGCACGATACTCTGTAATTATCCCTCACTTATCCATTTACAGACACAGCTCCCATGTGGGGGATTCACAGTCAGGCCCGACACTCCTTCCTGTAGTGAGAATATACCGGCTCGAGAATAATTAAGAGACAGATCACCTGCTAAAGACCGACGACCTTGAACCTGATCTACGTGCCCATCATCACCTTCCACACTACCCACACAGTAAACCATGGCCGACCAATTCCTCGCCGCGATCAAGACCCGTCGAACATTCTACGCACTCGCGGCGAGATCGCCCATCGCGGACCTCGACATCGTCCGGATCGCCAAAGAAGTCATCCTGCACACGCCGAGCTCGCTCAACTCACAGTCGACCCGCTTCGTCATCCTGTTCGGCGACGACCACAGGAAGCTGTGGGACATTGCCAAAGAGTGTGTCAGGACGGTCGATGCAGGCGGCGATTGGCCCGCCGATGAGAAGAAGTTGGATCAGCGACGGGACGCGTATGGGACGGTGAAACTCCCTTTCTTCACTTGAATACTAATTGGGGACAAAATGTGGATGCTGATGTCCTCTCAATGGTCAAGGTCCTCCTCTACGAAGACCAGCGCGTCACCCATGACCTGCAGCAAAAGTTTGCACGCTACAGCGGCTACTTCCCCCAGTGGGCCGAGCACACCAACGCCATGAACACCTTCAACCTGTGGACGGCATTGGAGCTGGAAGGTCTCGGCTGCAATCTCCAGCACTTTAACCCGTACATCGACCAGAGGATTGTCGAGGAGTGGAAAGTCCCCGCCGAGTGGGTATTGAAGGGTCAATTGGTTTTTGGCACGCCCACGGCTCCTCCGAACCCGAGCAAGACGTTTGTGCCGGCCGAGGAGAGGGTGCTGGTACCGGGGTTGTAGCTTGGGCAGGAAGATGGGTGCAGCGGGCAGCATCGCTTCAGATGGTTCTAGATATGATATATATGATATCTAGATCTTGTCGTGACAGACACCTCTGAAAATGTAGAGTCTTTCATCTTGTCGCTCGATCAAACCCATACGGCTGTTGTACGGTGACCACTCTACTCCCGCTGAAACAGCGCCGCAACGCCATGACCAGTACTAAAGGACAGTCAGCGGCAGAACAACTACACTCTGGACATTCTTACCTGGCACACATGCTCACGACCCCAAGCTCCTTGTCCTCTTGTTCCAGCTGGGCAAATAGCGTCGCTGTCTGCCGCGTTCCAGTGGCTCCAGTCGGATGACCCAACGCGATCGCGCCACCTCTCGGATTTACCTTTTCGGCATCGACGCCCAGCACCCGAAGACAGGCAATCGTCTGGCTGGCAAATGCCTCGTTGATCTCGAAGATGTCAACGTCTTTCTGGGAGATTCCGGTGAACTTATACAGAGCAGGGATCGCGTAGATGGGACCAACACCCATTTCGTCGGGTTCGCAGCCTGCCACTGTCGTGCCGAGGAAGCGCCCAATAGGTTTGATACCGCGGTGTTCTGCCCACGATCGCCGTGCAAGAATACTGGATGAGGCGCCGTCGGATATTTGTGACCTGTGGCGCGTAAGCTGAAGTCCAACAGATTGCCCATTGAGGGTTCTTACGAGTTCCCTGCAGTGCTTCTGCCATCATCGGCGAATGCGGGTTTGAGCTTTGCAAGTTTCTCCAAAGTGACACCGGGTCTGATAGTGTCGTCCTGTTCAACACGTAATATCGTTTGTGCCCCTGTGGTATCGTCCCTTTTTGTCCACTCGACGGGGACAATTTCTGAGGAGAATTTGCCCGACTGTTGAGCTTCTAGAGCCCGCGTATGACTCAAGAGGGCGAACGCGTCCTGATCTTTTCGGGAGATGTCGTATCTGCGGGCCACATTCTCCGACGTAATCCCCATGGGTAGAAGACAGTCTCTTGCACTTTTGACATCTGAGCCCCTGAGGGTGGGGGACACGTCAACGGGGACGCCTCTACTCCCATAGTTTCGCGTCATGCTTTCAACGCCTCCTGCAAGTCCAACGTCGATCTGTCCGGCGAGGATAGCGTGCGAAATATGTGTGATAGCCTGCAAACTGCTCGAGCACTGTCTGTTGACGGTGTGAAACGTGGTGGTGACTGGAAACCCTGCGTGGTTCAACGCCATCCGGCCCGTCTTTGCGAATCCAAGCTCTGCCAGTACGTTGCCGATGAGGACATCCTGCACGTCGCCTGGTTCGATGCCAGCACGCGTCGCCGCCGCTCTCATGACCTATCTCCGCATTAGGAACCTCGTAGCAGCAATGGAGTGAGTGACAGCGCCCTGACCGGCATGAGGATATCTTCGGGCCAAGCATCCTTGAAACCGCCCTTGAAGGACCGTGTAATGGGACTGCGCACCGCAGAAAGCAGCACAATATCATTTGGTGATTTCGTCGCGAGCGGGCCGAGGAGTCTTGCTGGCGATGCCATGCTGTAGTGCTTGTCGATGACTTGCACTGCAAGGCTGCGCTGTGCTATGAAAGCCATCCGGGCATGACCGCCGCCTAGTATTGCTTTGGAAGCAGCAAATCAGATGTGGGGAACTAACCATATCGGGATGCGCGATGGTCATCTCAGGAAGAGAAAGTGGGTGGGTTGCTCATTGCAGTATCTCTAAGATGCCCCATTCATCATTCATCCACATTTGCCGGGGACTGTCTCTATAATTACCTTTCACTTGGTCACGGAAGGTGCGCCGGGCAGGCCTTGGCATTGGCAATTAATCAGATCGCCGTGGCTTCGCCTTGAGAACTCGACAATCAACATCTTTGCCTGACCTCGACAAGATATATACTTCTATATCTTTGATAGAAGCAGAGTAGTTCTCCCCCCATTCGAGAAATCCTGAGACTGATTCCACCCGGCAAAATGAGCTTCACACCAGGACAGGAGCACTATCGGCCTGCCTTTGACAATAAACCCACCCCAAAGATCAGCTCAGGGCTGCCCTTTGAAAATGCATGCGCCAAGCATGTCGAACAGACTTTCAAGGCCACGCGAGTCTTTATCTTGGCGTCCAGGTCTCTATCTAAACAGACCGACTCTCTAGAAAAGCTGAGACGAGCGCTGGGCGACCGTGTGGCGGGCTGTCGCATCGGCATCAGCCCGCATACGCCCATCTCCGAAGTCGTTGAAGTCATAGACGAGGTCAAAGAGCTGGATGTTGACTGCCTCGTCACCCTTGGAGCTGGCAGTATCACCGATGCTGCTAAACTGGTCAGGTTTGCAATTGCCAACTCGGCGTGGGACGAGAAGGCGATAAGCACGTTATGGGGTGGTCACTCATACAACGCAAACCGTCGTGAGCACATCAATAAGCCAAAGACCCCACTAATTTGCATACCGACTTCTCTGTCCGGCGGAGAATACCAGGCTATCGCAGGTGCAACGGAGACCTTGACCACACGGGCCAAAAGGACATTTGAGCCTAACGTCGATCCGGAACTGGTCATTCTAGACCCGGAACTAGTCAAAACCACTCCTCAGTGGGTTTGGCTGAGCACTGGTGTCAGGTCGATTGATCACTGCATAGAGACCATGTGTAGTCTGCAGAGCACCCCAGAAGGAGATGCTGCAGCGAGCCGTGGCTTGGGTATGCTGGTTCCAGGACTTCTAAGATCAAAAGCAAACCCAGATGACTCGGAGGGTCGGTACCTGTGCCAGCTCGGAGTGATTCAGGCCATGCAGGCTGTTTCTACAGGGACGCCACTGGGTGCAAGTCACGCGATCGGTCACCAACTTGGACCACTGGGTGTCGGACACGGCGAGACGAGCTGTATCCTTTTACCTGCCGTGTGCAAGTTCAACGCCGCAAATGGGGCGAACATTGCCAGACAAGCTGAGGCTCGAGAGCTACTGTTGGGACTAGCTCCTGTACAAGCCGTGATCAAAGCCAGAGGTCGGACCGCGAGCAATCTTGACCTAGGCGACATCCTCGATATTGTGATTCGAGAACTCGACATGCCCCGGTCCCTCGCCGCGGTCAAGATTGGCAGAGACAAATTCGATCTGCTTGCGGTGAACAGCCTGCATGATTTGTGGATCCGGACCAACGCCTTTCCCATTACAGAGAAGGATCAAGTGTTGGAAATCCTGAACATGGTGGCAGAGTGAGAGGAGCCATGGCGGGTTGAGACGTGTGCGTGTTTTGGAGTCGATGCATACAGAGTCCCAAGGAGGGATGAAGAGAGACGGAGTCACAGGCCAAGAACCCCGCAGCCACTTGGAGTTCCAGGCTGTGCGGGCGTTGGCTGGTATCAGGTACAGGCGTCCCACCCCCACAGATCCGGGCAGTCTAGGCGTGGAGCCGGTCGGTGCTCGCCGCATCGGCTGCCCCCTTGACAAGCCGGTTAACACTCGGTGTGCCTTGTCCTCGGGTCACGTGGTTGTTCCCCCCCAACACGCACTTTCTACGGGTATACAACTCACTGAGCAAAAGCATGGCTTCAAGTGATATGTGCGCAGTGGTTGGCACGCTCTATACTATATTGCACGTCGTGGAAAGTCACCAAAGGAGACAACATCACCTTCCCGCTGGACAAGGCTAGACGAGGCTAGACAAGATCACTGAAATGACAGACACCTTACAGACCATCTGGAAGAGATGTGCCTATTGTGAACGAACCTTCTCAAAGTTGGAACACTTACGGCGTCACCAAAGATGGCGTAAGCTTCGATATTCCCCCTGATAACTGACATCTATCACATCAACCAAGTCTCCTCACTGACCGCCCCAATCTAGATACTGGAGAGAAGCCATTCAAGTGTGCGTTCTGTGGGCGAAGATATGCTCGAAGGTACGTCTGTGTGGTGCCCTGCTCTAATACAGGATGGAACGAGCCAGGGATCAAATGCTGATGTCTTGTCCTGACATAACAGCGATGTGCTAGCCAGACATATCCGCAACCATCATCCAACTGATGATAATGGCCCAGAGGGGATTGTCGTCGAGCCCATGGTACATTCGTCGAATCCTCGGGATCTGCCTCGTATCTCTCAGTCTCCTACTCGGACGCATACTCCGGCCCAAACTCAACGTCGATCTGCAGAAGTCAGAGAGATGAATTTCATACCAGGAGAGCCCGCGGAGCACTCAGCAACCACTATCGACCGAGACCGCAATGTCCCATCGACAGTGGGAGGATCACGACCAACTATGGCCCCTCGGACTCCCTCTATGCGACCAAACTCAAGGCCCGAGAACAGACCAGGAGATATTTCCCTGACCTGGAAATCACCAATCCTGGGGCCTCCTCTTCGATCTGATAATCTAGCGAGTCATGGACCGAACAACCCTGTGAGCGGCAATACGACCAACGTTCAATTCAAGGGAAATGGTCACCTCCTCGCTGCAGAGACCGTGAGGCTGAATCATGAGATAATCGAACCGTCCCAGCTATCAGGAAATCACCGCAGTCAATCAGTGCACAACAACGGCACCTCACAGAGGGAAAACTCGCAAGCCAAACCTACAGAACCACCAATCGGCCACCAGGGTTTGGCTATGCCTGCCTCGCCATATCCAGAGGACATGGACATCCCCGACATGATGGAAGGGGGAATGACAGACTTTAATGCCGAAGACATTGACTTCACGCAGACTTCTAATGCCCCCGACCTGCTCTGGCTGGAGTCTACCATCGACCTGCCCAACCTGGAAAGCCTCATCGCCACTCTCCCGACTCCTGTTGACGACCATCTATCATGTCAGGACCAACCACTTACCAAAGGCTTGTCCTCCGACAGACTCCGTCGTGTCCAGAAGGCGTGGCCTTCAAAACTGGTGCGTCCTATCCGACTAATAAGGCGACTTTGGCAGACGGCACTCCAACATCCAGCAGACAACATTCTGTGTCACGGAGTCAACGAATCTCGAGCCCAGAGCCAGGGTTCTGCTCAGCATAAAAATCCGTCAGGGTCACGGTGGCACATGGATACCAGCTGCAGGGACAGACTCTTGCAGGACAGCGACAAAATCTTTGGCAAGGAAGAGTCTCTGTACACCATGCTAGTCGACCAGGGCGACACACCTCAGAGCTCGACGTCGACGACATACGATACCAATTTCCCGTCGGTCGAGATGTTGGATATGAGTCTGGACCTCTACTTCGAACGCTTTCATCCCTCTATACCGTTTGTACACCAGGCGACGTTTGATGCGAGGACAACACCCAGCGCGGTGCTTTTTCCAATGTGTCTTATTGGACTCTCAGCACTAGACCCCCGAGGGTCGCGGGACTTTGTCCGCAGGGAGTGGATGGTTAGCAAGCTCCCCCAAATTCTTCACACGACGGTCTTGCTGAAGGCGATGTTCAGAAACTTGTCCATTCCTGCCGACTGGAACTTACGTCTCAGGCCCTCGGTAAGCGTCCCCCTTGGGAGCTTATCACCGCCGTGGCAGCTTCGTTACTTGTGCTCAATCTTGCTCTTTGCATCTCAGTAAGCTCTGGCCATTCCAACATTCTTGTGTCCTTCTAATCAATCTGTGGAGCGGCGCCTGGACGAGAATGAAGCTCATATGCTCTGCATTCAGACTCTACACGTACGTATAAGTGAGGGCCCTTCGAGCTGCCTCCTATCTGACTTGTCTAGGTAGCAGAAAAGCACGGATTGTTCGCGGCTTGTGACGGCAAAGAAGTCGACCTCAATTTGATGGGCCCTTCATCGGACCTTGAACGGCTGTGGAAGCCTTGGGCACGGGTGGAATCAGTCAAGAGGTAGTTTAGTCCTCCAAGGGCTGTGGTACGCCCGCGACTAACCTGAACGCTAGGATGGTCACCTGTCTCCTGATCATTGACGCTACGTATGCCACTCTCTGGGGCACGGCGGGAGTGCTCGAGCTAGACAGACTCGAGATCATTTCCCCTTGTAAATCGTCATTATTCGAGGCTGGTGACGCGGCAACATTTGCTCGCGAGGTGGAAACCAACGCTCAGATCATCATGCCCCGGATGACGTTGCAGCGAATGTCGAAATTGTCGTCGGCCATGCTCGGGAGTATAGGGCTGCAAGCACTGCTAGCTGCCATCTCCATCCAACACTCCGTAGCTCGCCATAGACTCTTTCCCGGCCAACTCGGAAGTGACGAGACGATGGCCGTGACGCCGGTGGAGAGATACGCGCTGGACGACCACGCAAAGACCATAGCTCCCCTCCTGGCAACGATCCCCAGCAGCCACAGGGTCAACTTCGACCAAGACCACCGCCACGCCCTACTCCACTGGAACAGTCTATGCATGTCCACCGTGGTGGATATGGACCAGTTCGAGCTCGCCTTGGGCCACAAGGACGCCGAGTCCGCTCATACTGCCCTAGAGAACATCGCCATCTGGGCCAAGTCAGCGGAAGCCCGTAGAGCCGCACTCCACGCCGCCCAGATCTTCTGGATCCTCTCACAGACCCGGGTCTCAGAGCCGGCCCTGCTTCTGCACGAGCACATGATCTTCACGGCCGCGCTGGTCCTGGCGTTTTATGTCTTTAAAGCGAACCCTCCCTCGGAGCAGCCTGTGAGCACCCTTTCTTTCTCGGGAGGCGGTGGCGCCGACACGATGACGTTTGAACTGCTGCAAGAGATCGATTGGGCCGAAATCGGCATGCAGGGACTCGGCAGAGTATTCTCGTCGTCTTCCCAACTGGTAAATGGACAGTCTTCGACCGCAAAACAGTTTATTAGGCATGGAGGTCCCGCATCATTTGGCCGTGTGGCCGCCGACGGCGAAGCAGCCGCGAGAAAAGTCATTCTCAAGTATGCGCATTTACTGGATGAGGTCGTCAAGTGGGAGGGGTCCGACTACCGCGAGGCGCTCAAGGCGATTGGGGATTTCTTCCATATTTGACGTGTCGACACTTTTGACCGGCGTGATGGCATAGGCGGATAGTAAGCGAGGGTAGGTAAGAATATCCCTGGGCATAGGGACAAATATATCCACTTTAGTTCGTGCGCGCGTGAGTGGGTGTATCTATCTCTCTCTATATCTATATATCCATCTCTCTACCAATCCAGTAGGTCTTACGCCCCCCTGGACATCCACCGAGGACTTGACACCGATAAAACGCGCAAGTATGCCCATGGTCGACTCATCCAAGTAGGAATTTCCTCTTCCCAAATAGGTTATGGAAAGTAATTATCATGTGGGGCGCCGTCCGTCCGTCCTTCCTCTCCTTCCAGAGTGTCTTGTCTCTCCTTCCAGATTCGTCATCCGTGCGTAACTACATGGTACATGGTGTCTGGTATCTGGTACCTGGTATCTGAAGCAAATACATACATACATACATACATACATACATACATGCATACATACTTGGTTTCTCGTACGGAAGTTCAGACTTGTTTCTTGTTGGTAGGTAAATCGGCGTGTCTATGAGTGAGTGACTAAGTTAAGGACACCAGACAGACAATCAGTCACCAGACAGGAGCATGTGCAAGGTACAAAGCTGAAGAAAAGCACCGCGAAATGAAAGAGAAATAGTTCTTGTACCTATCCGTGACATCTATTGGCCTTATTAGTCCCCATATCCTTCCTTTCCATACGTTCGCATAATGCGCACGTCTCGACTCTACCTTGAACCCGTCATGGTGATGAAATAATAACAAATTCTCCTAGGCCCGTACGCCTTCATTCCCTTGTTGTTGCTTCTGCTCTGTCGGTGCCGACACGAATACTGCTTCGCGAACACTATTCCAAGACGACTGTGGCTGTCCCTGCCCCTGGCCCTGCCGCGTGCAGCCCCGGACAGCCTCCTCGAGCAATAACTTGACGTAGCGCTTATGACCCCATCCTTCGAGCGAGAGCGGCGCAATGGGACTCGAGGCGGCGACACCCACGCCGAAGTAGAAAAGGCTCTTCATGCGGAACTCGGCGATGGGGACGTCGCTATCAGTCTCGGTGTCAGCATCCCGATGTATCGTGACGCTCAGCTCAAACAGGCCATCGACAGCGCGCGGGCCGTGAGGCGTGTTGAGCGGCGAGTCGCCGCACCGTAGTAGTATCGCTGTGGGAGTCTTGGACAGCACGACGAAGTGGTTGGTGATTTCGGTACCGACGTCGTAGTGCGAGTGGAGGAGCTCAGGCCGTCGCCAGAGTTGGTGTGCCAGAGCGGGCGAGGCGCTGTATCGCTGCTGGAGGTATCTGCGCTGGATGGCGTAGGCTGGAGTGTCGATGGTCAGTATGCGTCTGCGTCTTAGTATGGTATGGTATAAGGTAGGAAGAGTGTATGGGTCATCATTATCCAAGACCGGGGGGTTCCAGTTCCGCCAACCAAATACAATAAGCGTTAAAAGGGGGTATCCTGCGACCACGGACGACGAACGTACCACGACTCGCCCAAACAGCGGCACAGAACGCCTCGACCAACTTCGTCCCTCCTTCGTCATGATCCCTCAAGAGGTCCGGTTCCAGCTGCGACAGGGGGACTTTCCGCACGCAGAGATCGTGAAACGTCGGGTTCTTGTTCGGATTAAACCGTCGGTAAAATGGTGTTTGGGAGAGAACGTCCCGTGAAGGGTCGTATGGCTCGAAGTGGCAGGATCGTGTCCACCAGCGAAACGCGCCGATGGTTCCTACGCCGCCGCATAGAGCGGCCGTGGACAAGAGTCTCAACGGGGAGAGTTTTAGGCGGGACATCGTATCCTTCTCCAGAAGGAGAAGAGGTAAGTCAGGAGGGGGGAAGGGGAGGGGAGGAATAAGGGGGCCAAGATTGAGGGCAGATTCAGGCTTGAGGAATCAGGGTAGCGAGTATGAGATACCTACGTTAGAGCACAGGATCGAGCCATCGTATACAAATGGTGGCCGATGTGTCCCATGTCATGTCACTTTTGGTTAGAGGCCGAAGTAGAATCGATGCCCCACAGTGCTTGACCCGATCCTGCAAACGTTTGTCCATTTCCAGCACGAAGAAAGAAAAGAAGCTGTGTGGAATCTCTCTACATCCCAAACCTCAAAGTCGCTGCAGGGCCAGAGTCAGATCTTCTTTTAAGAGTTCTTGATCTGAGAAGAGCGCCTTCCGTCAGCGACACCTATACTTTACGGAACCCAATTTTCACAAGTTCCCATCGCAAGTCACAGTCCTCTGCTTGGTGAGGAAACTAATGTATGCCCCACATGAAGCGGTGCTTGTACAAGTTGCAATCGGCACGACTTTTCGCAACAAAGACACCTACAACTAGCCATTCCATGCCCTATGTGGCTCTCTAGTGTTTAGCTTAGCACCTAATATCTCTCCATGAGAGAGACACACCACCAACGCACTCAGAAGAGGTGGAAAGAAAGACAAGGCAATACTCTTTGAGCTCCACAGCTATCTCATCTCTATCCAGTTCGCGTGGCATCATACAATCTTCTCAAAGACCAACTTGCAACTCTGGCCCTTGGGCCTACTGGCGATGATCTGGTCTTCCATTTCCATGTCGCTGTCCATCTGGGGGGACAAGGTCGTGCGACATTGCGAATAGACTTCGCGGAGAAGTAGTTTCATCTCTGCGATGGCGAGGCTGTGATGGACAGCGAGTTAGCATTCTGTAAGACGAGACGACAAGAAAAAGGGATAATAATGCAAAGAAACGGGCTAAGAGGAGCTAGAGACTTACTGCCGGCCCAGACAGCCTCGGCCGCCCACCGAAAAGGCAAAGAACAATCTGTTCCTCTCGGCCTCTCCTTGTTTGTCCAACCAGCGCTCCGGTAGGAATTCCAACGGCTGCGGGAACACGACTGGGTCCTTGTGCAGCGTGTACGCCTGACTGCTCACGATGGTGCCGCCGGGGATGAAGTGGCCGTCGATCATGCTCCCTCCTTGGGGCACATATCGCGGCATCGACATTGGTATGGGCGGGAAACAGCGGAGGCCCTCTTTGACCACGGCATCCAGGTAAGGGAGTTGGTCGAACGAAGTCGTGGCGTTCTCCGTGAGTTCCTTGTGCAGCAGGCCTTGAATGCGTTGGGAGGCTGGCGCGGGTAATGAGAGGTGGTGCATCAAGAAACAGAGGGCGTCGCCTGTCGTGTCAACCCCAGCAGCCAGGTGGTCCTTGCATTCGGCTGGCACGGCGTAGGGTGCCATATTGGTAGCCTTGGCCTGTGCCTGAAGCTTGGAGAGGAGACTGAACGGTGATGGCGAGGGAGATGCGCTGGCCTTCAGGACGTATTCATTCGACAGCGGAGCCGGCTTAGGCGGGCTGATGCGGTGGATGATATTGGAGAGCCACGGCATGTAATAGATGGCGACATTGCCTGGAAACACGTCAATTACTCCCACCCCCCCGTTCTAACGACACCTCCACAAATCATGGAGTTTCACATACTTTTCAAACTGTCGTGATAGGACAATTCTTGCATCAGCCGCAAATCCTTTTCATTCCTGTTGGCGTGCGTGCCGTACGGGTGGAAAAGCTGATGAGTGACCCCGTCCAGGGCGAAGCAATGTAGATATACCTGAGACACTCTTCGTCAGTTTCGTCGAGATAGCCCCAGCACAACTGACAAAGCCCCTCACATATATGTCGGCGAAGCCATCACTCCCGTAACATTGGTCGAGACACTTGCTTAAAAAGTCCCGGGCGTGCTGGACGATGCCGTTCAAGATGTCGGGTTTCATGATGCTGGTGTTTGCGTAGCGGTCGGCCAGGTATCTCTTCATATAGCTGTGCTGGAACGGGTGGCCGCCGCCGCCCAGAAGAGTTAGCGAACAGTTCTCATCATCGAGCACACTTGCGACGTCTTCTCTGGGAGGGTGGATAGAACATACGTCCGCTCTGGGGAGCGTGGAGAATAGCGTGCGCGTCCCAAACTGCGTGAACAGCGAGTAGAAGGGCGTCTTGTCATAACCGCTGCCGCCCGACATGTAGATCTCCTTGGCCGCGTCGGCGCTCGAGAAGGACACCTCGTCGGGGCTCAGCCGGACGACCGCGCCGTACTTCTGGTGGAGGTCATGGATGTACAGGCGTCGTCCGTGCGTGAATTCGCGGTACTTGAGCACCAGCGCCGTCCAGGCCGTGTACTTGGGGCCCGGCAACTTTGCCAGTGGCGAGCGCAGCCGCCGCATAGCCTCGATGAGTACCGCAACGAGGATAAAGTAAGGTAGGACTTGCAGAAGCATGGTTGCTAGTTGCTGGTGGAAAACAGTTGGTTGGGTCGACGAGTATATCTCCGCTATTGGTGCACAAAGCAGTCGTGTTTCGCTCTCTGTTATCGCTCGGCTCTGCTATCTCGCTCAAGAACCAGAGACAATGGTAGGACCGGTCTACTCCAGAGCCATAGAAGCTATATATCGAGCACTGAAGAGGCTCAAATTCGGGGAGTGAAACTGCAATTTGATGACACGGTCCAAAGAGGGAAGGTTGTGGCGATGGCGACACCGTATGGACCACCCCTCGACGTCGATGTAGTTGTAGTTACTTCCTGTTTTCCCGACCACAGACAGTCAAGATGACTAAAAGAAGCAAGCATAGAGACGATAATGGCCGCGGTGGTGATTATTTCCACTGGAGAAGACTCGATAAAATCCGTCTTGTCTATCTTGTCTATTCGTATCTGTCGATCGCCCCACCATCTCCTCATCCTTCCCCATTGGGATTGGCGGGGAATATCATCTCCATAGTCCAAAGCGTCAATTCCGATAAAGAAGCAATTAGATTTAATAATAATGGAACCTCCCCGGACAAACGCCACGAGGGCTTTTCCATCCGTAGTTCTATCATCCTCTGACAGCCGTCCAGCCTTTCCCTTCTCCCCAACTTTCCTCCTCCAGTATAGCGCAATGTCATCCATTAAAGACCAACCGCCCTTTCATCAACGAAGCATGAATGACTTGAGTCTCCCTTATCTTGATTGTCCCTGTCGCGTCTCCGTGTCCATATAGTTGTTTCCTTTCTGGGAGAGCTTCAGACGACTATATATGGTCTGCCAATGTTCCCCTTCTCTGATCCATCGCAAGCGAACAAGTCAAGATCCCCGCCTAGGCTTTTCATTACCCAATCCTCTCCACCGACGCCCTTGCCTCCACCACCAAAATGTCTTCAGAGGTGGATAGCACCGAGAAGAGACCCATCACGACCGATGTCCCAGCACAAAATCCTCCCCCTGACGTGGCAGAGATATATCATCTGCCTGTGGAAACCCGAGACAAACCACTCATGCCACCGCCGACCCACGACTCCCTCGATCCCTTGAACTGGTCCAAGCTGCAGAAGTACAACGTCATCGGTATTGTCTGCTTCTTCTATTTCCTGTTGACCTATTTGACCACTGCCCCCGTGCCCTCGTTCTCGCTGCTCGAGGAGCAATTCGATGCCTCGTACAATCAAGTTAACTGGTCCTTCGGCATCTCTGCCTTTGGTCTCGCCTTTGGCCCTCTGGTCACCTCGTCGCTGGCAGAGACCTATGGCCGCCGAGTGGTGACCATTGCTGCCACAGCAATCGCAGTTCTCGCTAGCGGTTGCACCTCGATCAAAGGACAATCCATCGGCCAGTACATGGCAGCCAGGTTTTTCCAAGGGTTTGCGGCCGGCCCTGCAGCAAACGTGGGGCTTAGCATCATCAATGACATCTCGTGGGAGCATGAGCGAGGTTACCGAATCGGTCTCTGGGCAATGTCTGCAAACATAGGAAGTGTTCTGGGTGGTCTCGGTAAGCTTGGCCTTCTTTCTGGGCGATAGAACTGAGGGGGCTGACTCCAGATGGCAGTTGGCGGATTCATCGCCACGGTGAATCAATACTGGGTGGCCTACCACGTCACCATCGCCTTTGCATTTCTCCTGGTATGGGAGCTTTTGTTTCTGCCAGAGACCCAGTATCCTCGGGCGTACGTGGTGGCTCTCGAGCAGCAACAAGCGGCTGCCACGGCGCGAGGGGAAAACTTGCAGAATACCGTTGTCGACATCAAAAGGACCAAACAACTCCCCTGGCTGGTGAGAGAGGTCTCAGAGAGGATGATATCGATAACATGCTTACACATCGCCCAGAACATCCGCAAAATCCCAGGCGTCCTCCATCCAAAACCTTGGGCGACCCTAATCACCTTCTGCAAGCTGTGGGCATATCCCAAGCTGGTCGCCAGCGTATGTGGATACATATTTCTCCATTATTGGTGGTATGTGTGGCCCTCATGGCGTGTGCTTTGAATGCAAACTAAAGCAAGGCAGGATTGTCGCCCTCCTCTCGATGATCCCTGCTGCGTATGAAGAGTACAAGATCCAGATCCAAGGGTTGTTCTTCACAGGAGCTTTGGTGGGCGTCATCTTCGCCGAGATATTCTGCTCGGGCAATTTGAGCGATTGGATCGTTGCCCGCCTCGCGCGGAAGAACCACGGCCAGCGGACGCCAGAAATGAGGCTGTGGTTGGGATATCCCGGCGCCATACTCTCTGCCATCGGGCTGGCAGTCTGGGGAGCTTCAGTTCAAGAAGAATGGCATTGGATGGTTGGTCAGGTGGCTCTCTTCCTGTTCGCCGTCGGCCTTCAAGCGGGTAACACGACATTGTCGACATATATTGTGGACAGCTACCCGGAGCACGCCATTGAGGTCATAACATTTTATTCCGTCATCATAAATGTGAGTAAACATCAGTCACAGGACTGCTACTATCGAGACTGACGCAAAAAAGATGTCCGCGTTTATCGTGCCCTGGTACATTTACGACTGGGCCGCCGCAGTGGGTAAGAAACATGTCGATTCCCCGTCGGAAGGATTTACGCTGACAATCGCGCGTAGGATATGGATGGTGCTTCGGCACCCAGGCAATCATTTGCGGTATTTGCCTCCCACCCATTTATTTCGTACTTCATCGATGGGGTGGCCGGTGGATAAAGCCCATCGTGCTTTCGTCCGACGAGTTGCCCGACGTATCAAGCTTCGAAAGTAGTGTTGGTCAAGAAAAATGAGTTTGCCGGCTGCGACTCCACAAGTTGGTTTCTCTTGAACTAACAGAATGGGAGCTGGATCGATGTCGCACTCTTAGGCCGACTGAAACAGGTATCAGATGGCGGGTTAGCATGGTTGACGGCACGATTGTTCGGTCAATATGGCAAGAAATCCCAATTCCGTTGACCTATATTCTCGTCAGCCTGAGCTTTGCTGTATGGCACATGTAACTCACGCGAGAAGTCCTCCCAATCAACCCCAGAAGCTTCCGATGCACGCCAAAAGGCTTCGAGTACCTGCAGCGCACGCTTCATGTTTGGCAGACGTAAAAGAGCGAACATATTGGTCAACAGCTGCGCAATCCTTTCACGCTCAGCACCTATAGACTCGCAACCCGCGGTGAACAGAGGTGTAGTCAGTAGGGTTAGGGGTGACAAGGTTGCAGCCGGTCTAATACTCTCGACACATTCGATGATCCTGCGGACGGATATTTGTACGGCCATAGCACTGGGAGGAAGCCGGCGAATCCGTCGATGGATGTGAATGAGCGCAGTGTGCTGGTAAGCTTCGTTACAAAGCAAGAATTCCTGGGACTCCTCTACAGAGAGATCACGAGCGCCCGGAATGTTGAATACCTTGGTCCGGGTCTTGTCGCGCTCGATCATCCTTCGGACTGACCTCTCCAAGAGATCGGCTTCACGTAGGAAATCCTGTTCCGAAAGCCTTGGGTGTTGGCCAGGATCATCGACTGCACGCCGTCTCTCCCAAGCCACCGCTCCGATCTCGCGGAACACCTGAGAAATATCTTCCGCACAGCCGGTGTACATGTCAATAGAGACACTTGCCTCCTCGGCTTCACCAATGAGAGATCGTGGACCACCACAAGCAATCTGACCTGCTGACAACCCCTCAGCTGTGATAGCAACAAGAGCTTCGGTGATATTATACCACCGCTGCAAGAACGGAAGTGATGAATCCTGTCCAACCCCTTGGAAATTGTCAGAGGATATCTCATGAGACGACAGCAAAGCTCGTGCGCCCAGGAAATGAGCTCGCCAGGCCCGGAGACATGGAGATCCAGAGATGGCTTCGCAGAGGAAGAGTGTTCGAGTTGTGGCAACTTTGGCGCTCAATGGGCTTGATCTTGGGTTGTGGAGCTCCTGACGCAAATAGCGAATGCTCTTAGTTGTCAGGTGGCTGACTAGTTTTTGAGCGCCTTCATTCATGTCGTCTTGTGGGATAGAGGTCAATGAATTCCGATGAATAGCGGCCAACGCTAGAGTGGCATGAAGGAGGGCGGGGTTTCCAAGGGCCATGGGTAATATCAATTTACAGACCTCTTGATGGACAACAGTGTGCGTGGCCAGAGCCATGGAGGCATTGCAAGTGAAGTACTGCAGCAGAGCACGGTTGTCTCGGGGAATGAATGACAACGGATCCACGTGGTCGAAGATCCGATCTGGCACCTGGCTACTCACTGGAACCAAAGCCAGAGCAGTCTCGTCGTCAACCGCTGGCTCGGTCGTGGTTGATTCTGTCTCTGCAACCCTGGGAGCTTCTTTGCATGACGGACTGTCTACTGTGTCAACGTTTCTGGCTGACGCTGAGGTGTATACAAATCCTCCATCTAGAGTTGCTGTTGGAGGGTGTTAGTCTTGGAGACACAAAATCCCTATTCTGAGGCAAACCCACCAGCCTTTCGAGCTCCTCCGGCCGTCTTTGAGAGACAGGTTCCAAATCGGGACTGGGCAAAGGGGCGTCCTCCGAATCTCAATGTCCTCTGGTAAGAACAATCTGCTTGATCCTTTTCACACCGAGCGCACCGCGGTTTCTGCTCCCCGCACTTTTGTCGTCGCTTCTTGCAGCGCACGCAGCCATTCCAGGACCGAGAAGGTGTTGTCATGGTTCCATTGATCGCTCTGTATGATGTGCAGTCCACTGCCAGATTGAGGCTGCGCAGCGTTGCGGCATTGCTCGAGTGTGCGTGATGGATTGTGTATGGTGTATGGGGTATAGAGGAGAGGAAGAGAGAGGAGTGGACCGTCGGATTAAGTCAATTAGAGGAGAAATTGATGCTTGATAGCACAAGTCGTTGCTTAGCGCTGCTGACGAGGGAAGATGGAGGGGGTCGCAGTTTAGCGGGCTACTCCGGAACAAGCGATAAACCCTGAATTCATCACGACTAACACCAAAGGGGAATGATGAAGCGACAACCATATTATCATGTCAATATTGAATCAAGTCGGTTGCAAGTCCCAAGATATAAAAACCTACGTACAGAGCAGCGCCTACTCGCGTATCAATTCAAGGCGTGTTTTCCTTTTGAGGCGTATCACAACCCACTGAAAATGTCCCCCCGCCTGTCGACTCGCCTCAGTATACGCTGGGTGCCTGGTGAGGCATCAGAACCCACCGATACATTAATCATTGGAGTCGGCGGCTGGTATGTCGACCTTCGCATCACCAAGCTTGACGGGTCAACCGACTGGGCAATGGCTGGTGAAAGGCTCATATTGTCACAAGAGCCATGTAGGTGGTCTCCCCTCATCCCCCAACGCTTCTGTTAGACAGGGCCATGAACTGTCCCTCGATCAAACCTTTTACTGAGACAACTATAGTAACCTGCAAATGGACTCATTGGATCGACTCGAGGGGATATACAGAGCCTGATGTCGGCAGCTTCAAGCCTGCCTCTCAATCAACCGACAGCATCGAGACAGGCAGCATGCTTCACCCAGAAACCAATATTATGACACCATACGAGGAAGTCTGGAGGACCCTCCCCGCGACTTTCACGTATCGTTTTCCTTCAGCCTGGATACTGCGCAGCGTGGATGGCAAGACTTTTCTGGGTCAACTTGGGGGAGATTTTCTAGCTTTGAAAGGTGGCAACGAAGGACCAGCCGGAATGACGGGGTTCTGTGCCCGAAGAGAGGCTTGGGACGACACGAAAGGTGCCTGGATCACGAAATACGAAACAGGAGACGAACAGAATCTTCAATATCTTCCTAGATTGGCCCAAGAGACGCAGAATAGAGCGGGCAAGGAGATGGAATGGGTGGAGGGCAGCAAGGAGGGCGATACTGTAGACATCTTCGGGGCACAATACATTGTATGTGCAATTGAAAAGTTGACCTGATCACTAAGCTGCGCATTGTCTTGTCAAATTCTAGGCAGGGTTGGTTGAATATGCGTCACTGTGAGCAGATGCAGCAATGGAATTCTCAGCCTCGCGAATCTAGATCGGAAAGGAGCTACGGCCGTATCCTCGCACTCATACCCAAGGTTGCCCAACATCCATCTCTTCCACCCGACAGTATTACGCACGCATTTGCACGCGCAACAAGCGGCGACGGGAAGAAGAATCACTCCTCTGCGTCCTACATCAGACGTGACTTTGCCGGTCTTCCTGTTCTACGTCGTGCTGAGGAACAGTCCGGCGTTATGGGAGTGGTATCTATCACAGCCAAGGCGACGATCAATACGTTATATTCAAAGATGACGAGTCATGCCTCACCGGGCTGTGATGGATATACGCCCTTGGCAAGGATGAATTAGGATCCGGTCCATCACGGACGAAGGTGTGAAGAGCCGGTCAATATATCTCGCATCCTGGGTTTGTCGGATGGTTGTGGTAGGAAAATGCAGCTCTGATATAAAATTACAGTGGAACGCTGAGCCTACCCAGACATAATTGTGTTAATTTCAGCATCCACTCCAACAGTATACCTCGAATATTCTGTCTCTCGAAACAAGCCTCAAATAATTAGACCTGGCAGGACAGCGAGAAACGCAGTCAAGCATGCCATTCAAGCCCCAAGACATTCCCGACCTCTGGGGTCGAGTATACTTTGTCACTGGAGGTACGGCTGGTCTGGGAGCGGGCTCCATTTCCCTCCTTGCCGCGCACAAGCCAGCACATATCTACTTTTCCGGGCGGAACAGCGACAAGGCCAAACGGGTGATTGAGAAGGTCCGGTCGCAGAACCCGGATGTGCCCCTTAGCTTCATCGCGTGCGACCTGGCAGACATGACCTCGATACGAAAGGCTGCCGAGCAATTTCTCGCCCAAGAATCGCGGTTGGACGTCCTCTTCGCCAATGCGGGAGTCATGGCTCTGCCTCCCAGCACGACGGCAGACGGGTATGAGGTCCAATTTGGTACCAACCACCTGGGCCACGCGATGCTGATCAAGTTGCTTCTTCCGTTGATGCAGTGGACCTCGAAGAATGTCCCCGGAGCGGACGTGCGGATCGTCAGTTGCTCGTCGATCGCGTACAAGCAAGCACCCAGAGAAGGGATCGCTTTCGACACGCTAAAAACACCTCAGGATGGATTGGGCAGCCTCGTTCCCGGCGGAAAGTGGTGCCGCTACGGACAGAGCAAACTGGCGAACCTGCTGTACGCGCGGGCATTGGTGAAGAGGTGCCCCGACATCACCTCCGTCGCTATTCACCCAGGTTACATCAAAACGGATATCTTCACAGGAGTCTCATTCATGACCACCCTCCCTGTCCGCGTCTTGGCCGCGGGTAATTGGACGTCCGTCGAGGAAGGACCGTACAATCAAACCTGGGCAGGGACCACTGCGAAGGAGAACCTCGAGAACGGCGCGTACTATGTCCCCGTCGCGACAAAGGGAGTATTGGAAACGCCGGCGGCAAAGGACGATGCACTGGCGGATAAATTGTGGGAGTGGACCGAGAAGGAGTTGGCTCTGTTTTTGTGAGGATGCTATAGTCAGGTAGTATCGCAAGGCTTGCGCAGAGTGTTCATCGTGGTGAACGCCAGGGAAAGACGCAGGCACCAGAGCCATCACGAAACACGAGGAAGGCCATGGCTATCATCTCCTCTCTAAAATTGTACAATACCCTGAATCATTTAAAATGAGACATCTGAATGAGAATGCGGGCATAGTGCATCGCATCCGTTTTGCTGTGCTAGGAAGTTAGAGGTGTGTGAGAGGAATGTCTAGGTACAGTACAAGGGAGCAGTACCGAGTACGAGGTAGACAAGGCTACGCGGGGCTGTGGCACCCACCCACTGCCTAAAGAGGGAGCCGCAGGGATCATCTTTGGACCGAGGCTTGTGGACAAATTCGGTGCATCTCCAGCCCCTTCTCCGCGCCCTTCACTAGCTCGCTCCGACCTCGAAAAGCCAATGCGGAGATGGTCGAGTACCAGAATCTAATATTAATGAAATGAAAGTCCCCTCCCAATGGATTGATCCCTCGACCTTCGGATGATGGAGTGAGTACAGTCACTTCCTGTCCAAGTTGATCCCAGAGCTCGTCAGAACCCGTCCCTCATACACACCCGCACAGACCTCCCACGACATGTCCTCTTCAAAGTCGACCTCAGACTCGGCAGCTTGGAAAGCCATCGCAGCCCGCAAACAGGCCTCGCGCGCTGCCCGGATCCCTTCGAAATGGCACATTCCCTCTACCGTCCTGCCCAAGGATCCCCCGAGCCTGGAGCTGGGTCCGCAAAACGTGCTGGATGTGCCTCGTCAGTTCCTCTCGCGCTCTGAGATTGACATCACTGAAAACTACACGGTGGAAACCCTCCTGTCAGCTCTGGCGAGCAAGAAACTGTCGTGCGAAGAAGTCGCCGAGGCCTTCTGCCACCGTGCAGCCATAGCCCAACAACTCACAAACTGCCTGACAGAGCCACTCTTCGACTCGGCCATCCACCGCGCAAAAGAGCTAGATGCATACTTGTCACAGACCGGGAAACCCTTTGGGCCGCTTCATGGGCTGCCGGTGTCTGTCAAGGATACATTCAATGTCAAGGGCGTGGACACGAGCATCGGACTAGCTTATCTGTGCGAGAAACCCGCGACGGAGAACGCCCCATTGGTTAATCTTCTGTTGTCGCTGGGCTGTGTGATCGTGGCCAAGACGAACATCCCCCAAACGCTCGCGTCGCTCGACAGCATCAACAATGTCTTTGGGAGGACGATGAATCCTATCAACCGCCTCTGCACAGCTGGTGGGTCGAGTGGCGGAGAAGGTGTCCTTGTGGCCATGAAGGGCAGTATTCTTGGTATAGGAACGGATATTGGCGGGAGTATCCGAGTGCCAGCCATGTGCAACGGCTTGTACGGCTTCAAGCCGTCCAACAACCGGATTCCCTACGGTGGACAGGCACAGACCGGAAGAGAAGGGATGAGTCGTACGAGTGTGCAAGCTGTGGCGGGTCCCATAGCGCGGAGCGTGAGAGACATTGATGTCTTCCTGCGAGAGGTGATCCCAAGGGCGCCATTGTGGGGAGAGGATTGCATGCCATGTCCATGGCCCGTCTCAAGTCCTTCTCCTCAACAGATCCAGGGCAGCGGACCGAATGGCGAGCTTGTAATTGGCATCCTACGAAGCGACGGAAACTGCACCCTCCTTCCACCGATCACTACCATTCTGAATGAAGTCTCGGTCGGGCTGTCAGGCGCAAGCTCACGCACGGGAGCTAAAGTCCTGGTTAAAGAACTGCTCACGCCCCGCGCTTGGACGCGATCACAGTCTGTCATGAGCAAACTGATGGGCGTCGACGGTGCGGTCGTCATGAACCACATGATCCAGTCTACAGGTGAGCCGTTGGTGCCGTGGATGCAGACGCGATTCCGCTCAGGCAAGCCGCAGGCTCTGGAGCGCGTGGCGGAGTTGCAGGCGCAGCGATCCCAGCTAGAACGCGAGATGCTCGACCTGTGGAGTGAGGTCGACGCGCACGGCCGACGCCGGCAGGTCCTCGACGCCATCATCTGCCCTGTCGCACCTCACCCAGTCCCGCCCATCGAAGGCTACAACGCCGTCGGCATGACCTCGTCTTGGGTCCTGTTCGACTACCCCTCCGGCACCGTCCCCGTCCGCCCCGTTGTCGAAGCTGACCTGGAACTCGGCAGGCCGCTGGCCGCCGGCACGGTGCTTGGTAGCTGGGACCAAAAGTGCCGCGAGCTGTGGGACGAACACGTCACCGATCGTAGGGTCTACCTCGACACGCCGCTAAGCGTGCAAGTCGTGGTGCAGCGAGGGAGGGATGACTGGCTGTGTAAGGTGATGGGCGTTGTTGACGAGGTGATGAAGTCTCAATCTGCTTCTGGAGAGATCAAGGCCAGATTGTAGCTTGTTTGACGATTACACGAAACCACGGTCCGACTCGTTACGCAGCGATTCACTCACCCACACCAAAATGAACTGCAGGAAGTGATCTAAAGATGGAACTCCACACTCTCGGACAAGCCAGGTTGAAGTCGGTTGTAGCATAACAGGCTCGCACGTGTGAGAGAAATGTGCACATGTATGTGTACAGGTGTACCCGATGATAAGTGTAGATACCACCCCCATGAGAGCAGTATAGCTACAGAAAAAGGGAAATCGAGAGTATGTGACTTACGACCCTCGCGGACAACCATGGTACTTGCTATGTCTTGTGGCATACATCTATATCCATACTCGTATCCTGGTAGACGGTTGGCAAAGCATACCTCGTACATGTAAATTGGGACAGTCCAATCGCTCTAACAAATCCAAAGCCTGGCCAAGATACCATCATGAATCACTCGACTTCTGTTACTTTTTCTAGCTACAGGATGACTGGGTGCGGTGTGAGGTGAGGCTGGCTTGCATTCAGGCTGCGGGCGTCGTGATGGTGTGTTGGTGGGTTGGTTGCCTCAAGGACTGGGCGCAGCCACTGCGGAAACGAATTGCGCACCCACCAGTTGGATTTCTTGATCAACCAGCCACCAAAGCATGGACGCCTGACCGCCTTACCGCCTTACCCCCTTTAGCAACCGTCTGATCGTCCCTGCTCGACTTGAACGGAAGCCGTGTCTCCCTCTGACACTGATCCATCCAATCAACACCTGCCGCGCAGGCGTACTCCGTGTTCACCTAATAGCGACGAGAAAACCCCCGAAATTGGATGCAGTGTGTCGCTCGCTTCCATTCTCGTTGGCTCAGCTGCTCCTGGTGCTGCAAGCTTGCATGCAGAGTCACCCCCTCTTGGGCCTTCGCCTGACATCTGGACACATCGAAAAGGGCACCCGGCACCTTCGCCTACCACTGCCAATGCTGGAGGCTGAAGATTGACGGGTGCACAAGGCCAGCAGCTGAAAAAAAAAAAAGAGAGGAGCTTTCCGTGTCCTGTGATTCAGGGTTGGGGTCGCATGAGGCACGAGGTACAGCTGGGCCACCCTATATCAAGCCTGTCAGCCCCCAGGCACTGAAAAAGTGCTTTATCCCCTGTAAGACATGAAAAGAGGCTTGCGTGGCCAGCAGCGAGGAGTGATCAGACACTTTCCAGCCGCCAGTTGACAGGGTATTTGTACCGAGGAGGTTGAGCGAATGTCACTGCACATCTTAAGGCATCACTGACCCAGCGTGAACGCCTCGCCTCTCTTGCAACACTCACCAAAGATCCCAATCACTATGGCACCATCGCACCCCAGGAAACGCATAGTCGTGTGCTGCGACGGTACGTGGCTCGACAGTGACGGTGACTACCAGACCCCCAGTAATGTTACCCGCATTGCGAGAGCTATTCCGCCGTTGGGTGAGGACACGTCCACCACTCCTTCCCAGCCAATCACCCAGGTTGTCTTCTATCAAAACGGTATTGGCACTGGGTCTCCCTCCCTGTACGACAGATTCATCGGAGGCGCTACTGGCGAGGGTCTTGCGGAACATATCCGGGAAGCTTACAGCTTCATCTGTCTCAACTACAACGATGGAGATGAGATTTTCCTGCTTGGGTTCTCGCGAGGAGCCTTCACCGCCCGTTCGATCTCCAGCTTGATCAACGCAGCCGGTCTCCTTACCCCGAAAGGGCTGGAATATTTCGTGCAGGTCTTCGAAGACTGGGAGTTTCAGCAGAAGAAAGACTTCAAGTCCAAGTGGCCAGACCTGCCCTTTGTGGGACATAAACCCCCCGTCACCCATCCAGACTACCAGAAGAAGCTCATCGATGATGGGCTCACACGGCCGAACATCAAGGTCAAGTGTGTCGCCGTTTGGGATACTGTTGGTGGACTGGGCATTCCCATGGTCGGACTCTTGCCACAGCCGCCTAGCACAGACTTTGCGTTTGTTGATACGCGGGTCGAGTCGAATATCGAGTATGCATTCCAGGCTCTAGCCCTGGACGAACACCGACGTTCTTTCTCTCCCACTATTTGGGATTGGCCACATGAGGAACCCAACGACTTGAAGTCCCTCAAACAATGCTGGTTTCCGGGTGTGCATAGCGACGTTGGCGGCAGCTACGACGATACCGCCCTCGCAAATCTCACCCTGGCGTGGATGATTAGCCAGCTGGACCCCATTCTAACAATTGACCACGGCTACATTTTGAGCTACATCACACCCGTTCAGAAGGACGATATGGACCTCTCCGGGCGACATCAAACATTCACCCACACAGGTCGCATGGCCACTGTCAGCAATACCACACCACACGCGCGGCCCTGGGGTTTGGGTAAGATTCATGACAGCATGAGCTTCTTCTTCAAGCTAGGCGGCTCGCGTATCCGTACTCCTGGCGAATACCGCGAACAAGAGCTAGCTTCCCAGCATGGAGTGCTCTTCTGGATGCTGTACAAGATCTTCCACCGTCTCAGCAACCGCTTCGAGGACAAGCACCACGCGCTTCCGCGGTTGAGGAGGACCAACGAAACAATCCACAGCAGCGTCCGCATCCGCATGGGCAAACATGGTCTCGGCTACAACGACAAAGGGACATATGACTCGCAGGCTCTACAAGGCTGGGTCATGTTCGGGGTAGAGACGAACCCCGACACGCCTGTCGCCATCGACGCTCCCGGGGCCGTGGGCAAGATGAAGAATGTTGTGTGGAAAAAGCAGGTCTTCCCAGAGAAGGTCATCGAACCCCCGTCCCCCAACGGGGAGAGGAAGGGCAAAGTCGAGATCTTGGAGGATGCGGGCAAGACACATTCTCTCGAGCTCGAGGAGGAACCCCTGGGCGCCTTCGAGCGCAAGATCCTCCAGGACTGGCCCGTGGGTGACATCAAGAAAGACTTTGACACCATTGTTCCTGGGAGACATCAGCAGAACGTCGACCGCGCGCATACAGTGCCCCTAGATGGTCATGACCATGTTCGGGGCTCCTCCAGCAGCAGCACTGCCAAACCTGGAGATCCACTGACCGTGCAGACCGGGAAGAGGAGGAGCGAGACAAATTGACAGTGAGCGCCATCGTGCTTCGCGGCATGGTCGTTCTGGGGAGAATACGAGATTCGCCCTTCCCGGCTGACAAGTGACTGAGACGTACTTTTCTGGAGTTTAATGACAGGAGCGACTTGAGTTTCGAGTTCATACCGGTGCGAGGGAGGGTCATTCGACCGACCGACCGACCGACTGGACTGATTACTACTGACTGGGTGACCAAAAATGGACATGGATAATTTACATATTAATTAGCAAGCGATGGACATGGGCAAGCAGGGCGAAATGTGTTGCAGGCAGGAGTTGATGGCACAGGAAAAGGATCTGGATGAGTTTCGCACACCAAGGGCTGATAATTTAGAACCGGGCATACCAACCAAGAGTAGGTCAGACTACCCGTCCCAGCCACAGCTATACGAATAGCCAGCTGGGCAGCTACTCTGTACACAAGGCTGAATCATATCTTGAGTGTTTTTCTCGAGGTCCTGGGACCCCTAAATTTCTTCTTCATTTTGTTCGAGTCGACTGTCTGTCTGTCTGGCTGTCTGTCTGGCTGTCTGTCTCACTGTCTGGCTGCTTCGCTGTTGCGCTCGCTCTATGATAACAACCCACGAGCATGCCGTCCCGATAAACTATGTACAAAAATGAGCACAGTTTCGTCCTGTTGACGTCTCTCTCCATCATTCTTCAAGACCAATCACCGCCGGTCAATGTCGCATCTCTGTCTGGCTTTCCCTAGCCCTCGCGACGCCACAGTCAGCTCCGGTGATTTTATTCGTAGTTCAAAGACAGGCAAGAAACCTCCATGGTAAGATAATCCATGTCGAAACTCCCGGTCTCCATTCAGCCCAGTCAAGACAAACCCACTCTGCAAGGAACACGGGTGCTCTGATGCTATTTCGTACTGTGCTTGGGTTAGTCTCATCACCAGGTCTATGTTTACCTCAACTTGTACAATCTCACAGCGAAACTGCGGATAGATTCATTTCTTTTTGGCATTTTTCAGCGTTTTCACCTTTTTTTGGGTGTAGGATGTTTTGAAAGCAGCTTTTGCTCCCAGGCATGTAGAAGCTTCGTCGCTGTAAACAAGTTGGCGCGGTTCACGTGGGCATTCCCCAACATGATTGCGCCGATGGTCTTGAAGATAGCGTACATCGCACCTCGTTCGCCGCAGGATCATGCGGGTGTTGCAGTGGGCGTCGGTGTTGGCGTAGTTGTCATTAGTCTTGGTCGTTTCACAGCATCGCCGTCAGGTTGGACGTCCTGCAAGGGGTTAGTACGACGTCGAGTCGACCTCGTGGTATGGACATACCTCGACCTCACTGATGCTACGCCGGACCGGCTTGGCCTCTGGCTTGGGATTCTTAATCACCTTTTTGACCGGTTTACTCGGTCGGGTTTCGCCAGCTTTTGTATCGAAGAGATCTTCGGGTAGCTCCCAACTGTTCTTGTCAGCACTTCTCTAGAAGGTAGAATGAGCTAGGGAGCATACCTTTTGGATGATGCGAGATTTAGGAAATGGACTTCCGGATTGTAATTGTTCCACCCCTCGCACACCTGCTTGAAGGCCTGGAACGCTTGGACCAGATTCAAGCTTCCTTTAGCCACCGTGTCGATACCAATGTAGAATGTGTAGGTGTAGATGGTGTGCGCATCCCGATCCTTTTCCTGACTGGTATTGTCCGACAAGGGAACTGCGGCACCTTCCCCGTTAGTTGTCACCAGTTCCGGATCGGTCGTCTCAACAGTCTTCGTCTCTTCCACTTTATACTTCATGCTGCCTCTCTGCACTTCTCGGATTTGATCAACGTCCTGGCACTTGTGCACACGTTTGAACCCCTTAGTAAACGGTCGAGCAAGTTCGATTCCCTTGGTGCCTTCTAACTGCATGACAAAGATCCGAACTTTGCTTTCGACAAGACCCGCCCATGCCTTGGCCGCGTCGGCGTTCAACGCACTAGCAGTCACGCTCAAGTAGTATTTGTGATCTGCGGTGAAAAAGGTATGTTTCCGGAACAATTCGCTCCAGGAAGCTCTGCCGGCAAAGATCTTTGTGACTATCTTGTCAGCCCTCTCCAGTTCGCGGAGGATAACCGTCTTGCCGGACTTGGAGATGTTGTATGTCGCGCACATGCTTGGGAATGCAGGCGTGATGATAGGCATGATATTCTTCTCGTCACCTTTGTAGAGAACAGGGTTCCAGACCTTGAATCCGTGGTTGGGACCTAGATTCTTGGGTTGTTGCTCAATATCCTTCAACATAACCGGCAGAGGCCATGGCCACTCCTTCATGATGTAGAAGAATTTTCCCACAATCGTAGCACCAACCGCATGTGGATAGAACTGACAGACACGTGCAACGAGCATAGCCCAAGCGACACCGCCAGGATAGCCAACAATATTGGCATATATAGCTCTTCTTTGCGCCCATAGTTTGATCGCCCGGAGCGCAGTTCGGAAGGTTTTCTCGACAGGAACAAGGTCAAGGATCTCATCGGTAACACGCTGGTTTTGTTAGCTTGACGTCCCAGATGAATTGAATGCTGCTTTCTTAGACTCACTGGGCCAGTAATTGCACGTATGGACGCCTGATCCATTCCTACCAAGAGGCTATTGTCGTTCAAACCGAGTTTCGGAGGGATGGTCGTCAGAGTTGCGATTGAGGCGAAGATCAAATCGATCTCAATATTATTGAGCACGAGTTTGATGATGGGCACAAAGGAGTCGGGAACCGGCACAAGCGACGAGATTACCGCGGGAGGGGCTTCCTTTTCTGCGATACGTCTCAAGACCGCAGGGAAGAACTCAAAGAAGTCTTCGCGCTTCACGTGTCTCGGAGCGATGGCGAGAGTGTCAATATCAGAGCCTGATGACTGTTAGCGTCATGGTAGCATAGCGACGTCAAGAATTCTTACCAGGTCCAAAGACACCTAGGCGATAACTGCCGTAGGGATAGACCCTGCCGCCGAAGGTATTGATCTGGGATGGAGGTAGTCCCTGTTTCCGACTGACCTCACGGACGAATTCCAGAGTGACCTTGCTCAACAGCTTGAGAACATTCATCCGCTTTTCTGTCTCTTTTTGCCCTTCATAGTTGTTTTCCCTCTTCAACTCTTCAATTAGTTCGGCCGTCTTCTCATTGTCTAGGGGCTCAGGGAGGGCCATAGACATGGGACCGGTGATGCCATGTTTACGGTTTCGTGGTTCAGGGTCAGTCATGGTGTGCGCCAGTCGACAGTGATCTGACTTGATCTTGTGGGTTTGTCCTCGGGTTCGCGATCGGGGTTGTCGATGAAAGTCGATCGTTAGGCAACAGGGAATGGGCTCTGGCCGTGGGAGAGGGAAAGGGATCAGTGGGGTAAAAAGAGGAAAAGAAGGCTTGAAAGAGGCAAAGACATCTTCACCATCCCAAACTCCAAAAGAGAGATGAAAGTGAAAACCGGCAAGGACAAAACAACAAAGGCGTAGTCAGGCGAAGTGAATTCACAAACCCAACATTCAAGGGACTTGATCGAGGGGCGCAAGACGGGAATTCGGGTGTAAACCGCGCAAACCGTGCAAACAGTCTAAACATAGCCCCTGTCACTGCTTGCCAAGCCACATAACTTGGCAGGTTTGCATGCTTTGTCCTCCTATAATTGGATTCTTGAATGACATCTATCAACCAACCTCTCCTCTTCATGGAACAATTCAAGCTCAGAACCTGTGTTGAGAAATCTTGTAAATTATACCATCTGTTCTACTGACTCGACTTCAATGCTCTGACCGTCTTGAATCCGCATCGACATATTGCCTGGTCTCCCTAAAAGGTGACTTCCTTGAGCTCTCCACTATCAATGTGGAAGACAAATCCCCGAATACTGGACTTCAGCGACTCTGGGACAAACGGGGATTCCTTCAAGAATGTCATACTCTTCTTTACATTTTCCTCCAGGGAGCTGCCACGACCGGGTTAGTGAGACGAGCCAGAAGCTGGGATGCATTGATTTTACCCAGTTATCTCGTAAAATTCCATGCTGTTGATCTCTGCCTCCAGACTCGGGGCGCGCTTCTGCAATTCCCCCTTGACCACATTGTCTCTATACATTGTTGCTCCGCAGTCTGCATCGAAAGCAGTCAGTTCGGTAGGCGCATCAATTTCTTGTGGGATCGAACCTACTGGTGTGTTGGACAATGATGACATCAGTAAAGTTGAGAAGTGTATCAATCGAAAGGAGGGAATTCACAACGAGCTGGGCATTCCCGCCAGCAACTCGGCACACAACTACTTCTGCAACCTGAGGTCAATCATATACCCTTAATGTCGGTACAAGGTCTGGGTTTATTTACCTCCAGTTTTTAACTGGAAAATATTCTCCGGAATACACCGTGGATCGGCGCAACTGACTATGAAACAAGTCAGCTTTTCCTCTCAAGATCAGACGAGACATTGGGAATATACTCACTAATCAGGATGTGCGGAAGCTCGATCCCTTGCTCTTGCATTTCAGCAAAGGTGGGAATACGCTTGTGATGGCCAAGAGTTGACCTGTCCGCAGTCAGCATCCATTCGCTGCAAAGGGATTTCTTCTGGCCTACGCATGACGGTCAATAACTTCCTGGGCTGTCAATTTCGGCGCCATGGTGGTTGATGGGTTTCAGGGTATCAGGATTCTGCTCGATCTATGGGATGGCGTTCGGCTTCTGAGATAAAATCGAGGGGAAACCGACTTATAGTCTTCTGGTACAACACTCCCATTTTATAGACTCGGACCTGTATGTGAGGTGTCGTGCTTTTGCGTGTTTGGTGTTTGAGCTTGCCCTGGCGGCCTCGATATCGACATCATCAACAGTCCCCCTTCCGTCAATCCCGAGGAAAGAACCACAAGCTGACATTGCAGATTCTCGAACCCGTATCGTGAGATTCGGGATTTGAAGCAGCAATGGGCCCTTTCACAGGGTGTCTGTCTGTCTTGGAACATGTATACCTATTTGCCGTCTAAAGCGGCCTAAGGTTCCAACCAATTATGTCCCGTCACGAAATATAGATCAGGGCGTCTAACCCCTTTTCGGGTATTCCAGCCCTTGCCCAACTAACCCATTTCAAGGTCTTCGTACCCTGGTCACTTCAAACCCACCTTTCATATTTTCCCCCAGATGCATCACAATCCCACTACTGGAGGACCAGGCCGTTGATACTCGAGAGTCCGTCCTTGGCATGCTGTGTGCTGACAAAGGTGTAAAGAAGAATGGTGCAATTCATCCACCAGAATCCCAAGAACCTCAGCTTGAGTGACGCAGATCGTCGGATTGTGCGGAAAGTCTCCAACATCGCCGCGGCGGCGACACGCAAGGCCAAAGGCACAGCAGCCAGGACAAACACCTTACAGCTACCGGATTTCCTACTCACTGAGACCAGAGACGACACCGAATCGGGCCCACATCCCCGGGTTGCCCAAGAGAATGATGCGGCTTCCCATCGTCTACCCCAGTCCAAGCATACTCGGTCACCAGCAGAACTAACCCTGGCGAGACACGCTGATGGGTGGCGTCACACTAATTCTATCGTACCGCCGTTGTCTCCCTGGCCCAGCACGATCAACTCTCCAGAGTACGTATCCTTGCTGATGCAGCCGGGGCTCTCCCAGAAGCTCCTCCTGGATGCTTCGAGTGTGGGCGTCAACTCGGACCCACGACGGTGGGTGAAGATATGTCGTTTGACGACCATCTTGCAATTCCTCCCCCAGATGATTGGCCACAGCAAGTGCCTCGATTATGCCATCGACTGCCTTGCCGGGCGCGTTCGCCAGTGCTGCGTCCAAAGCCGAGACCGGGACCAGCTGGTCCTGACGCAGCTGGAGAGGCGCTACGGGCGTGCCTTGCAGTGTCTGCAGAATGCCCTCAACTCCTCCCGCAGCATCGATTGGACCGTATGGTATACGACGCTATTACTAACACTGTTCGAGGTATGCAAGCCATCCGCACCAGCTTTATTGTGTACATCGTCTAGGCCATGGCTGACCGTGGATGCATGCGCCCAGCTACTCGACAACTCGGGCCATCACGCATGGATTTCGCATTCGCAGGGGGGCAAGCACATCTTATTTTCGTTAGGTCCAAACGATATCAAGACAGAGTTTGAGAAGATCCTGCTTGCTGCACAATGCCAGATAATGGTAATCAGTCAAATAACCCATTGTCCCTTTTCGAACCCCGTTCTAACTGTGGTCGGCTCAGACAGTGGAAACCACTTTCCTCAACCAGGACTGCTTTCTCAGTAGCCCGGCGTGGCAGCGAGCTCTTCGATCCACCATCACCCGTGACGGCCTCCTCTCAGATCGTGCAGAGCCAGTCCTGACCATGTGGATGCTGACCACGCGCGCCCCTGGCCTTTTTAGGAGAACAACGGCGGCTGTCCTCGAGGGCCACCTCCCCGAACAGACCACAAGCATCGCAGACGAACTCAGTGCGCTGATTGAAGAATATTCCAAGTGGCGAGAAAAATGGGAAGTAATCCTGCTTGGTGGCGGTAATTCGAGCTACGACGACGGCGGCGACCACGCTGACGAGGTGCCTGTGGCCCGACCTGTCCCTACCATCTTTGCCATATTCCTGGCCTTCTCGGCTCTGGCCAATCGATTTCTCGAGGCCGTTCAGCCATGTCAGGCTCCTCTCGCGGAGACGAACGCCATGACCGCAGCTCAGCGCATCCTCGAGTTCGACCGGCTCCAAGAGACAGACTCCGTCACAGATCTCTGCAGGACCTTTTCGGCCAGCATCGCTCGCTCAATCGAGCTTACGACCTTGGAGTGGTCAATGCAACAGAGCGTCCGTCGCGTTGGCCAGACAATCGAGCCTCGAATCTTTTTGAGCTGGTGTGCCTTGCTGGGGCGGGTTACTGGGTAACAAATGCCGGACTCGGGGAGAACAGGACCATGCATATTGACATTTGAACGCCCTTCTTTTTTTTCATACGAATGACAAGGGTAGCAGACCATCCACCATTCAGATATCTTATAGAATGTCTACTGCGAGCGATATATCAGTACCAAGCGAAGAGTAATGAAAGGTATTGTGGTTGTCTAGGCCAAGTACAAGGTGCCAACTTAATCACAGCTTCTTGGTCTCCTGGTGGAATAGCGAGTTCTCTTTTCTTCGCGATACCCTTTCCAAGACCACCAGGCCTCAACTTACCTCCGTAATCGACAGGTACACTACGGTCTCGATTGTGATCGGCCTTGTCCACACGTTGAACTGCATGCCTGTTACGGAGAGTTCCAAGCAATGGAAAGGATGCATAAATTGGCCTCTGAAAATGTCGTTGACCCTGTCCAGCTTGCTGTTTAATAGCGATGGGAATGGCTCCCATACATTCAAGAAAGTGCGACAAGATCAACAGGTTGACAGTCTCTCTGAATTCCCTGTCCCACATGTTTCGCGTTTGAGTTTGATGTCAGTATTTTCTTGTAACGATGATGGCACAAGAATGGAGCGGCCGTCAAATGATCTATCAAAGTGATGGAAAGGCCAGTGCGGTAGACGAGCAAATGAGGTAATGGCCCGTGGGTGGAAGGAACACGATCCGAAACCCCATTGTAGTAACTCGACCACTGCAAGCTCGATTTGTTCCGACGTGTAGAAAGTTCGCCCAACGTGCAGAATCTTGCCGATCTCGGCTCGAGATCAAGATCCAACACCACCAGCGAGCCAGGCCGTTGGGTCATAAATCACCGTGCTAGTTACGGGACATCATAGCACGTGAACAATTGAGCCGGTCCCTCGCCTACTGCCCGTCTAGGTAGCCGATTTCGTAAATCGAAACGCTTGTGTCACACTTCTTCGGAGATGTTGTACTGATAGGCGCTCAAACAAAGAGGAAACTAGGAAACCTAGGATGCCCACATTCGACTAATTGACCAAGCTAGGATCCAGTGCGAAGATGTTTGCTGAGAAACGATGTGCAACACCACGAAGAGTAGAAAGTAGTTGTTCACCTCACGGCAGTAGTTGCTTTTGGAGGAGGTCAGCCGCCAGTGGCACATGGCATGGCGACAAGCATCTCCAAATGCAGATGTGGTCTACCTGTCGTCATGGGTGTGTGGTAGCTGCTTGTAATGTATGGTGCTTGGTGCTATGCTGTAACCCCAGAAAGTCTTGTTGGCGGGCTCCCTAGCTGCAGATGCAAGGTCAAATTCCAGTTGACTGAGTCGAACGGACTGCTCTCCGCACCAGAGAAGGAAGCGATAAGAGATCGGGATGATGTCGTGATTGTCGTGATGGATTCGATTCCCCCTCTTCTCAAGGATTACCATTTACGGTAACCATTTCGAGCCCACCCTGCCTGTTCTGCCTGCGTACCTCGTACTCGTATGTCTTCGTTCATTTTGCATCCCTGCGTATTGCTTCAGCTTAGATAAGGATGGAATTCATGGACAACGGCCTCGTTTGGCGTCGTCAGCCTTATGGCAAAAGGGGCTGGCTGCATTGCCGCGATCTCGGTAGGCTTTAAATAGCTTTGCTGACCTGCGAAACGTGCTGAAACGCGGTCCACAGAGATCGTCGGGGGAAAAAATCCGGACGCCTGTAACACAGGGCTGTTAAATTGCTGAGAGGCGAGGGAGATCAGGGGGGTGATTGGCCGGGTGCCTCACTGCAAAGGGGCTGAGGGGCGAGTGCGCCCTGGTTTTCTCGCTGGTGCAACTTGCAGGTGACAGGTGGCGATGATGTGATGTTGAAGGAATGGGCTGAAGGGTGACAATCGGTGATGCAATGGAATGATGCTGATTTGTTCCAAAGGGTGTGTTCAGACAACAAGCAAAAAAGTCGAGAGGCTAAATGACTTTGGCTGCGGCCTTGACCATCGCGTCGTCTTGTGCTGCCCATTCCAGAAGCAAGCCTGCGGTCTTTAGCCTTTGGGGTTTTAACTAGGCGGCGTTGGTGGCTCGGGGGAATGCTGATCTAGCCTAGAGAGGGGAGCCGAGGGGTTCTTCAGCCACTCAGATGCCCATTCGCAACCCACGCCCGCAGGGGAAAGAGAAGGTCCCACCAGAAATTACGAGGTACACGTTCCCTTTTCCTATCTCCCATTTCCACCACCCTGAGGAGGCTGTGCTTCCGCGAAATTCAACGTGCCCAGCGCCAGACCACTACTGGCATGCTCCTGTCTGCGCCGTTGGGTTCTGGAGCAACCTGCTCGCGACTGAAAAGGTCACTGACCCGCTGTCGTTTCTCACTTGGCTGGGTCCTCTGACCGTTTCAACCCCCATAAAACGCGTTACCACATTTTCTGTTTGCTGTCTGCCTGCGCCCTGACTATCCCACAGCCTCCCTTCAGCTACATACATTCTACATAATTGTAGATGCTGTCCCCTCGATCCCAGCGTCCATATTTCCGTTGAAGTCTTGACTGACTTCGAGGTCATATGGCGGCTTCCTCTCCTTCACTACTCCGCCAACTTCTTTTCGTTCTCCGCACTCTTTCTCCCCGCAAATCATGAACTCTCATTGCCTGCAGTTGGACGAGTACGAGTTGTCGAGGACGAGTACACACACATCAGACGGAGCAGACGACCCTTTACTTTATTTCGAGCACGATTCGGGCCATGATGAATTCCACTCGCAGTTTCTAGCAGACCAAACTGCGTCCGGCGTGGCCAAACGAGGAGTCTCCTCCCAGTTCATCTCACTCGCCCCTGCTTGGCTGCGCAAGCAGTATCTTCCTCGCCGACCTCGAACGAGATCAAAACGACTTCCTCGCCGATACATCTGTACGCCTAGATCGTTCCTTCGGAAATTCGCTTTACTTTGTTACATATTTTTCACCACCATCGCCGCCATTATTATCGTGGGAGGCGTCTTTTTCCCCGGCTACACTCACCTTCCACCCCATTATAGAGCATTAAGACAGAGGGCATTGGCCTCCGATACCCCAGGGCGGGTAAATTTGCAACACCAAAAAGTCTTTCTGGCCGCGAGCATCTACGACAAAGGCGGGAAACTCCTGGGCGGAGACTGGGCGCAAAATGTGCTAGAACTGATACAGTTGCTGGGACCACAGAACACATTTCTCTCGATATACGTCAACGATTCGGGTCCAGAAGCGAAACAGGCGTTGCAGGAACTCGAAAAGCAGGTGCCGTGCGATCACGCGTTGGTGTTCCAGGACCACTTGAGCATCGATGACCTCCCCCACATCCGCATTCATGGACAAGAACGCGTGAAACGCATCGAGTATCTCGCTGAGGTTCGAAACCGAGCGTTGAGGCCGCTGGAAGGTTCTAACACTACGTTCGACAAACTCCTCTACCTAAACGACGTTGTTTTTCATCCGATCGACGCGGCTCAGTTGCTCTTCTCCACACATACCGTGGCCGACGGTGTCACGGACTACAGAGCAGCATGTGCGGTCGACTTCATTAATCCTTTCAAGTTTTACGATACTTTTGCAACCCGGGATGCCGAGGGGTACAGCATGGGTCTCCCCTTCTACCCGTGGTTTGCTGCTGGTGGTGACGAGACCAGCCACCAGGACGTCCTCGACGGCAAAGACTCAGTGCGAGTCAGAAGTTGCTGGGGTGGGATGGTTGCATTTGATGCACGATTCTTCCAGGCACGACCAGGCAGGCCTGAGCTGATCACTGCGGGCAACCAAAGCCCCAGCAATCTCTCCACACCTTATCGCTTTCGCGCAGAGAAGGATCTCTACTGGGATGCATCGGAATGTTGCCTCATCCAAGCCGACATCCAGAATCCTGAGCCTGGAAATTCAGGGATTTACATGAACCCTTTCGTTCGAGTAGCCTACGACTCGACGACCCTTTCATGGTTGGGCTTTACTCGACGTTTTGAGCGCCTCTATACACCAATCCACTGGCTGATCGACCTTGTCACCAACAAACCGAAATTTAACCCAAGGCGACACGAAGAACCGTGGCAGGAGGTGCAGGAGACAGTTTGGATCGCTGATGAGAGGATGCCCCCAAATAACGGTTCCTTCCACCAAGTGACGAGGATAGCCTCACATGCAGGCTTTTGCGGCCGCCGAGGTTTGGCGGTTATAAAGGAGAACATTATGGAAGGAGAAAGAAACTGGGAATTCGTGCCGGTGCCTTCATGACATCTTTCAGCATAGCGTTGGCGTCCGGAGCGAGACGAAAATCTCAATGGGAGATATTACGAGCCTGTAAAAAGCATCTTGCGGTCGACATGAGCGACGCGGTTTTCAGAAAATCAATTGTGAAAGAAACCTCTACAATGGAGGAGAAGAGAAATGTAAATGCTGAAGCTGTTGCGCAGCCTTTTCTACCACCTAAGTGGTCATACTTTCCTCCGACACTTTGCGCTGACATGACATTCGCTGTTATTAGATGATTTACCTACCATTGACGATTGATGTGAGTCAACGGTGCGGGCGACCGCCGTCGCCAAACGTCGCCAAACGTCTCGTTGATATCGGGAGTAAGTGAATGGAAGGACGTGAATCTGGGCGACTGCGCCCGAGTCTTTTAACTCGCTTCATCGCTACCACTGACCTCCTGACTTCCACCATCACTCCTACCTTTATTTCCGACGTCATCGTTGCTGTTCGCATAGTGCCTTCCTCGATCCAGCTCTCAAAGCCTAGAATCAAATCAGATACAGTCATGACGACGCTGTCGCCGTATGATGATCCTGCCGCTCTCGACAAGTTCTTGCAGGTGATTCGAGGCAAATCACAGTCTGCAAGGTCCGAAACATCAGTCAACAATGGCCCGTCGAAGCTCAACCCACAGAGTGCAGTAAGTTGTGTCCTTTCCAGCCGTTCCGCCATATACTGGCGCTGATTTGTCCGAGGATTTCTCTCCTAGGATCTCTGTCGCCGCCGATCGCGTCGAAAATGGCCTCAAAACAGTCACTGGCGCCCAGGCTGCTCAGTCCTTGGATCAACAGAAGTCTGTGGCTGGCGTTCTGAAGCCACCACAATCACCATTCCCTCAGGCATCCGACACTGATACATCTGCTCCGCTAGACTTGGTCCGAGATGAGCAGGGCCCTGTCACCGAAACAGCAACCCGGACACGGCCTCTGACGCCAACCCAGCATAGACTCCTGGTCGGCAGGAAGCGTGGCATTGAGCACCTCACTGAGGGCAACCTAGCAGGATTAAGCAAACAGACTCATGGTTACATTGACAACGTGGTTGACCAGTTTCGAAAGTCAAAAGGACCGGATTTTGCACAACCTTGTGTTGCTATTGGTCATGAGCCTTCAGACAAGTTCAAGGCTGCGCATTCTCTTCAGGGTGGCTCATCCTTACCAACAGTTGGCAACCAAGAATCAACCCCAGACAAGGCGAATGCTGCCGCAATTCGCAATGCAGATGAGACGCCAGTCAACGCGAGTGAGAATGACCGACCTATTAAGAGCTGTAAGCTTTTGGTTTGTTCGTTCCATGAATTGGCTGACAGGTTTACCAGCTGATCAGCAGGATTGCTGGCACGACGAGAGTCCCGACAGAGCATCTTGCAACACTCCCGTTGTGGATCCTGCCTTCCAACAGGGTAGCCAGCAACACATGAACGATGGTAAGCCCGAATTACACAGTATAACACACACTGCCTGACATATAGACGCAGGTCCAAAGCAAGTCGATGAGTTGACAGATGTTGTTCCATTTCCCACCCTCGTCGGTGGTCCAAATGGGCAGACCTTTGGCAACGTGAAGGACGAATACTCTGCATCAGCAGACGTGGCGAGGGCCGAAGACGAGCGTCTGTCGACCTCCACTGCTAATCTGAAGATAGACAACACAGTCGAAGACGACAGTGACAGAGATGGTGTTCCGGTGACGAGCGGAGTCCACGACAACGAGAGCCCCCCACGCCATACCCAATCTCCCACCATTGTGGTAACTGCTAGCACAGACACAGACGACAGTGTCGAAGATTACAATAACAACGAGGATAATGACGAGGAAGAAGACCGAGAAAACCTCGTCCGGTTCAGGTCATGGGGAACCCCAGTCGCCCGCAATAAACCGAGTAAGTCTTTCTCGTTCTGTTACATGCGTATGCCAATAATGTTTTCAGAATCTCGTCCACGTACTGTCATTCTCACCGGTTTGCCACGCGGTGCCGATCTCATGCTCATTCAATCTCTTATCCATGGTGGTGCAATTGAAGGCATGAAGCTTGTCGCGTCCATCCCTGAGCGAACCACGATCGCGGCTCACGTAACCTTTGCTTCTGCCGATGCCTGCGATTGCTATTGTAGCAACTATCCCAGGGGAATGGAAATCCGCCATCAAGGCAGAAAGTGGTCCGTGCTCGTGCACAAGAAAGAGCAAGTGGATGTGATTTCTGGAATGTTGCAGGGATATCTCGACTGTGGAGCGACCCGCGTGGTCAAGGTGAGCGGCGCCGATGACGACTGGGGTATTGTTGCTCTGAACAAGCTCGCTGAAGGAAAGCCTGGCACCCGTCAAGTCGAGGCTGTGCAGGATACGTATCGTAATGGGGTGAGTCCAACCCGTCCGGAATATTTCCAATTTTCGTTGTGAGCTCCAGCTGACCCCTGCGACAGATCCGCACCATCATCTTCCGGTTCGCAAACATTAGCCATGCAGTCCAATTCAAAGGCCATCTGATTCGAAGCGACGATTGGTACGGGTGCCACGTTGAGTTTGCAGAGGATCCATGCGAAAAGGCTACTGGGATTCATTACGACTGAATGTCGCAACGAAATATGCAGATAGCACCCATGTCCGTTCTTCGGACCGATTGAAAGAAGGACTTGTGGATCGAATGCTTGCAGATGTGTTAAGAGGAATGTTACTACCGGGAGTACGACAAAGCTGGCTCTCAAATAGGAGCACCAGTGGTAAGGATATTGCTGAGGACTGATGTCTATCTACATCAGTCTCAAAGTCTCGGAGCCGAGAGTAGGTCACTCTGGGCCAGTCAGCAAGGGTGGAAGAGTCTCCCTTTGGGGGATGGTGTTTGCTGGTGGTTTGTAACCCGAGATCGAGCCCACCATCTCCAATAATAATGTGGTATGATCTCATGCGCTGAACCACAAAAGAAAACTGAGTGCCCCACGTCAACATACACCTGCGAAGTTTCTTTTTTTTTCCTCTTTTCTTTCTGCGCCTCGACCCTCCGAGAAGTAAAAGAGCTCAGCACCCTCTGCAGAGACTCACGTTTGTCAAACACCACACAGTCGCCGTCTACGCTTGACTGGGCTCAGCTCACCATGGGTCAGCCATCTCAACAGGCGTCAAACGCCATCATCTACACCACCTACGCAGCTTTCCTGTGCGCAAACTCCTCATCCAAAGGCCCCTTCGCAGAGCAAGAGGAGGACAACTAACAATGTGTCCGGCTAGTGTCTTCGGTCTCGTCGTCGCATGGACGCTGCGGCACCAGACAAAGGGCGAGTATCTCGCTACTTTGCGAACACAGAAGGGTACAGAACATGACTCGATCCGACCAAACTTCGAGTACTCCGCATTGGAAGAAAAACGCAGTGGCTGATAGAATTCCCAGGCATACCTCTGGCCTTCAACTTCATCGCGTCGGGTGAGTGTGCTCGAAGAGCAGCAACAGCCTGAAACGGCGGCAGCACGAGGGTCAAGCACCTTGAAACACGAAAACCACAACCAGAAATGGGGCGACACACGACAGCTTTTTCGAGGTGGTTCCGGAACCTCGCTTGATCGATACAATACCTTGACTCGTTGGCATGTGCTGAGCAAAGCTCTCCATCTGAGGTTCGTATGCTTGCATCAACGCCATTGGCTCTTGTTGCTCTTTGGCCGATCGAAGATCCGTGCGCCCGCACCTCTACTCTGATTGTCTTACCCCAAGCAGGTGCAGGTGTCGAGGGCGTTTTTTCTTTGTGGCGTCAAAAGGGCTCAAGGGCCAATGTGCAGCACTACGGGCGCTTGTGTCTGATCGTTTCCATTGCCTCTTCATCCACCTGGGTTCTTGTTCCAAGCGTCCAGAGATGACGGAGTCGCGAAATGCTGATGACACAATGCTGAGATTGTACCGTCAAAACTCGATCAAGTTAATGCTTGCGTGGGAAACGTGCTGCCAGCTTCCCCCACCAACCCCCTGACCCCCTCCCCTGGTGCCCGAGATCGTCCATACTGACAAAATGGTCCTCTGTGGCCAAACAGCTTTGGGTTCAGGAATTTTGTTTACGTACCCGCAGATCGCCACCATCGCCGGTGTGCAGGGTCTTGTGGTCTACAGTCTCTCCTCAGCCCTACCACTACTCGTCTTCGCGTACCTTGGGCCGATTATTAGGAAAAAATGTCCCGAGGGGTTCGTGCTCACGGAGTGGACACGCCAACGATACGGAGCTCTTGCTGCATTATATCTCTCGGCCTTGACGTACGAAACTCCTCTTGCCCTTCGAATTTCCTCGTATCTAACCCCAGACAGGCTCATTACCATCTTTCTCTACATGGTCGCCGAGCTTTCTGCTCTCCAGCAAATCATCAACGCACTGACCGGGCTCAACGGCCTCCCTGTCGTGATTGTGGAATGTGTGGTGACCACAATTTACACTTCTCTGGGAGGTTTCAAAGTGTCTTTCATCACAGACAACATCCAAGGCGCCATGGTCGTAGGGTTGATCATCATCGGATGCATCACTGTCGGTGTGGAAACCCATGTCCAAAAGGACTTGATTGACAAGAGCGGATACCTGGATGCAAGTTTGCTCGGCTGGCAGTTGATGTATATCCTGCCAGTGGCGATCCTGACAAACGATTTCTTCCTTTCCGGGTTCTGGATGAGGACGTTTGCGGCAAAGACCGATAAAGACTTGTGGGTTGGTGTGAGCATTGCCACCGTGGCCGTCGCTATCATCCTGACGCTTTGCGGCGTCTCTGGACTCTTGGCTGGGTGGTCTGGCGCATTGGGCAATCCGCCCGAGGAGTCCTCGATTGCCTTCTTCCTGTTACTGGAACAGCTTCCCGCCTGGGTGGTGGGTTTTGTTATTGTCATGACGGTTGCTCTGTCCACCGCAGCATTCGACAGCTTCCAGTCCGCCATGGTGAGTACCGGGTCCAACGACATTTTCCGCAACAAGTTGAACCTATGGGTTCTCCGGGCGACCGTTGTGGTGATTATTGTCCCCGTGGTGGTCGTGGCGTTGAAGTCACCCTCGGTGCTGCAGATCTACCTGATCTCCGATCTCATCTCTGCGTCTTCCATCCCCGTCTTGGTCATCGGTCTGAGTGACCGATGCTACGCCTGGCGCGGGTTTGAAGTCGTCGTGGGAGGACTCGGCGGTATCATGACCGTCTTCCTCTTCGGCCTCGTCTTCTACAAGGGAGACGTCAGCTCCGCGGGTGCCCTACTGCTACTCGAAGCCGGCCTGTACGCGGACGACTGGTCTGCCTTTGGAGCATTCGTGGCTGCCCCCGTGGGCGGGCTGCTGTGGGCGCTCGGCGCGTTTGTACTGAGACTCTCTGTACAATGGTGCATCGCGAAGATTCGAGGCACGAGGTTCGATGCGCTGGACAAGCCCGCGGCGCCGGCCGCGAGTTTCTACACGGGCAGAACGAGCCCGACCACGGGCGACTCGGAGAGAGACGTCTATGCCGACGGAGATGGCGTTGTGAGGAGCCAAGTCGAAGTCAAGGGCAAGTTCTTTTGATGGAAAAGTTCGAAGGGGTCCTGTACAGGGGATGAGAGAAAGAGAAAGAGAAGAGACGACTTGCTCGCACGGAACGCGGCGAATTACAGACTAGACCTTTCCCCATCGACGCCGCTTTGATTTCGAAGGGAAGGAGAGAGAGAAGGGGGGAGGGAGATAGACGACGATGAGGATGATGATGGATGCCGCAGGGTGGTTCTTGGAGGAGCCCATCCTACCTGCAGCGTTTTGGATACACGGTGCTCAGCCTTCACCACAATACACACAGGCTTGCTTGTCTTGTTCTCGCCAAATCGATAATGACAACGATCCGACATCCGTTCCAGTCCCAGCTCGAGGATCCCAGTCCTGCTGCTGCCTGTTTGCTTGAAAAACAGCTTTCGACGACGAGAAGGATAGACCACCCGTACATACACCATACCTGCCTCCTGCCGGTCTGCAGGGACAGAGAGGACAGTGTAAGATGTCATATAAAAGAGGGCAATCATGTGTTGATGTCGGTGTTGTTGTTGTTGTCGATATAGCAGGGCTTCAACCACCCTGCACAAATTACGTTCTTTTTTTGAAGATAATCTCGATGTTGCGTTGCAGTTGCATGCATGGCTATTGCTGAATAAATTTTCTCCTGTGTTGTCCTTGTGTTGTCCCTTTGCATGAATCATCTTATTTGGTCTCGTCTTCCAAATAAACCTATTCAAATGCCTGCGTTGATCGATATGCTGGTTGTGGCTATGCGAGGCATATATGTCCACACTACTCTTCAGAGGTGACCATCCTGTCTACCTCGGCTCTATTTCTAAACCGTGTCTAATAAAACGCTTTATCGTTGACAACATGGCATCTGATCCAATCTTCTACCATTGTCCGTCGACCTTTTCTTTGACAAGCTCTTCGGCGAGTTTGCCCTGTTCCTTCTCGTCCTTGAGAACAGGCCTGGGAAGTTCGAAGCCATCCAGCACTCTGGCATAGGTGATACCTCCCAGTCTGGCAATGGGGCGCAAGATGGCGGGGTCGATAATCGACTTGTCGTCGTTGATGGCGTCTTCTCGAACCCAGAACCTGACGCCTTCGATGACGGCGAGCACGCCGGTCTTTTTCCCGGGGTTTTTGGGGGATCGCGACTCGAACTCCTGCGTGGACACCAGCTTTCCCTCGACGCTGAAGACGCTCTCCTTGACTCGGGAGCACTTGACCACATCGCACGACGCCGGGGCCAGGCCGGACACGCTCCATTCAGACTGGCCATAGGGCAGGTCGATAGAGCAGGCGTTGGCGGCCTCGACAAAGTCCTCGCTGATGATGTTGATGACGCACTCGCCCGTCGCGATCAGGTTGCGCAGCGAGTCCTTTGCAGCGTCAAGGCCGCCAGCGAAGCCGACGCCGAAAATGGGCGGGTCGTGGTTGAAGACTTGCGTGTACGAAAAGGGGGCCAGGTTCGTTGACGTGCCGTCCGCAGACCGCGTCGACAGAAACCCCACGGGTCGGGGGATGATGCCGCTGATGAGCAGCTTGTAGTTCTGCACGGGCTGTCGGTCCGCTGCGTACGGGTCGATGCTGATATGTTGTGATTGCTCCTTTGCTGTTGACGATGCGTTTGCGCTGCCACCACCGCTTCCGTATGTCCACTCCGGATTCCGCGTCTTGGTGAACAGCCACGTGCGCGACTCGTCCCAGTCCGGCCGCGAGGCTTGCACCTGGCCAAAATCGCCGTGCGGATTGCGCTTCACGACCACCTCGGCGTCATACTTCTGCTGCGCTTCCTGCGGGTTTGACGGGGTGCCGGACATTTCTTTTTGCCCGGAAGGAGTGACCTTAAAGCGCGGTGACCAGATCGTTACAGAGACAAACCAAGGCCTTGGTGGGTGTTTGTAAATAGCCGGCCCAATGCCCTTGTTTTCGTTTGTTAACCCAAAGAATTGACTTCTCTTCGCCTTTTCAAGGGGATTCTTCTCCCTTTATCAACTGATAAGGACGTATATGTGTTTTGTACGTGTGCGTGTTTGTACGTCCGTGTGTGGATACTGTATCTGGTACTCGTGCTCGGTATCAAGACGAGACGCGACGAACCTCGACGGCGCGATGGCGAAATCCTGCTAGTTTCTTTCACAAGAGTGCTTCTTTTTTCTTCCTCCCGGTTTTTCCGTCGAACTGTCCGTCGCTCGTTCACTCAATCCGTCTCTCAGGAACTTGAGTTTAATGTTATCAGCGAGTCAAGGTGAAAGATGGGAGATGAGAAGTGGAAGGAACGGATTTTTTTCTTCAGTGTCTTCAATTTCGCACTCTTTTTGTCCGTTGTTCGGAACAACAAAGGTCGAGGGGTGGCTTAGAAATCGCTCATCCTCCGGTGAACAGACTAACGAGTACCGAGTGAGTAGGTGAGATGGAATGGAATGGCTTCTATTCCATCGGGGCCGAGGACGACGGGGGTAATCAGTACTAGATTCTTCAGATGAACGAGACGAGGAAGTTGGGACTGAGGAAAGTGGGTGTGAATGGCAGAGAAGGAAGGAAGGATGAGTGATACTTTGATACTTTTTTTGAGGTTTGTGTGGGAGAATAGGAAGGAAACATCAAGGGCACACACTAGGACATACAGCGACGCATCGATCACTCATCTACCTTCTGATTAGGCTGCATTGATTGACACAGGACAAGGGTCATCGCCATGGACTTGACTCTACTGGATACATTACAGGTGTAAGAGGTACATACTAGGTATATAGATACGTCATGACTAACTGGTTCTATACCAATCAACCCACCTGTGTATGGCGTAGGCACGGGTGGTACCTAGTAACACATGTCTGCAGGGCAATACACCAAAAGGAATGAATGATAAGAGGAACCATGGACGAGGTAAAACTCCGTTCCAATATCACCGTCACATCCATCTCTATGACTCGGTGCTTCTTCTCCTTCTCCCCCTTCCCCTCCTCCTCTGTCGCACCGGACGGCGGGAGAAATCCGGTCCTTGTGCTTGCGCATGCACACCCCGCCTCATCACAATGACCATGACCTTCTCACAGGACCTCACGTTATCACGCCTCGTATCACACTCACAAGGCAAGTTTGCCAGTAAACCATGCCCAATCCACCCAGGCGTCGAGATGGAGATGAGCGACAAGTTTGCGGGGTTGAGCATGTGCCACCGGTATGATACGATATGAGGGAACGAGCGGACCAGCAGAGTCTCGGCCCTTTCAATCTAAGGTATTTCATTGCTAATAACCTACTTTTGAGGTTGAGGTAGAGATAGAGCTGTGTCGAGTCGAGAAGGCATCGATTTCTAGTTTCTCTAGTAATTTTCTTCATCTCGACTTAACAGACTTTTGTCGGAAAAGTGTCATCGGAACCTCCGAGGTACCTATACGTACGATGCCTGCAGACTACGAGACATACGACCTGGGCGACTTTGCGGTGCAGAGCGGCGCCACCATCCCCAAAGCCTGGATCGCCTACAAGACCTATGGCTCCTCCAGTAACCCTGTCGTGCTCTACCCGTCGTGGTACTCGGGCCTCATCTCCGACAATGAGTGGCTGATTGGCGCCGACAAGACCCTCAACCCGGACAAATACTTCATCATCATCACCGCCCTCTTTGGCAACGGCCAGTCCATCAGCCCCTCAAACTCGGACGTCGTGCCCTTCCCGGACGTCACCTTCTACGATAATGTCAAAGCCCAACACCGTCTGCTTACCGAGAAGCTGGGCGTGAAGCACCTGAGGGCCGTACTCGGCTGGAGCATGGGTGCCGGCCAGGCGTTCCAGTGGGCCACCCAGTATCCCGACTTCGTTGACATTGCCGTGCCCTTTTGTGGGAGCGCAAAAACATCCATCCACAACCAGGTCTTCTTGGAAGGCGTCAAGTCGGCCCTGTTGGCGGCCAAAGGGCTCAGTTCCGCCGGGAGTACCTTTGGCAGAGTGGAAAACGCCCAAGATGCCGTCGCCATCAAGTCGAACCGTCAGTGGACCGACCAGGAAAAGGCCACCGGTCTCAAGGCCTTTGGGAGAGGATATGCCGGATGGGGCTTCTCCCAGGCCTTTTACCGCGAAAAGCTTCACCAGTCAGCCTACGGCGCAAAGGATCTCGAGGATTTCATGGTCAATTTCTGGGAGACTTGGGCACTGTCAAAGGATCCCGAGAATTTGTTGGTCATGCTGTACACCTGGCAGGCCGGTGATGTGAGCAAGCAAGAACCTTATAACGGCGACTTTGAGGCGGCAATGAGGGCTATCAAGGCGAAGACCCTGGTGTTGCCCAGCAAGACGGACCTATACTTCCCGTAAGCTTTCCCGTCTTTATTCGCTTTTCGATTTTGACGACATTTCTCTTTATACTTGACTTTGATCACTGACGCGCATCTACTCCCCAACAGGCCCGAGGACTCCGAGTACGAAGTGCAAAACATGTCTCCAGGCGTGGGCCAACTGGATGTATACCCAAGCATCTGGGGGCATTGGGCGGGCGGACCACCTGGTAATTTGGAGGATGTCAAATGGCTTGATGAACGCCTTGCAAAGCTTTTCGCCGAGGCCCCCAAAAACGGATGAGTTGAAGTCGTTTGGAAGTGATGAGGAAAGGGCCAATGGGACCAGCAGTGCAAAAAGAACCAACCTGTAATTTGGAACCATGTCTGAACTAAGTGTTTGAGGGCAGCCGTCCGCTGAGATTATTCCTATAACCCAGAGTAGTTAGTTTTGAATCCAGTCATTCTGTATCTCCCATGTCGAGGGCCATTCAGGCGGGTTTGTTTGAAGAACAAATTCTGAGGAAATACACTCAGGCGTCTGCTACCATCGCTGCGAGAAAGCAGCTCATCGCGCACAAGTTCGATCTGAAGACGCCGCTGGCGGGCCGCTCTCAATTTGGCGCAGGATCCTCGTCATTGCCGGCCTCGGTACCACATCGGGATCCCGACGTTGCAACTTGGAGAACGGACAAATCCATCCAGCAGATTTCCAGGACATATAAAACCCCTCGATGAATGGCGCTTGCGCCTTGTCGAGCCGCGTTCAGGAAAGAGACCGGACATACTCTGAAGTCATATCAGCTTGACGATTGCGATCTCCTTCACTATCAGAGCGACAGGAGACTTCTGGCCTTGTAAAACTTGATTTTGCAGCTCAGCCATTGCATCATGGCGTCGAATTTCAAGTCCATTCATCTCCACCATAACATCCCCGACCTCTCTGGTTCTTTTGAAATCACCTGTTCCCCTGGAACCGATATTTGGGACAAGCCGCCTGCAACACACTCGTTCAATGCGCCAATCATTTACAAAACCAGCACAGTCGGCACATTCAAGTCCGCGAAAGTGACAGTCGCAGCCCCTTGGAAGGACAAATACGATCAAGGCGGTCTGTGTCTGGTCATACAAACAGCAGATACCCGTCGCTGGGTGAAGACGGGCATTGAATTCCTCGACAATGTGCCGTTGGTGGGCACTGTGGCAAAGGACCGGTGGGCAGATTGGAGCCTCAGGCCTCTGCTGGCTGAAACCCTGAGCATTGAGCACACGGCCATTGTTGAGATCGAGAACGCAAGTGACGGAAGCCTCTGGGTCTGGCTGGTCAGTGAAAGCGGGAAGAGGTTACCGCTGAGAGAAGTGACGTGGTGGGGAGATCTGCCCAAGGACACAGAGATTTGGGTTGGCGTTTATGCCGCGAAACCGGCGCCACATGGGGAGAAGGACGATCTGGTTGTTACATTTGAGGGGTTGAACATCCAGTAGATAACCAAAGGTGACCTCCAGGGTGTCGTTCGTAGCTTGCCGGGTTGTCGGGAGCATACCTCGTGGAGGGGGAGAAGCTCGCTATGGTATGACCGACCTACATGTAAACGGTTTGAGATATTTGAAGCAGTGCAATGAGGAAACAGCAAAGTTCAATACAGAGAATGTCAAAGAACACGGATTCCCAGCTCCTGCGTATTGTAAGGTGTGAGCTTCGTCAGAGAGGAGACCCGAGGGCGCAGTTAATATATCGACGCGTCTCACTAGCGGACGCGTTTTGGGTACCTCCAACATTTTAAGCCTCCGCCATTGTCACCACCACGAGCTGCTCCTGTCTCCATGGTCACTTCTTTCACCCACTTCGGAGCATTCGACTTTTGTCAATCGCAATCCTCATTTCTTTACGATAGCGACCATTGTCTCCATCTCGGTGCTTCTCAATAAACCTGTCGTAGTCGTTCCGCTCCTAAAGATGACAGTCGACTCGTGACACCCCTCTTTGCAACATGCCCACCCGGCTTCGCAATGCTGCTGCCGTAGAGGCTGCGCAGACTTCCCGTCGATACGATATACCCGGCCTTCAGTTCGACGACACTCTGGAATGGCGTGCCGGTAAACCAATCGCCGTGGGAGACCTTCTGAAGCGGCTGCAGAAGCTTGCTGGCCAGCTGCGCAATTATGATGTCGATCAAGTCGACTCACGCGCCTTCACCACGCTTGCGCTCGATCTCGCAAATCCAAATCTTCTCGGACACAAGGACAAGGGTGTAAGAGCATGGACCGTCTCCTGTATTGTCGACGTACTCAAGATCTGCGCTCCCGATGCGCCGTTCGTCGAGGCGCAACTGAAGGTGTGTGTGCTCGCGACATCCCATTTCAAACAGCCGAGGGCGTTGCCATTGACATGAGCAGGACATCTTCACAGTTATCATCACCTCTATTCTTCCGGCCCTTGCGGATCCAACCAATGCATACAATGCCCAACACGTCTACATCCTCATCTCCCTGGCCGAGTCGCAAAGCATTCTACTGGTGACGGACATCCCGAACCATGAAAGTCTGCTTACGTCTCTCTTCACAACGGCATTCGACGTCGTAGCCGCCTCTGGAAATAGCGCCTCGGGTGTCGAGGTCTCAAAGAGCGTGGAATATCACCTGAAAAACCTCCTGGCTGCAGTTGTCGACGAGGTTACCCTGCCTCCAGAGGTGACGGACATTATCATCTCACAATTCATGCGTGTGGACGCCCGCAATTTCGAGGACCATGGATCCAAAGGCAAGAAACGAGACTCTCATGACACCAAGCAGGGGACACTGCTCCTCAAAGACTACCCTCCAGCATACAACATGGCCAAGTCGCTCTGCACCACCTGCCCCGAGAAGATGACATCCCAAATCACTCAATATTTTGGGACTGTGATTGTCGACGCAACCAGTGCTCCCACCATCTCTCATCCTACCCACAAACGTTCCGCTTCGGATGCTGATGGTGACGATGAAGAAAGAGAGGGTCTAGCAGATTTGCGGAAAGCCCATCGTTTACTTCGAGAGTTGTGGCGCGCGTGTCCGGATGTCCTCTTGAATGTGATTCCTCAAGTTGAAGCTGAATTCTCCGCCGATTCCTACTCGCTTCGTCGACTGGCCACTGAAACCGTCGGGGATATCACGGCCGGGATTGGCATTGCTGGGCTACCTCCGACCGTACCTCTTGATCCTGCTGCTTATCCCTTACCCTCCGTCGACAATCCAGGAGAGCCCCCTGCACAAACCACAAACCCCCTTCTTACTGCGGCCTCACCCAAGCCTTTTATGGCGGTCCACGCTGCGGCATATCAGTCCTTCCTCGGCCGTCGCATTGACAAGTCACACATGGTTCGAGAAGCATGGGCCAATGCCGCTGCTCGAATCCTGCGTACCTCGGCCGGCGGCATTGGTTTGAATCCTCAAGAGCTTGAGGACTTGCTTGCTGGCTTTGCTCAGATGCTGCGCGATCCCGAAGAACATGTGCGGTTAGCGGCCATTCGGTCCATTGATACTTTCACCTATCAGGGTATGATAAATACCCTCGGAGCTGATGGCGGCTTGCTGAAGCAGCAGACTGTATTCTCGTCGTTGGCTGAACGCGTTATCGATCGAAAGCATCACGTCAGAGAGGCTGCTATTGAATTGCTCGGCCGGATTTGGGGTGTCGCTTCTAGCGATGTCGAGTCAGGCAATGAGATTGTCAAGAGCACTATTGGAGATATCCCGAATCGTATATTTGGCGCCTATTTCACCAACGAGCCGCACGTTCACGCTGTGATTGACAGAGTTCTGTATGAAAGTCTATTACCGCTCTTTTTCCCGCCATCCAAGGTCCAAGCGTCCCGAGTCGAGAGCCAAAGACAGCGAGGAAGAGACAAAGAGGGTGGCTCACAAGAAGAATCAATATTTGATCCTGATGCCGTTAGAGCACGTCGCATCCTAACACTCGTCCAAAGCTTGGACACCAGACCACGCGCCGTCTTTTTCAGCCTCCAAAATCGACAGGTACAAATGAGCAAAGGTATGAAGGTATTTCTGGAGACTTGCGAGGAATACAATGGAGGCGTTCTGGAAGATGACTCTACAGAGGCAACCCTTGAGAAGCGTCTCACCCGCATGATCGATCAACTCTCGAAAAGTTTTCCTGAGCCATCCGAGGTTTCGGCTGACCTCTGGAAATTCGCAAGGCAACACAACCGTCGATGGTATCAGCTAATACGCTTTGCCACTGGTCCTGAGCATGATTATCGCACGGTCACCAAGGCTATCAAGGAGCTTACCAAACGCATACGCGAAGCTCCCGGGAACGTTCAATCACTTCTTGCCACGATCCAACCGCTCTTGTACCGGTGCGCCTTGCTCGCCTATAATCGAAGTCATGTCCCAACAATCATGGCTATATCGCGGACTGATGAGGGCGGCTTGGGTGAGGTAGCTCACGAGGTTCTGAAGGAGATCTCTGCCCGGAATCCGGAGGTGCTCAAATACCATATCCAGGCGCTGTGCAAAGAGCTTGAGGATGAGGCTCCATCAAGTACAAAACCTGAGCAAGACGGTGCCCCTGACACTCTCAAGGCATGTGCGGCATTCGCTCGGAAATACCCGTCAGATATGCCCAAGGAGCGGAAGTTCCTGACATCGCTGGCACAATTTGCTTTGTACTCGAAATCTCCCCGTGCAGCGAAACACGCCGTGTCTATCATTATGATGGCTGCTGATAAGAAAGAAATGTATGCTAAAGACCTGCTGTCAAAGGCGCTGGCAGGTCTTGAGTCCGATAACCCTCATTTTCTCGCTCGCCTTGCTACAATAGCGCAGATCTGCCTGCTTGCTCCGTCCACGGCAAACGTCGACTCGGACACGATTCAGAAGCTTTGCCTCTCAAATATTCTACTCAAAAATCAGTCGCCCAGCAAAAAGGAAGACTCGAACGCGTGGGATGATATAGCAGATGACGAGACACAAGCTAAAGAACTGGCGCTCAAAATTTTCGTCAATCGCTGTCGGTCCCAGGATGAAACAAAGAATAACGACGAATATACCGCACTGGCAAAACAGGCGTTCAATCATTTCATCACTCTAGTCAACAACGAAGGAGAAATGACGCCTTCAAAAGATACACCGCCCGCACAGAAGAATCGGCTCAGACTTGTTGCCGCACATCTAATATTGAAGCTCTGCAGCCACAAGCGGAAGTTCGAAGACTTCATTGACCCTCAGTCGTTCATATCGATTGTGATGATTATAATTCATCCTCCCAATCCGGTGCGGGCTGGGTTTGTGAATTCGCTGAAGAAGTATCTGGGTCTGAACCGCCTCGCTCATAGATGGTTCACAGCTCTCTTCCTCCTGGCCTTTGAGCCGGACACGGAACTGCGCACATCGACCGTCATGTGGATTCGAGCACGCGTACAATTCTTCGCCAGGCAGAAGCTTCAGGCAGATTCAGGAGATAAGAAAATGCATCAAAATGTAATGGAGTCCATATTTGCACGTCTGCTCAGCCTGTTGGCTCACCACCCGGACTTCCCAACTCGGGACAGCGATAGCTTTGACGAAGAATTGCTGGATTTTGCAAAGTATATTGTCTTCTACCTCTGGGCTATCGCCACGGAAGACAACCTCTCACTGATATTTCACATAGCCCAGCGTGTCAAGGGCGCCAGAGAGGGTGTTGTTGGTACAGATGAAGCGAGCGAGCGATTATACATTCTTAGCGATTTGTCTCAGGCAGTGATCCGGAATTACGCAGACATTATGCCAGCGCACGCAAAAGGTGTTAATCTGCTGCAGACATGGCCTGGCAAAGTGAGCCTTCCTCGGAATTTGTTCAAGGCACTTCCCAGTCACGAGAAAGCGCAGGAAATTGCAGAGAGAAATTATCTCCCGGAGGACGTTGCCATCGGACTGGAAAAGATGATTCGGATATATATCAAGGAGCTGAAGAATGCTAGCCAGCCAGTTAAAAGGGCCGTGATTGCCGAGAAAAAGCGGAAGAGTGATGCGGCGTTGCTCGACCATGGTGAGGACGACAGGGAGGAGCGAAAGAAAGTGGCAAAGAAAGCAAAGAAAAGCGCCCTGGCCATTCGCAAGACCCCCAAACCACGGCGGAAGGGCTCGGAGCCTGCTAGCAGTCCGGTGTTGCCATCACGGAAGAGTAACCGTGCTTCCAACGTGGTGTCGTATGCAGAGTCAGATTCAGAGGACGGAGATGTGGAAATGGAAGACACGATACCTCGGAAAAACAGTCCAACCACCCGGAGAAAGAGCAAGGGAGAAGAACAAGGCTCGGATCAAGACCTGGATGACGATGACAGCGAAACTGAGGACGATGAAGTGCGAGACAATACCGTCGAGATGGAAGTCGAAGAGAAAAATACTGATGACGAAGTCCATGTCGACGAGGATGAAGATACTGCTGCCATCCATGAAAATGAGGGTGAAACGGGCAAGCAAGAGGAACAGAAGCACACTGCTGCTATCAAGGAACGGCAGAACAAGAAAGTCACTGCGAAGAAAAATATGGCGCCCGAGGAACAGTCAGACCAGGCGCCCCGGTCAGGACGGACGACCCGACAGATGAGGAGTACGAGAACATAAGTTACGAGGATGAGCTAACGGCATTTCATCAATGGGGACATGTGTTGTTGAGCTTTATGCAGCATTTCTGGGGGAGGGGTTTGGGTGTTGCATTGAGCGTGGAGGAGGGTTGAACATACCACCATCATAAACGATACAGATGATTGGCTGTATTGGTGCTATGAAAAGGTCTGCGGGTGCTCAGTAAAAGTAATGTAGCGAATGAAGATACCCCCCTGCGGGAAACTGGCACTGACTAGCAGCGGGATGTGACTTGATATCCAGCGAGGCTGCGAGGTTGCGAGACTGTGACGGACCAAATTTCGGCCAGGCTGCCTTTTTCTTGGCGGGGAAATGACGGGAATCATCCTCAGCTCGTCTTTCTGATCTGTAAGAGTCCGCGTCCGGGCGAACGACCATCAACCCCATTGCTGCGTATCTCGATCAACCAGGCATTCACAATGGGCGGCCTATTTAAGATGCGTCTGCGTTCCCGTGCCGCCCATCCCTCCCGTGAAGATGCCAAAACCAACCAACTGAACTAGCACACACGCTCCCTTGTAGCTCGAAACCCTTCAGCCTCACCATCATGCCAGCATTGTCGTCCATCGTTATTGACGCCTCTCCTCAAGACGTCTGGAATGTCCTCGTTGACTTCCCCAGGTGGCCAGAGTGGAACACTTGGTTCCTATCTATTCGTGCCCATTCAACCCCTGTTGAACTAGGCACTCTGGTCACATTCACAAACGCCATGTCTGAGACCGCTAAGCCCGGAACCTATACAGCGCGCATCACCACTTGGCAACCCGACAAGACAGAGTTCGCCTGGAAGGGTGGCCCATTGCCAGAGTGGCTGGCGTGGACTCTGAGGGGCTATCATTGGTTTAGGCTCGTGCCACAGGACGGTGGGAAGAAGACGCTGTTCGATCATGGCGAAGACGTCGAAGGATTGCTGAGCGTGTTGGTTCCCGGCAGTATGGTGAAAGACCTGGTCAAGCAGCTGGACAAGTTCAATGGCGAGTTGAAGCAACGGGTTGAAAAAGGTCCACAAGCCAGCACGACGTGAGGAGGGCGGAGGACAAGACGGGGCGATCAAGCTGATACGGCAACAAATGTATGCTGAATTTCTATTGGCGACCATATCTCTACTGCTGGAGGCGCATTCTGCATGTCCCTGCTGACTGGAACAGATTCGAAGCGAGTCCATTTGTCTTTGGTGTACTTGTTGCAATGCTTTTCTTACAATGAAAGGCACTTCCGGGGCTCAATAATCTACTGTCAACCAGCCTCATCCTGACTGTTTGCATCTCCCTGCACTTTGAAAACCGCCTTGGGCAACTTTGTTCTCCATCCTCATGCGTTGGGCTCTTCATTCCGTTTCATCACTCATAACTAAGAATACTGACTGGTGTTTGTCTCGTTGTGTGGAATTTGTTGTTACACAGATGGCTCTGGCTTTCCCTCGCCGGGTTGCTTGGTGTTTTCGTTGTTGCAGCAAACAGCCTGACGCAGTTGAGCCCAAACAACTGCCCTCTGTTGTTTTACTGACGTGTTTTAGATCCAGTCCTTCTCCAAGGTAAAATGTCACCCTTTCACTTTTGGATTTATCATTTTTTTTCCGTCACTTAGCAGCGTACAATGTCGCGATACAATCCGAACTGGGGTCGCCCCAACCGCAACACTCCCAACGACAATGCTGATGAGGCACAACCGCCATACCGTGCGAACCCAATCTTCAGTCCTGGTAACAGCCAGCCAGACAACTCTTCGCCAAATCTTCCTCCAACTGGTCCATCAGTGGCCCCTTTCCAACCGACTCGGCAAGGAGCGCCTCCTGGCTCGAGCAGCAACCGGGCGCTACCTCATCCAGGTGGTCAATTCACCCCTCGGCAGGCCAATACCAACGAGAAAACTCCCCAGACTGGTGGCAGAGGGGGACACCCACCGTTGTCTCACCGTCCGAGACAGCCACAAACAGGTCATGGCGGTAGGGGTGGTCGGCTGCCTGGGAACTCGAAACCTCAAGGGACACGAAATGTCGACATTCCAGGGAAAGAGCTGCTAGCCAACCATTTCGCCATCACACTAGGAACCTACCAACAAGTCTTTTCTTACGAGTTGAACATCAGTAGAGTTCACCCAGAAGCACAGAACGACCAAAGTCGAACCACCGAGACAGAGAATGGCGTCCCCGCTACACAGAAGACACGCAAAATCGCGAGACAGAAGAAGAGACGACTGGTTTACCTCCTCCTCGAGCAACTTAAGTTGGAAAATAGACTTCCGGACCCCATCGCTACTGATTACCTGAAGCTGCTCATCACACCATGCCAACTGGATGAGGGTATCACCAAGTCACGCGAATTTGATTTCTACGACGAGTACTCGGCTGGTCCCGACCCAAATTGTGACCGGTACCGTGTAGAGTTTGAAAAGCCTAAGCCGATCTCTCTGACCGATCTCTTCGCGCACTATGGCTCTACACAATCTCAGGCCGCTGGTGCGCAGATATCGACTGAAGCTCTCACTGACGCAACCACCGCTCTCAACATCATCTTCAGCTATCTTCCTTACCAACGATGCTTTTCCGACCGTCATGACTCTACCCCCTCGATGACTACGGTAAAAGGACAGACGTTCTATGGCATTGCTCCTCCACCTCCTCCCCGACATTTAGGTCCCTGGATGACAGACACTGGGAAGGTACTCGACGGGCGAGGTGGCCTCTACAGCATTCCAGGATTCTCGAGGAGTGTCCGAGGCTCATTCAGTTCGTCGGGACACGTGGATCTCAACATCTACATCAAGACGGGCTGTTTTTGGCAGCATGGGAGTGTCCAAGACGTGATTGATGCATTCAGACGTCAACACCCTTCGGCCAGTCTGTATGCCCTTCAAGAGTTCTTGCGTCGAGCTCCAGTAAGGTTAGCGTTCCAGGAGCCAGGACTCGATCGGTTCTCCGGCATCAAAGGCGTGGTGGGCAATGATGGACTGTCTACAGCCGATAGATGCGACATGAGACATCTCAAACAACAGCATTCGGGCGGTCTTGTGAGAGACTACTTCTCCATGAAGCATAATTGGCAGATGGACCCAAAAGTAAATGTCGTCAAGATCGGGAAAGAGTCACAGAACGGGCACATGACGGTCCCTGCAAACCTGCTTCAGATCCTGCCTGGGCGAATGAAGCCAAGCGAGATACCCCGGTTTTCGACTCGATTTCCAGATGAGAACTACAACATGATTGTCACAGATGGCCGGCGCACATTTTATTCGACCGACCTTGCCCATGGTGGAGCGGCAGCGTTTCGCTTGTCAATTGATTCCAGAATGGCCAGAGTCCCCGTCACGGTGCTGGCGCGGCCCAGCCTTATGTACAAGACTTCAGAAAACTCGAATCAGGCGAAATACATAGACGGAGCGCTCATTCACGCTGGTCAATGGAATATCCAAGGTGCCGCTTTTGTGAGGCCAGCTTCTGGGAAGAAGTGGTCATGCGTCGAGCTCACGGCGGAGGGAAGGCCATTGAAATGCCCAACGCAAGGGATGACTCATTTCGTGGACCATCTGACCCATGCGTTGTGGCAATATGGCATGCAGAGATTTGAATGGTGGCAGTTCAACCCCAGCAACATGGGTGCACAACAGTACGCCGACACAGACTTGTTTCCGAAGCAGAAGACTGTTTCGAGTTTCCAGAAGCAGTCCACCGCCATCATAAAACTGCTCAAGGATCTTAAAGCGAATGGAGTCCAGCTGGTGGTCCTGCTTATCCCTGTCCATGATTTGGAACTCTACGGTGCTATCAAACGAGCGGGCGACCAGAAGGTTGGCATCGCTACCGTCTGCCATGTGCTCCAGTCTGGCGGCAAGGCACTCTGGCCCAAAAGCATTCTACGTCCTGGCGATTCACAGGGTAGGGTCAACCACGACTTTCTGGCGAATTTGTGCATGAAGATCAACTTGAAAGTGGATGAGGCGACCGTCAATCAAGCCTTGCATGGTAACCCAAAGATTCTGACACCCAAGACGATGATCATCGGCATTGACGTGGCTCATGGAGGCGGACCAAGGAAACACTGCCCCAGCGTTGCGGCCGTGGTCGGCAGCGTCAATGCAGAATTCTCGCAGTGGCCAGCAAGTTTGTTGGCGAATCCATGTTCCACGAGAGATGATGAAGAGAAAGAAGCCAACGAGAAGATACTGGATCTGGACCAGGCCGTGTACGAGCGACTTCTGGACTATTACAATCGTAACCATGATCCACGCCCCAAAGGGTCCAAGGACAGCGGCATTCCAGACCAGATCATCGTGTACCGAGACGGTGTGTCCGAGTCGCAATTCGCAATGTGCAAAGATTACGAGTACGAAAAGATCGGGGCGGCCTTGAGCAAGCTTTTCCAACAAAAGGGGTTGCCTGTCGAGCTTCGGCCCAAAGTCACCCTCATCTGCGCCATCAAACGCCACCACACGCGTCTCTTCCCGAATCCCGACGTCAGCTCGCAAGACAGAAGTCTCGTGCTAAACCAGCAACAGAAGAACGGCAGCGTGAACAACAACCCCGTCCCGGGCTGCGTGGTGATGGACCGGATCACGTACGGACAGGGCAACGACTTTTTCTTGGTCGGGCAGAAGGCCATCCAGGGCACGGCCATCCCGGTGCATTACAATGTGTTGCAGAATCCGCACAACTACGACATCCAGGATATTGCCAGGATGGTGAGTTTTGATTGTCTCTGGTTTCTAAACCCGTTTTCCTTTTCTCTGACCCTCCCTCTCTGCGTGTGACGGCGCTAACCCGCTAATACTTAACCAGACATACCATCTCTGCTATCTCTTCGGCCGCTCGCGAACTTCCGTCGGACCATGCACTCCCGTCTACTACGCCGACCTGGTCGCCGACCGCGCGCGGTGTTTCGTGCGCCAATTCTACAACCCGCCACGAGACAACGACCAGGATCAGCCACTCCGGCCGTTTGACGAGAGCGAACTGGGCCATTTCAAGGACTGCCTCCAACTGCATCCGGACATTGCGCGACATATGTTTTATATCTGAACGGAACAGCGGTTTTTTTTTTCTCTCTTCGTTGTGTTTATGGAACGCTGGTTGACCTGGCCTAGCCTGTCAGCACGTGCAGGAGGAGAGACATTCGGAGAACGGTGGTTCTCATGTCTGGCAACTTTTTTGCTATTCTTCCTCTTAACTTGTCTCTAGACCATCTCTTTTGTTGGACCCGGCTATGTCTTATCGTCCAGATTCTATTGCTCTTCGACCACTTGTCGTTTTTCAAGGAAACAAGAGAGGCAGCTCGGGTTGGGAGTTTTAGGTCTGTTCTTCAACGTGTGCTCGGGAATAGGGAATGTGCTGGTCAAGGCACGACGGGGTAGGGTAGGGTAGGGCTGAACAGATATTAGATATTAGACTGACGGATATTAGATGCTACAGAGACAGGCACAGGCACAGGCACAGGCACAGGCACAGGCATAGAAAGACACAGGAGCAGCATGCACGGAGGAGACGAATGTTTTCTCTCTTTTGACACCTTCTGATAATTAATTAATTGCCCTATCCTTATCCCTCTCCCTCCCTGTCTTGTGCGTTCGATATCCAATACCCGATCCCTCTCTCACCCTTCTCCCCTCCCTTCAAAAAGCCTTTTTTTTCCCCACCGACCCCCTTTTTTCTTCTCGTTAATAATTAAGAGGTCATTTGCTGGGTTGTTCCGCCTTGACGCCATCATTGATTTCGTTGATATTGTCATGTATGTCTGTGGTTGAAAGAATCCATCGCTAGCTGGTAAGAGCATATCGTGGAGCAATCGCCCGAAAGAGAAAGTCCTTCGGGGGAAAAAAGACTTGGATATATGTAGTAATCTATGCACTGTAGTTAGGAGGTCGTAGGTCTAAAACTCAAAAACGTCCTCGCCGACGCGTTCCCTGACGGTCCTGACCCAGTCCCTCACGGCGTCCTCGACCTCGTCGTCGTCGTCCTCGAGCATCTCGTTGACGTAGACCATGGTCTCGCCGGCGCCGCCGACGGCGACTCCACCACCACCACCACCCTCGGTCGCGGCGGTGGTCGACTGGCCCAGCACGACGTTCTGGAGCCACTCGTCGCCGACCTCCGAGGACTCGGTCAGCGTCATGTGCGTGCGGATGCTGGCGAGGCGCACGGCCGCCGAGGGACTGCGCCGGAGCTGGCAGAGCAGGTGGTTCAGGACGTGGTGGTGCGGAGGCACGTCTTGCACGGCGGTCGTGAGGGCCACGATGCACGGGATCACCGTGTCGAAGATCATGCCCCGCAAGGACGAGGACGACTTGGCTCCGCCCTTGCTCTTGGGCATAGTGTTGCCCGCAGGTGTGGATCTGGATCGGGATTTGGGAGACGAGACAAGGCCCAACTGCCCAACGAGAAGATTGGCCAGAGGTTGGAAATGTGAGGGCGAAGTAAAGAATCCATCTGCATCGTGGGTCGCGATCGTCGTCAATAGCGTCATGGTCGACTTGTACAGTTGCAGGCCGGTGTCTTCTGACAGGTCAATGTGCAGGGAGGGTTTCGTCTCAGAATTTTGATCTGCGGCAATCAACTTCGTTCCATGCACCGGCAACGAGGCACTGTTGATGGCCGACTGCAAGACATCGTTCACGGAGGGGAGGAGGTAGCTTGCGTAGCTCGTCACGATGCTCTTCAGGGTCGCGAAGAAATGGGTGGCAAAGAGGTAGAAGCTTGCTTGTCTGGCCAACCGTGCCATATCCTCTTGCAAGTTGCCTTCGGCAGAAGTGGAAGTCCCAGAACTTTTTCTGGTCGCCCAGTCAACCCATCCCTCAAAGATGGGTCGGAATATAGTGTCGTTGAGTTTGTAAATGAACACGATGCCCAACTCGTGAAGTCTCCTTTCCACATCCTCAATGTCCGACAAGGCGACAGTTTCGGCATGGGCTTGTTGGTCAGCACTGTCTCTCTGTTGAATGAGCCGTCGCAGATCTAGGACGTCCAATATGAAAGCCGATATCTCATCGGCAGCACCCATGACGATAGATTTCGAATTGCTCTCAATTGCTTGAGAAAGCATGTCAAGGAATTCAGTGATCGCTTCTCCATCGACCTTCTCGCCGGATACCACCGCCAGTTTCCAAGCCTGATTCAAGCTGCTTACGAGCGTCTTCAAGTCCAATCGCTGCGCCATGAGGCTCAGCGTCTCATGTCGAGCCTCCTTGCGTGACACCTCGTCCGGCTCTGCGAGACATGAGCGATAGGATAGACTGATGATCTCAGTAATGCTTTCGTCACTGATGATAAAGGGAGTGTGCGTGATGAACGAAGAAAGCAATGTGAAGCAAGCGTCGTGCAGTTCCGCTCGGCCTTCGCTGGTGTTGCTTTCGCCTTGTCGAGTTAAGAACGACTCCAACAGACGCAAGACTTTAGGAAGGGCTTGTACCACTATCGGGACACTTCCTTCCTTAAGCACCTCCGTCGTGCTGGCAAGACAGAGTAGAGACATGATCCTTGTCCTTTCATTGTGGGAATCTAGGCCGAATTCGCTTTCAATCAAGGCGGTAGAGGCGCTGATGACCTCTTCTGGGTTCTTGCGTCCGTATGCCTCAGTTATGCGATCAACACACGCAATCGCTGCATGCCTGAGTGCCTCATCGTCCGTGCTGCGGATAATGTGCTGCAGAGTTGGGAGATATGCAATGGCTTGCGTTTGCGTCTTGGTATCCCTTGAGCTCGGAGCAGTATGTTTGAGCTGTGTTGCAAGAACTCTAAGCGCCAGAGGCTGGAGCTCCTGCTGACCTTCTCCGGATTGTGCCATGTCCCGTAGTAGATTGGGCATGATCTTGAGAAGGTCGGCGAGGGAAGGTAATTCAAGGAGCGAGCTCAGACACTTCCTCGTCGATGGGGTCAGACTGCCGTGGCTAGACTTCTGGGATTTGAGCATACTAAGGACGCGCGTCATACAGACACTGAACTCAACCCAGAAGTTTTCATTTCCAGCTTCATCGGATTTTGAAAGTCTCTTTACCTGCGCTTTGAGGGTCTTGGACTGGAGGAGTTTCGAAGCCACTTCTAGTAAGGTTAATGCTTCTTGCTCCTTCTTCTCATCCGAGCTCGTTCTGCTGATGTCTAGCAAGGGAACGGCATTGTGAGGATCCTCGGAGAAAATATCAACACTCAGCTCGACAAGCTTTCTAAAGGTCAACAGCTGAGTTGATGCCGAAAGATCTGCCATCAAGCTTGCAAAGAACGAGGACATATCTTCCGCATGTCGCCTCGATGCGAGAAGAGCTATGACAGCAAAGGCAAAGTCATCAGCACCAAGCCTGCTGAGAAGCCGCTGGTAAAATGCGGCCCTTCGGTATTGAGGGACGTGGTCGTATGCTGTGACGAGGCTGGAAAGCAGGCTTGAAGTCGAATGAACAAGCTTTTTGGCATCCTGCTTTTTCAAAGTGGCAACCAACGGAGGGATTATTTCGTCAATGGTTCGATTGGTAACGTAGATTGAGCGCTCATCATCCTTTGACAGTATGCTTTTACCCATGAATGTGAAGATGGGCATAATGCTATGCAATATCCGATCTGGAGCCAAAGAAGCCAGGGCGGCCGAGAGAAGGAGAGCAGTGCTTTGGACCTGTGGATTTTCTGACGATCGAACACAATCCGTGACCAAGTCAGTACGAATAATAGAGAAGTCGATGGTTGACCTCGGAGACTTTCGTGCGCTGTCGATGATTGCCAATATGCTGCTGAGACAAAGGTTGAGAAGGTACGGAGATTCAGATGTGCCCTTGTCCTTGAGTCGTCTGAGGATTATCAATACCTCGAACAAGCCTCCGAGCAGTTGTGGATGTCCTTGTGGTTTGGAATCTTCCACAAGCTCCAGCGCAAGAGTCAATCTCGCCTCACTGATATCCAGTTCGAATGCCAGATCCTTCGGTATGCTTTCACGCCCATGGCTGACACGACGTCTTTTCCTGGGTGGGATATCTGTTTGCATCTCTGCAAGGCCAGAAAATGAGCGGTCTAGTATTGCAGCAAGAATCTCCGTAGAAAGGTTGATTGCGTGCAAAACATGACGACTTCCAGCAGCTTGGGCCGAGTTGTTGGAGAAGGACATATCAAATAGGCGTAGGGCAGCAGAGATTTGTGATTCATGATGCATATCCTTCCAGATGCCAGCAATTCTGTCAAAAAACGCATTGACCAGAGCAGCACGTGGCTGGAGTCTATCTCCGATAAGCATCGAGAGAATGTGCTCCACGGCGTCCTTGTCTCGTGCATTCACGAGACGAACCACCACAGCATCTATTTGGTCCAAAGAAAGACTCTCTGATGACGCGGCATTTTCGGCTTCTCCTTGTTTCAGCGATGCCCAGGTTTCGAGGATGGGCGACAAAATCTTGCTGGTGCTTGAGCTGCCCACTTTGTGGACGTCGACCAGCAGCTCGAGAATGCCGATCTTGACTCGCAGTAAAGAACATTCCAGAGCACAGCCGGTCAACAAATCGTGGAGCGCTTGCTTCGTGCTCTTCTTGAGTTCAATATCGGCAGCTTTGGACGAGGGCGTTCGGTCATTCCCAGTAAAGGTTGTCTGAAGAATTCTGCGTATGTAAGTGGGATCCAGGACGAATTCTTCGAGATAAGGCAAGTAGACTTGGTCCAGGATCTTTACCGCTTGCGCAGATAGCAGGGGTTTGACGTTCCGCATGCCAAGGTCATCGTACACCGTTTGGGCGGTGTTTTGCTCACCGTTCCCTTCTTTTGAAGCAGCCTCGTGAACAGCAGCGATGCAACCGACGGCTGCTCGTCGCACAAGTTGGCTGTTGTCAGAAAGAAGCACAGTAATGTAGGGAATCAGAGCTTGTAGATGCCCCAGTGATTCCGCTTTGATAACTCCCGAGAGAAGCCGGAGCGCAGCATTGCGTTGAGGGGTGGAAAAGGCGCCCAGTGCCACTCTCAACAGGAAGGTAATATGTAGATTGGAGGGCTTGTTCCAGAGTGGAAGTTGCTCAAATCGTTCCAAAAGCTGACTATTCTTGTGGCATAGCGCGAATGTTCGAGTAAGCTGGTCAAATAGAGGAGAGCGATTATTCCCAGAAGAGAGGAACGACGACTCGGTAGTCTCAGGGGGAAGGGATACAAGCATGGCTTCGGCTTCCTCCGAATCCTGTAATGATTCATCTTCGAGATTGTCAAGCTCCATAGGTGTGTTTTCAAGGAGTGGTTGCTGAGAGCTTTCAATCGTTTGCTGGAGAAGACCTTCCACCTCCGTCTGGGTACAGCCAGCCAAAGACATCGCATGAGAGAATGACAGCGAGAATTTTGAAGAGCCAGCCAGCGTCTGAAGCAAATGCATCAACCTTGTCGATTCTGCGGAAAGGGTGAAATCTGTTGAGAAAAGCTTTCGAAGCAGCGGTGCAAGGAGCCGACTTTTTGTTGCCGATGCGCAGTGGTCCTCAGCGACGTCAAATATGCATTCGATTATGCGCATTCTTTTGTCGATATTCTTGGGCTTCAACCCAAACGTCGCAGAGCTGATCAGAGCCTCGAACAAGGACGCCAAGGGCACCACTTTGAGTAGATCAGACAGTCGTCGCCCTATGTCGTCGCTGTTGATGAATATGTCAAGCACATTTCTGGGAACTCTCATGTCGGTCTTTTTGGTGACCAGAATAGCCAAACATGCCAAAGCCGACCTAGAATCGGATGTCTCTTCGGCAATAAAGGGGGCAATCGACATCATCAAGGAGTCGATGACCTGGTCCCCAAGATCCGCACCGCCTGCTAGCACGAGAACAATGGTGAAACATGTGACTGTAAATTCTGGACAGTCTTTGATTTCAAACCCTTCACTGAGCAGTGGTAAAATCTTCAACAGCACGTCCTCTGTCCGCTGTTTCTGCACTTCTTTTCTTCCATTCCTGACCTGGCTCAGTCTTCCAGTTACCGCCTCGACAACGACGCTGCCCCAAAAGCGTAGTAGTGATGAGTGGGCTACACCTTCCTGGCATGCATGCAGGACGTAGTCGTTGAAAAAGGAGAAAAAGGCGTCGTTGTGAGTGGCGCTGTATATGACCACACGTCGAGGAACACTGGCAGCTTCTTTATGGTAGGGCACCAGGAATTTCCACCCACTGACAAATCTGTCTGATGGGACGATTCTCAAGATATTCTCGAACAAAGGTGTTTCGTGGTACGGTAAAAATGTGGCCAGCAACACATCCGTGTTGTAGACATGAACCCGAAATCTTCGCACGAGCCACTCCACCGCTTTCAGGCCGGGTCGGAGCACCACCTTGGATCCAAGGAGAGTAAGACATCGATCTATCACGAGCCCCAGCGCTTCATTTTGTGTCTTGTTCAGCAGCTCTCGGTCCTGCGTTTTGGACTGAGGGCTGTAGAGATTTTGTTCGAATTCATGCAGTCTTGTATCCAGTAGACACAGCTCTCGAAAGCCTTCCACACATACGTGATATATTGTCTCCCAATCTTGCTTGACGGCGACACTGCGGTCGAAAATGAGGGATTCGGCGTGTGCACCTCGTCGGGCGCGTAGATCGAGTTCGCTCGTAGAATTTGCGGCGATAGTGCGAAGCTGCGCGGCGAAGGTGGAGGTCATTGCGGCTGTCGTAGAAGGAGGGTAGAGGGAGTCAACGTTGTTTCCATGGGCGGGAATTTAGAGCAGCCAGCTTCAAGGATGCCCTCACAGTTGTCTTAGCTTGGTCGTTGAAATCTTCACTGTCAATCAAGTGGTGGCATGCGACAACCAGAAAAAAGTTTTGGAGACACCCGGATATTGCGGGGATAACAATCGTGCCAAGAAAATTTAAGATCTTCAGCCTCGCGCCCTGCAGACGAGGCTCTGTCTTCATGTACCATACATGTACAAGTGCGAAAGACTACGGCAACGTATCTGAAATGTCAAGCCGCACCCGCATACCTCGGTCTAGCATGGTTTGATACACCTGTCTGAGTCTCGTGTTTCCAATCGCGTCTCTCAATATTGGCAGTGTAAATCCCAGCATGCATAGTCCTTTCGACCACGGACATGCTCGTAGCGATGCATAAAAGGATTGCGTTGCCATTGCTGCAGATATGTGGGCTTTCTCTTCGGGTCTCTTTGATATTTTTCTCCCTAGGTTTGAATGACCATGGATCCCAACTAATGAGGTTTCCCACTGAACATATGTGTACCATATTTCCACACTGTCATGCCCAGGAGACCCGGGTTGCGTCACTCGTTTGAAAGCTGAGCGAATGCTGTGATCAGTGCTTCCGCTGTACGAGGGTCTGTTGAGTTCTAGCATCAACTCAAGCACGCATCGAACGATACTTTTTCCGGTTTGTACATCGTTGGGCCCCTCTTCTTTGGGGTCGAGCTGCCGCAACCGCTCAAATAATCCGGCCTTCTGAAGGAAATAATGATGGAGAAGCAAGAGGTTCAGGTTGTCGGGAAACATTTCTGTTGAATCTTTTAGAATGGGCACGAGTCCTCGTGGTTTGAAGCTCCTTCCAAAGGTCACAGAATGGGCGTAAATGAAGCGAGCCCGCTGCTCGTGAATGGCTTCAAGCACGGCAGAAGATATTGTCGATGAGCCAGTGAAAGAGATTAAAGATGCATGGTATGTCTGTAGGGCTATGTCAAGGGACATATCAGCATTGAGATACCTATGCAATGTTAGAACGTCGATTAGTGTCGGTAATTGCTCTGCTCGATTCTGGGAGCGGCTCTGCTCGATATGCGTTTTGATGTAATGGTCGACCTTTATCCGCACTGTAGTAGATGGCTCAGTAGTCTCCTCGCTTTCTGTTCGGAGCTGAGATAAGTCAACCTGTGCCTCTGTTATGCGATTCAAAAGGGCCCTAGCCTTCTGAAATTGTCTTCGGCGCATGTACGAGTATGCCCAGTCACGCCACAGAAGGAATGAGTCAAGCTGTTCTTTTTGGCCGAGCGAATGTCGCATCGACAACGCGGTTGACCAAACCTTTTCAGCACCTTCAAAATTGTCCAGCCGGCACTCGAGTAGCGCATATGTATTGTACAGTCTGAGACTGTCAGCCTTGCGCTTGAGAAATGCCCTTGTCTGTTTCTTGGCGGATTTCAAGTCTACTCCAGCCTCCAATGCAATCGCATATTCCATATGCAGATCACTCGATTCTTCGTCAATTGCCGGTTCCGTAAGCTGAGATATGGCTCGGCGAACAAAGCTGAAAGACGAATCGACAAGTCTTGCAGGGCTAGAAAGTGAAACGCCGCGTGTCCGGGAGTTCATTTGCTGAGACGCCAGGAAGACTTCTTGGAAGCGCAACTGCAACCCAAAGCTGCTGTTTGCAGGACTGTCAGATTCCACAGAGATGCCGGGGAGAGGTAAGTGGCTATGAATGAAAGGGTCCCGTTCCCAGACTCTGGACTCAGGCAGTGAAGATAGTGGCGAAAGGCCACTGAACAGGAAGAATGCATCTCGCAGGAGCCACGAGCCTTTCACGGTGGTCGGGGAGAAGAGGAAGTCTTTGATATCCGAAAAGAGGAGAACGCGATAAGGATCATCGTCGTTGACCTCGTCTAGAGCTCTTGCAGGCAGCCCTGCGGTTCTTTCAAGCTCAGTTTCGGCATTTGCCCAGGCCTCAAAATCCATGTCCTGCACCTGGAAATCTTTGTCGCATCTTGCCTCAACCTCACCGTTTGCATTCGACCGCCACCCCGCAGAACCTTCCTCCCCTATTCGCGCAACCTCGCTTGCCCAGAATCCCTCAAAGGATGGTATGAGTTCAGTGGAAGGGCTAATATGGGGACGAAAGTAATTGAATTCGAGGAGGGCCTGCCAAATCCCGACCGCGCGTTCCGTAAACCCAGAGTGCCACAGAAACAAGGTCAGGCGGAGAAGGACGTATATGGAACTAGTGTCTCTCGAGTCAGATGACTCGTTTCCTGCTTTTTCAAGGCATTGCTTGTAGATGCCCAAACAGGTCTCCAAACTGAATTTGACGGAATTTGTCTGGACAAAGTTCAGATAAAGCCGCCATAGGTCAAACGAGGCCTCGTCATCGAGGAAGGTTCGCCACCTAGATGCCTGTTTATCTGCATCCCAAATGCCCTTCCCTTCCTGCATGAGACCCAGGATCAGAGTATCCCGACCTTCGCGGCCTTTAACGCGTGACAGTGCTTGCTCGTACAGCGATATTTTGAGATCGACCACCGTTCTTGACGAGGGAGTAGCATAGCTGCGGGAACTGTGCGCGTCGCCAAATAGAACGGGCTGATACTCGATCAAAGCAAGCCATGCCGACACGTCCTCGGGTCGAATTTCCGTGGCTCTCAAGAGTTCGATATGGCGCTGATGGGCAGGATCCCTCTTGAACTCCTCGAAAGCGTCCTTGGAGGGTGAAAGTGCTTCACTGTCTAGGTCTGACTCACTGCTCTCGTCCACTCGCAAAAGGACATGTTCCAGTTCCGCCAACATCCGTCTCCTCTTCCTTGGATGCCCACTATCGAAGCTCAGAAAGTCCTTGCGTAGATCTGATTCGTTGCTCACTCCGGATGGAACGTTCTCCGCCGCATCATCTTCGGGAAGGTCCTCGAGTAGAGACTGTCTGCGGGACCTTCGTGTGGAATCAATATCGATATTTTCCACATCGAGTCGTGTATCTGAACGTGAAACTATTCGATAGTTCGGACCCAACCCGAGTAAGCCACCTTGACCGGCTGGTCGATAGCGCGGAATGGCATGCCGATCCAATGACCCATAAGTCAAGTTTTGCCGATCCCCTTTGCAGTCTTCCACGAACAAAGAAGATTCGTAGACTTCTGGACTATGAGAATGGAGTCTCATAGTCTGCTCTCGACCATCGACACGGATCAAAGGGCGGGATATGCCGCGAGGAATTCTCCGGTATTGAGAGCGGGGGTGGTGTGAGGAGGACATCATGCGCACAGAGAAACATAAGGTGAGGGAGAAAAGTCCATCACAGTTGAATAGTTGCACAATGCCAAGCACGGAAATCGCTTGGCTATCGCGCGTCACGTGGAGGAGGCTAGGGTCGGCGCAGGGCGCAGGGACGAGTACTCGGTACGAGGATCTTGATCAAAAAAGAGTCTCAATTTTTGTGATGGTTAATCGTGCATTTCGCACTGCTGACTCGAAAGAAGACGGTACCAAGGCACCAATGGCACCAGGTGGGATTCTACCGAAAGAGGATTTGGGGGCTTTCAAGGGTATTCCCAGCCTTCCGAGCAAGTGGGCGTGGTGGGCTGCCACAAGCATTGGTCTCGGCTATCGAGGGGCAGCTGGGGCAGGTGGGCAGCCAGTATTCCAACCACCCAACCACCCACCCATACACTAAGGTTCATGCCTAAAGCCCGCCAATCCCGTAGGGCAAGAGTTGCCTTTGGGGGGTCTAGTGTACGTCACTGTGCCCTCTAAGAATGCTTCTGTTGGCCCGGATGGCTTCCCCCCCGTACCCTACCTGGGTCCCTCAGGTCCCTTTACGATCAATTGCGTTCTCAATTATCGATGAAATGCTATTCCGGATACAGCGAGTCTTGCTATACCTCGACCTTGTGCCAGATCCATTTTATATCTTGCCTCAGCCGTCTTGTCATCTGGGACTTTGCGATTGCGGCTCACCGTCTTACATATTGTCAGGACACACTTCTCCCCCTTTATGGAACATGTACCCCGGTACTTGCCACTAGTCCTATGCTTTCGAAAAAATTCCTGGCGCATTTTCCCATTGACCCTCACACTCGCCACTACGTATCCCTCACGCGCTCCGCAAGACGTGTTCCACAATGGACATTGCGACTCCAAAGAGACCGAATCCTTCTGCCTTTGATGACCATGGCCCCCCGTCGAAGAGACTCAAGACGCTCCCCGAAGAGCCTGCGCAATACAGCGATGCGGTCCGTAAAAAGCTGGCATCGACGTCTCGAACAGGGCAGGCCTGCGACCGGTGTAAAGAGAGGAAGATGAAGTGTGACACAGACCCGGTGGCATGCCAGCCTTGTCGTCAGAAGGGTTTGCGGTGCTACACCACCGATCGTGTCACGGGGCAAGCACGAGAAAGAGGAGAATCGCATCGCGCCGAGAATGAGCTGCTGTTTTTGAGGGAACAGCTGGCCGCCTACCAGCGCAGATATGGCTCCCTGCAACGGTCTGACTCCAGTGGCATCGCGCCTATTGTCACTCCCAGGAGTTCAATCTCTCAATCCACAGCGCATTCTGTATCGCCTACGTCATCCAGACTTGATGCGAAATACATTGGCTGGCCTGCACCAGATCACTCCGAGGCTCTGTATTCTGGTCCGGTCAAGGGTACTGTGGTGGACATTATGGATGGTGTCATCGACATCGCAGACTGGGAATGTGAAATGATGGAAGACTATGCCACTGAGATTACGGGCAAATTCAACCTCTCGAGGACATCAATCATCAATACCATGTGTGGACTTCAACGTGTGGAGGACCCAAAACTGCCTCCGAAAGAAGAAGCTCTTCGTGATGCCAATCATTTTCTGGTCATCATGTCACAATACGTTCCGATCGTCCACCGACCCAGCTTCATGGTCCTAGTCAACAGATTCTATGATCAGCCGGATTCGTTGACTGTTGCTGAGCGGCTCCAGGTTCTGATTGTCTTCGCCATAATTGCCCATCAAACGGCGGTGAGAAACCATCTCCAATCTGCTGAGAAATTCGACGATTCCCATCGTTATCTACACTGCGCCCTGGGTGATTACCGTGAACTACTCCAGGACAGGTCCCTTGCATCTATGCAGGCAATGGCGCTGCTCATCGTCCACTTTCGGAACCTACCAAAACCTGGTATATCTTGGACCTATTGCCACCAAGTCCTAGTTCGCGCTATCGAACTGGAATACCATCGCGACCCGGATAAGATCCGACTCCCGGACGGCGAAAACGATCCACTGTCAAAGGAGCTCCGAAAAAGAGTCTTTCATTCAATACTCGGTGTCTGTGTGACGACAGGTTGTCGCGTTGGCTTACCGGCACCATGGCAATTCCAGCATATCGACATCCCTTTACCAAGGCCCATCAAAGACTCCGAGATATCCAAGACCGGATTCGCTTCGGAGTTGTCAGGTCAATGCGAGTTCTGGCCTTGTCTACACCTGGCAAAATTACTTCCCCTTCTCACCGAATTACACAACAACATCATAGCCGTCAGGAGACCTGCAGAAGAATACCTTCAAACCGTGGAAACACTTAACACGAAAATAGTCGCGTGGCGGCAGGATTGGGACGAGTCAACCAAAAACGAGCCAAAGCATGTCAATCTAAGTGTCGCGACCCTACTATTCGAGACGTGGGCTGCCGAGTATCAGCTAAACTTACATCATCCAGTATGCTGCACGAGTGACGACCCTGAGGTGATGGAACGGCATCTGGACATCTGCCACAAATCCGCCAAACGTCTATTGCAAAGCTTTCACCGATTGTCGGGCAGGTACAAAGGCGTGGACTTCACTTGGCATTCCACGCTGGCATATGCGACTGGGTTTGGCATCACCCTGTATGTCTACAACAGGAAAAAAGGGTCGGTTACCGCTGAGCAATTCGAGGCAATGCGGAATGAGCTAAAAGGCTGGACATCGTTGATGGCGTATGCAGACCTTGTCCTGAGTAAGTTTATGCTGTCTCTGACAAGTCTGTCTCACTAACGTTGTATATAGGAACCGGCAACCACTTGCAGAGACAATTTCAGCCTCGTGTGCAAGCTCTTGAAGATGAATGCCGAAGGATTTTGCTCGAGCAACCTCCCAAAGGTCATAATTCTCGCAGTCCAATAAGTCCAGTCAACCATTCCATCGTGGGAGGCACCGTGAAAGTCGAGCAGGCAAATGCGCTCCCGTTCCAAGAACATCCCAGCCCAAACGCGACGATGCACAGGAGCAATCCTCCGCAACCAATGTTCATGCCTCAAGGAATTCCCCAAAACCACCCAACTTCTCCCTTGGCTCATCAACAGACTCAGCGGCAATGGGCTGGCACATTCTCTTTCCTGCCGCAGCCTCCAACGGCAGGACATGCGCCCGAGCAAGGGCCAGGTGTCACGTCGCCCATATTTACAACTTTTGCACACTCTCCGATTACTGGACTCTCCACGTCTGCGTCCATGCCGGCCATTCCCACATCTTTGGCATCCCTGCTTAATGATTCGGGAAATCTCTACATGCATTTCTCTCCACCGCATCATCATCATCACAACAGTCTTGGGGTAGGGGTTGGCGGAGGGGGTGATTCACAGATGCACTACTCACCAGACCATTACTTTGACGGCCCAGGACTGGGGTGGCCGCTGATTAGTATGCCACCAGGTCAACAGTCATGATGGACACAATACAAGTAGTCTGTCTGGTCGAGTCCATATTTTCTGAAGATTTCAGCCGCTTGTTAAGAGAAGGTCAGAGGTGGTAATGCTAACCCCATCACCTTCGGGGTTCTCCAGTGAAAGCGAGTTGATCCTAAGGTTTCCTGCCTCTGGGACATCCTTGCATAGGCGCTTCCGAGAGCCGAAGCATGGGCCTGCAACAAATACCCTGTTGGAAGCCTATCAATGGCTGAACCAGCCTTGTCCACTAGCCAGAGACAGTATAGGAAGCTTAGATGTGATCTTTGTCAGCGCGTCCCTCAGACTTCAATCTCCGGTTCTAGACACAAAGACGGACAGTGGTGTGGCTATTCGCGGAGAGGTCTTAATACATTGTGCTGCCTAACGATCCCTGTCCTCATGAGACTCACCATCTGTAAAGGCGTGCCTGTACTACCCCCTCGTCGACACCTGGGATGCCAGCAAATTCGCAGCCGCCTGAACCAAGGACCAACCGGATCATGGGAAGCTCAGCTAAGCTCCGGCAACAGCACACCATTGTGCAAGGCAGATCACTAGCTAACGGACCCGCCGAAGTTGAGCTGAACCGCATACGGCTCGTGCGCGGCCTTATATACGACGAGTTTTCCTTGGAATTGCGGGGCGTCCTTATAGATGAGAATTCGTCTTCGTCTTGCATCTGACTTCCGCCTCCTGGTGGTTGAGGTCTGCCCTCGGTGCTGTGAGCAATTGATGATCCAATGACTGAGTTTCTGCTGCCAGTATGTTGCTCGCTCTCCCTTCAAACATCAAGTTCTTGCCCCCATCCAAGCGAGACAGACCTGTTCGGGAACAAGAGCTCGAGGGAGCTGAGATAAAAGCACACGCTGCCCGAATTTCGCATCAGAAAAGGAAATGGGAAAAATTGCAACAGCAGCTCCTCCAAAAAGAAGAGGTACATGAATATAATCCATCTCGTGTGAATAGTGGGCAACGGCCTAGCCATCGAGTCCAACCAAAGTATCACGAAATCGTCTTCCTCCTGGAAGGATCATCCGACCCGTTCAATGCGTGCCCGGTCAAAATCACACCCGAAGTCAACCGGATCATCACATACGCAAGGGATGTCATGCTTCCGAATATCTTCAGTCCCCCGTTTTTCCGACGACTGACGGTGGGCGGGCCCAAGACGGTCAACTACGAGAATTCTAATAGGGTCATTGGAGGGTCCAGCTTCCTTCACAGCATGAAGAGATTCCGAGACATGAACGAGGGTGCTGCTCTTGCATGGCTGTGCGGTCATATCCCTAACATAGTGCGACTCAATTCGAGTCAAACCATGCAGCAACTTACGACGGCGAGGCTGAAAATGCGCGCCAAAAGTCTCAGACTGCTGCGCGAAGGCCTCACCGACCACAGACAAACCTCAGTCGAGTCGCTGACTGCACTAAGATTACACATTCGCTGTTTGTTCGAGACAGAGTGCATGGCGGGGGATACGCTGGCAGCCAAGGCACATGTGGATTTTCTTTTGCGTCTTCCCGATCCTCTGACCGACGAGATGGAGCGTGTTCAGCACACGCTGGTCATGATGTTTGATGCCACCGAATTGGCATGCAAGAAGCTGGAGAGGACGGTTTTGCCCTTTGGAGAGTGGACTGCGAAAGCACACGCGAGACTATGGGCACTTGCTTGTCCTTACCTCCCGATCCCTCCGATTGGTATTCACAACGCGCATCCGTGCGTGGACATTCCCGACCACCGTGAAGCCATGGTACGACTGAGATATTGCTTGTGGATCGCCGAGTCTCCGTTGCCGTTCAAAACTTCTCAAGACCGGCTCAAGGCCGACATGATCTTTGCGTGGATTGCGACCAAGACTTTTCACGATCTGGGAAACCTGATGAATTTATACGTGGATATAATGGAGGAGAAGTTCATCTTCCAGTCAGAAGGCCAACGGCTGACGCAGGCGTGTATGGTTCTCACGCTGATCTATGAGAGCCGCAAACGGGTGCACGAAGCGACGATAGAGGATGGCGCCGATATACGCGAAGCTTCCTATGTCATTATGCCTCGACTGGCGCGTGACATGGCAACGGCGATGGAGATGCTCAGCCCGGCTGAGGTTGTCCACTATCAAGAAGCATACTTGTGGATGCTGTATGCTGGTGCCTTGTTTGAGCAACGCCAGAACAGCAAGACGCGCCGCGCCAATCCCAAGGTCAAAATCGAGACCACAGAGGAACCTTGGTTTATAACGACGCTGGTCAAGCACGCGGATCAGATGCACATCACAACTTGGGAACAAGCCAAAGCCGTCCTCGGGCGATTTGTGTATGATCCGCACTTGGAGCCAGACGGACACGAGTGGTTCGAGGGAGCTTTGCGTGAACAAGAGCCCATGAAGAGCGAAGACGACACCCAACAGCAAGAACAAGCAGAGACAGTTATACGCTGAGAGCGTCCTGCGTTAAACCGTTCTGCGGCTATGGATAGGCTTTGTGCCGTGGTCCGTATATTTGTAGAAAGGTGTGTACCGAGTATATGCACAGGTGAGGTCGGTGCAGGTTATCTCATAGTCAATACCAGACGATGATGATACATATCTATTACTGTTACCTTGAGCGATATCAGCCGCACTACTGTCAATTCCACACTTATATTCGAACACCAGACTTGATGATAACAGAGACCACAGTGTTGACGAACGTGACTGACTGATAGTGGCACTGTCTTGGATCAAGCGATAGTATAATAAATAATATACCAAGCAACTGAGTTGTATTTTGGATCCAACCTGAATAAGAAGATTGCCCTTGTCTTGTAGGATGTAAAAAGATTACAACATTCCTCTCTCTTCTGTAGAAAGAAAAACCTCCCAAAGCAAAAAAAAAGATATATGGTTTGATGAGGGTGGGACTCGAACCCACGAGGGATTTAACCCACAAGTACTCCGATCGTACCATTTTCGAAGCGTGAGCTCCAGGTGTACCTGAAACCTTTTGGCGGGGTTAGTATTATACCTCGCTAATGTGGTGGTGATTCTTCAGGATTCAACTCACTTGCGCCATAACCACTCGGCCTGAGGGAGATTTGTTAGCCTCCCAAGTTCTGTAATTCTGAAGGATAAGGTGTAAATTGCCACGTACCACCTCACCAGCACATTTTGAGGCAGATTTTGCGGGATAAAGTATATGATTCCCCGGTGTTGTTGGTGGGGGAAGGGATGGAGGGCCAAGAGGGGCACAGGATTACGTTCTGTGTGGTGAATAAGGCGAGTGATGGGATGGAGAGAGGGATGGATCATGCATGGTGTGGATAAGGCAGAGAGAGACATGGTGGGGGTTGATTACATCAGGCCTCGGCTTGTGCTCGACTCGTCGAGTGTCCAGAGCCCTGTCCCGAGTCAATCCAGGGACGCCCAAGTCAAGAACGAGTTTCTCCCTATCCGGCGCGCTGGTACCCGTCGATTTGTAACGTTCGGAGGACATCAGTGGAAATATAGTGGGTGGTATACAAGACGGAATAATGGATGCCAAAATTACTACCTCGTACTTAGTCAGTGCAATGCACATTAAAATAGCTCACTAATGAAGCTGTCTACCACCAGCCTCAAAGACGCACACGGCAGCCTTCTCAAACGCATACAAGGTACAAGTACAGATAGGTTGGTATGTGAGTGCAGAATCTTGAATCCCCTGGCTGGAATCCCTACCTCACCCGCAGAGAAACGACTTAGACCCTCGTAAACCATACTTTTCTAGGCTTCTGGTCCCTAACGGGCCGGGCGTTAAGGGCCCTGAAGACAGTTTCTAGGCGCCAATCAATGATGATCGTGGGTTTCAAGTACACAGTACCAGGGCATGCAGACTGCGCCAATCACCCGTCCGGCATTAAATAATTACTTAGATACTTCTTTCCTCGGAGATCCCATTGATCTGGTCCACAGATACGTTTCAGTCTTCCTTACTTCAAAGGCGGACAGTCCCCTTTCAAATCTGCTCCACAGCGACGGCATATCGCGACATCAGCCTCCGCGCCCTTCCAGATCTTCCTTGGCCTAGCTGTCTGTTGGGCCCAAGGCCGCCTTGTTGATACCTCACACCAAAGTGTTTGGGTATTTCTAACCCACCGTAAGCCACAACGACAGGACAGCATCAACCTTCGTCCATTGACTTCACGGCAACATGGTCCAACCCATCTTCGGTCTCCTTGACGCCAATCATCTCCCTTTTCTCCTCTGCGCCCTCGTCGGCCTCTATCTCACGATCAAACTCGTTCAGATCGTCCAGACCACAATCAGCGCTCGTCGTCGTTACAAAGAAATCCCCCAGTTGCCCCGTCATCCAGTATGGGGCCATTTGGTCAATATGGGCGAAAAGCTCAACCCGGCTCTCAAAAGGCATCCCGACTATGCCTTTGAAGAAATCTGGGAATCACTTGGCCGACCTCCAGCATACCTGATGGATCTGCTTCCCGTCGACACGGTCTTTTTGATTGTCGCAGATCCGGATATCGCGGAGCAAATCACCCAGCCTAATTCAGTCTTCAAATATTCTCTCCCAAAGAGCGATACCTTGATGTCCATGTATCGCCTGATTGGCTTGGAATCCCTGATCATTGCCGAAGGAGAGGAGTGGAAGGTCTTGCGAAGGCGGTTCAACAAGGGTTTCTCCCCACAACATCTGCATACGTTGGATGGATTGATTGTGTCCAAGACTCGCGATTTCATTGATCGGTTGAAACAGGCCGCCGCAAGTGGCGAAGCGTTCAGTCTCAAGGACTACTCACAGGATCTAACGACAGACATCATCACAACTGTCGCCATCGAGAAAGATTATCATGCTCAGACAACTCCAGACGGCGTGGGATCAAAAGGCCCCTTTGGTCTTCTCACGGCATCGAGGCTGCTTTCGAAGCTGGTGTACCCCATTGGCAGGGGATTCAACCCGCTGGTCTATTTTGATCCTATCAGACCAACGAAATCGTGGTTCTACGAGCAGGTGTTTAATCGCAACTTGGCTAAAGTCATCCGCGAGCAGCTCGCCGCGGAGCAGAAACAGGTGCAAGGGTCGGCCAAGTCTGGCGCAAACGACAACAGTCAGTCCAGATTGCAAAGGTCCATTACGCGCCTAGCCTTGTCAGGGCTGACCCCAGACGAGGCACTGATCCGCAACACCGTATCACAAATCAAGAGCTTTCTGTTCGCCGGGCAGGACACGACTGCCACTCTTATTCAATGGCTCTGCTTCGAGCTCTCCAAAGCTTCGTGGTCACCGTCCGCGGCAGCCATTCTCGAGAAACTGGTTGAAGAACATGATTCGGTCTTTGGCAAAGAGGGAGGCCCGTTCAACGCTCTGGACATCCTTGGCCGCACAGATGAAGATTCTCGTAAAGAGACCGAAGCCATTCTCGGCAGTCGCCTACCCTACACGACAGCCTTCATTAAGGAGACGTTGCGCCTACATCCCCCTGCATCTACGGCGCGACGGATCCCCGAAGTCTCGCCTGAAAATCCAACACCGGTAATGTTAAAACTGCGCACAACTAGTGGAGAGGAAAAAGAAGTTCAGGTCAATGGCGTAAGAATTTACGTCTGCGGATACCTGGTTCACCTGAACAAAAAGGTCTGGGGGGAAGATGCCGCGGTCTTTCGCCCTGACAGGTGGCTGGATGAAAAATACGTGGCGTCTTTACCAACCGGGGCGTGGCGGCCCTTTGAGCGTGGTCCGAGGAATTGTATCGGACAGGAGTTGGCAATGGTGGAGGCTAAGGTGGTGCTTTGTGCCGTGGCAAGAGGTTTCCAGTGGGAGAAAGTAGGTTATTCAGGGAAAACGCAGAAGGCAGATATGGAGAGACCGCGAGGGGATGGCAAGGATGATGGTGAACGGGAGGTATGGAGCGTTAATCAGGTCACGTCTGTGCCGGTGGATGGGATGACGATGAAGGTTCAGTTGCGGACGTGATGTTGTGTGAACAGACTGAGATTCATAGGGATGGCGTAGATGAAGCGAGACTTTCTAGTGAGTCATTTTCCAGCTTCGACTGATGTGCTTGACTTGAATGTCGTACTCGGGATGTGTGTGCAGGTGCGCAACATGGTAGCCTTGCTGGTCTCAGGCAACAAGGCTGAGAGTGGCTGCGTGGCTCGGGCCCGAATACTATTAGTCAGCCCGAGCGGGAGGGATCTACTTTCCTCCAGACCCCGGAGATCGCTGCAACGCGTCCCTCCGTCGGCGCGGACTTGGTTGTCAGAAGCCGATAGAGCATCAAGGATCTGCTTGACGATCATCCCAAGGAATCTTGCCCCCCAAATTTATCCTTTCATCAGCCAGTTGAATTGCATGGCCATCTAGGCACCGAGAATAACGACAGCCCAGAACCTCTTGTCGGTGTCCCTTGTCCCTCCTCGAAACTCACGCCATGGTCGCCACATGGCGCAGGCACCCAATCGAATTGCTGTGTCTGCCACCACTTGAGCCTGTGGCGTCCAATACTTCTGGCAACTTCGAGCTGCGTCGCCGCCATCGTCGCCTAAGCTTCTTGGAGGGTGTATGCGTAGGGAATGCGTTTGCCTAGGCGGCGGGGTAATCACAGCTCGAGGTAATGTTGCTATAAAGGATATTCCGACCTGTGCTGTGGCTTGCCATCTCTTCTATCATTATCATTTCTCACTCCTTTCCTGCATTATCTATCACTGAAGCAAGCAAGATGCCTCCCATCTACTACTTGAATCAACCACCTCATCCCTTCTGGGACTTTGTTGCAGGGATCGAAGATCACCCTTTCTTCGCCCAACAGCGCCGACCTGTCCCAGCGACTCCACCACTGCAGCCCCCTCGTCCAGGGGCCGAACAGTCTCAAGCGCGAGCACAGGCTTCTGCCTCTGCCTCTGCCCAAACCAGCGAGAAAGCCAAGGGCAAGCAATCCGAGACCAACGTCGACGACCCTCCCGAAGTCGACCCTTCAACTCTTCCATCCGAAGGTAAGAACGTGCCGTTCCGTGGCCGTGGCCGGTTCGGAAAAGCCTTCGAAGACAAGGACAACAAAGACAACGCCGAAGAAAGCAACAGTGGCCGTCGAGGTGGACGTGGCTGTCATGGCCATCATGCTGCCCACAACCCTTGGGCAGGACCGCCTCCATTCGCGCCCCATGCATTTGGTCCCCCTCCATTTGGGCCTCCTCCCTTCTTCTTTGGCCCTCATGGCCCCTTCGGTCAGCATGGCCCCCCGGGACACGAAGGTGCTGAAGGCCATGGTCCCCGTGCTGGGTTCCGCGGCCGCGGAGGTTTCCATAGAGGCCGTTGGGGACCACACCATCATCATGGACCTCACTCACGCTCACCACCTCGCGGCGGCCCCTTTGCCGATGGTCGAGCAGGTCAAGCACCCGGCTTCGACCTAGGCAATTTCCTGAACAACCTTGGTGAGCGTCTTGGGGTCGACTTGACCTCTGCCGCTGAAGGTCTGGGACTGCGATCCCCGCGCTCGACCGAGACCGACTTTGAGCCAAGAACCGATATCTTTGATACGGCTTCGGCCTACATCATCCACCTTTCTCTCCCTGGTGCCAAGAAATCCGACGTGGGCGTCGATTGGGATGGCGAGAAATCGGTCGTGCGTGTCGCTGGCGTTGTCCACCGTCCCGGTGTCGACGAAGAGATGATGTCACGCTTGGTCGTGGATGGTCGCAAGCGCGAAACCGGCGTCTTTGAGAAAACCATCCGCTTGGGAACGTCCAAAGACCCTGCCAACGTTGACGTCGAGGGCATCACCGCCAAGATGACAGACGGCGTTTTGATCATCCACGTGCCCAAGGTTGAGAAGACTTTTGAGAAGAAGGAAGTCCACGTCGGGGGCAGCTCGTCCCCCTCGCCCGTCCGGTTTGACGAGAGACCGGAGGACGCATACATGAACGAGAAAGACCTGTTATTTGATGCCGCCGACGACGAGGACAGGGACATGTACGACGCCGAACCTGCGGCTATCCCTCATCTTCAAAACAAGGCTCCCACAATCCAGCATTCTTATCCGGTGGATACCACAATGGGGGAGACGGCAGAAGCGAAAGAAAGGCGTCGTGAGGCTAAGGAGGAAGAAGCATGGCGAGACCGCGACGACCGCTCCGAGACGGTCGGGTGCGAGGCTCCCCACAACGAAACGACGGAGACCCTTCCTAGGTATGAGCCAGAGGATATCAACAGCCAAAGCCATGCTCAGGCTCAACAACAACACCAGCACCATGCCAGTGTCGATGAGGAGGACAACTTGAGCGACTGGGAGAAATCCGGCTCCGAGGACGAGGGCGAGTACGTCAAGATCAATGTCGACTAAGCCACTGCGTGTCACTAGGGCGTGGAGCATACCTTGGATTAGGATGTCATTCTTATTAAATACGATTCGATAGGGAGAGTTGCTTGCACACGTCTTGGGTAGTTATTGATAATTCATATGGTCGAACCAAAAAAACAAAAATACGGACACCATCCATCTACATATATATAGTTGAGAAAAAAAGAAAATGGAACTAAAAAAAGGAAGCGAGGGATAGCTAGGCTCTCGTTTTATCATCGTCTACACGTTTTACCTGTTCCATGCATTCCATCTAGTCATTCATTCCGGTCATTGATTCATCCCCTTTCCCTTTCCTTCCACTTCCACTTCCTTCCTTTGCCACCTTACTTAGGGTAGTCGCATCGCGGACGTGCAGATCCTCCAAAGCCATCCACGTCGGTGTCGGTATCGTAGTCGATTCTGATCTACAACCCAGCGCAGCAAGACCATTTTCAAAGTCAATGTCAAATTGCAGTGTCAATCTCAGTACTCGGTACATGGATCGATGGGGACGTCGACCCTCCTTCCGTATTTTCGTATTTTTCTATTTCCCTTTTTCCCACTAGTTCCTCTTCTTCTATGAAAAAGTCCCCTGTCCCGTCGCCTTCACTGGAGAGGAAGGGATCCAGATCAAATAAATTAGTGTAATAGTGGTTTTCTCGGAATCTTTCTTTCTTTCTTTTTTTTCTGTCTCACAAAACCAATCTCTTGTCTCACTCCCTCGCTCCCTCACTCGCTCACCAGTTCTAGTTCTAGTATCTGATACCGAGTTCATCTCTGCCTCTCCTCCTCCTCCTTCCACCCCTTTCTTCCGGGTTCACGGCTCTTCACTCCCCCAAAACCTCCTTAACCACCTCCGCAAACGTGACGTTCTCGCCATTGACCCACTGCGCACTGACCTCCTGATACGCGCCGTCCCAAAACATGGTCCCAGCCAGGTTCGGCAGGTCCATCGCCCTGACCCGCCCGAGGATCGACTTGTAGGTGGCGACGTCGACGTAGCCGGACCCGGCGCCGGGGAAGGCCGGGGTGCCAATGAGCAGACGCGGGGCGGTGATGCCGTTGTTGATGATGTGGAATGTGTTGACATCTCCACCTGGAGAGGTGGAAGAGGAGCCAGAAGGGGCGTCCCGAGCATCTAATTCGACAGATCTCTTGCTCCTCGCCCTTCGCTGGGTTGTCGGGGCAGTATTACCGGCGAGGACAAGGTCGTCGGACCAGGCCCGTAGCGAGTCGAAGAACCCCTCGCCCGCGCTGAGCTGGCACGACGGGTTATTGTAGAACTGCACACTAAAAAAATCAATGTCGTTGAGCAGGCTCGCCACGGGCACCGACGCATCGGGCCGCGGACACTGCGGCGCGGCTGAGAGGTAGTACGCCTTGGACGGGTCGGTAGCCATGAGTTGTCGTAGAGTCAAGACTAGGGTCGGGATGTGCGTAGCGGCAGAGGGCAATTCGTTGTCTATTTCACGGCACCATAAGATACTCGGTTAGTTTTGGAGACGTCGTCCAAATGGATCAAGGTTGGGGGTGGGGGAGAAAGAGAAAAACCGGAAGTGAAGAAGTGAGGAATGAGGAATGAGGATCAACGAGTCCACAACACACAAACAGCTAGAAGTCACCCCCAGGAGAGAAAGGATTTAGAAGGGCTAGAAGAAATAAAAAAAACTCACCAATATCAATCCCATCAAGAACCACATCCCCATACGGCCTCAGCGGGGTGAGGGTGGCATTCGCTGTCCCTCCTAAAAACAGGCCCCAAAGGGTATTGGCGACCTCGATGGCCTTGTCGTCGCTAGGCAGCGTGAGGTCTCCCACGGACCCGCCGAGGCTGAGAAGGACCTTCTTGCCCTGCCGCTGACACGTGGCGATCTTGCTGGCTAGGCCGTCGCCCACGCAGTCGAGCAGCTTCGTGGCTCCCACAGCCTGTTGGGCCGCGTTGGGCGCCCAGCAGTTCGAGGCCATGTTCATGGCCGGGTATCCCCCGCCGTCACCGCTGACGAGATGCGTGACGAAGGCCATGATGACTATGTCGACGGCCGGGTCGTTGCAGACCTGGGTCAGCGAGATGATTGGAGTCAGGTCCGTTTGCGAGTAGTAGACCACATTGAGGTCTGAGGCTTGTGGGTTAAACGTGGAGATGGACGTGGCAGTCGTCGAAGAGGAGGATGATGGGATCGAAATTGAGGGCGTAGAGGTGCTTGGGCTTGACGTCGCATAGCTCGTCAGCATGGTCGACGACGGAGGGGGAGAGTGAGGGTCGACATTGGTGATGGGCAAGATGGTGGGGTGTGGTTGTGACTGCGTGGACGTGGCGAGAGAAGGCGACAGTGTTGCAAGCGTGAACTGCGACGCAAGCAACTCGATCAGCTGTTCGATGGCGTTTCCAATCTCGCCCACTAACTCGTTCAGCTGTTCCGAAAAATCTTGTGAAGGATCCAGCCGCTGACTGCGAGCCAACGGTCTCCAATACCCAGCACGACCTGCTCGAAATATCACGTCTCTCCGTGACCGCGCCGCTCTGGACGGCGGAACATGCTGTGCATGTGACAGCTCGATGGCGTCCAAGGTGCTGCGCAGGCTGGCGGCGATACCTTCCCAGTCACCTATCGAGGTTGATGCGAGAACAGAACTGATACATAAAGCGACACAGAAGAGCAGAAATCTGTAAGAAAAAGCCACTGCCATTTTGATGTTGACGAAACGGTCTGACTGAAAGGACAGAAGCACGACTTGGACTTATACCTTCAAGAGACAAACATGGGCTGGCGGCTGGTTTGATCCGAGACACTACCATACCACAAGAGAGCTGGAGAAAAGGCATGTCAAGTTCAAGAATGATGCTCGGTGCTCGCGGGAAGGAATGTGGCGACCTGGATGCTGGTGGTTGTGTGTTTTGTCCATGCTCGATGGCATTCCAGACCATGACACCAGCACCAGCACCAGCGCCAGCGCCAGCCTCAGCACAATCACCATCACCATCACGCTCAGGTCAAGACGGGACGCTTCATTCTGTGTATACTGCGAGGGTTTCAGATCACCATCCAGTCATAGCCCGGTTGAAGAGACGGATGCAGATGCTGTCACCACTGAGAGTCAGACACAGATGAGAGGTTGGTATAGAGAGTATCGATGAATATTGCAACACTCCTGCTTTCACTCCTAGAGGAAAATAAGTCTGTGCATTACCTCACCAGTTTCCACCCAGCTTCCTGCAATATGGCAGCTGAGGCTCGGATTGCGCCCCCTTGCAGTTGGCATCATATTGGCACACCTCTTCTTGTTCCTGGCCACATTTGGAGAAACATCTCCCTTCGGTTAAGAGGTCCAACATCAATTGCCCTTTTGCACATAAATGCTCAACCTTCCGCAGAAGCAAGGAGATACTTGGTGGTTATCCCCTTGTCACTGCTAGTCGCCAATAACCGTCCAGCTCCCATACTGCAGCAATGCAAAGGCATGTGCCGCCGCGCAAACAGCGGCTGGCGCAGAGGATCAACTGCATCGATCGTTTTGTTTGCTGCTCATCGAGACTGCAATCGCCGTGAAGGTCATGGCGCTTTAATCAGCTATCTTGCTGGTGGCGCTAGACCATCTCAGAGACGACATTCTCCGTCGATCAGTGCCCCGAATTATCCCGGCTAAAATCTTCATCGAGTGATCAAATGCATATGTATGCGACGAAGCAGAACTTGTCGCTGCATCTTTAGCTTTCCGGCACTTTCCGTCCCTGCAAATGTGGAGTTAGCCCATCGTATAAAATAGTCCGTATATACTCCGACCATGCTTGTTGTGTGCCGGCGCTCTCTTTCGGTCCTAGCCAACAAATGAACCGTATGGTAGGATGTTTGAGTTAAAACCACTTCCGGCATTCGGCATTCTACCATACTTTTCGGGGCACGTCCTGTCAGCAGCTTGGACGCAAGACATATCCATGACTGCCCCTGCCCATAAGCTGAGAAGAGGCCGGTCTCCTCGCCACATTGATGCAGGTCAGGCCATCACCTCCAAGCGATAGCTACAGCAAAATAATTAGTCCATGTTCATCGCTGAAAGATTTACAGGGCTTGGATGCAGGTGCAAATCCTTCTGGAAGCAGGTACCCACCATTTGTCGCGTGTCCCCATCAAGCTGAAGGGCGCCGATTATTGCCCTGGTGGTCTGCCTCCATTGGGGCGTGAGACAGACGGAATTGGTGGCCGATCACGGGGAAGAATGGGACTGGCTGTTGGTTGACACTTCCTCACCATCCCTAGTCAGTCAGGCTTCTCTTCCGTCTTGTATTTTGCCAGCTAGAGAAATGTGCCGCATGAAGCATCCGAACTGTATATCAGCCTCGCACGTGACGGTCTTCAGGTGCGGCAGCCTTGTCGCTTGGGCCAGTGTTTTGTTGATGATGTTTGGCTGCACCAGTGGCAAGGGAGAGTCCCTGATTTCCTCCCAAGCCAAATCAGGCCCTGCTTTGGGCACCAGCGTTGAGTGAGGCAGAGGGCCAATTGCGGCCCAAGATACCTCGGGGAATTCCTGAGCACGTCCTGCCCCGTTTGTTGGCGCTCTATTTTGTGAAATGCCGAGAATCCTGGACACCAAAGACTTGCAAAGAAAGAGGAAGGCCTTCGATAGCGCCAATGTACCTCAAAGCGCCACGGGGATGCTAGGCATGGGTGCGAAGAAGGCAGCAGCCCCGAGCCGTGCCGAGTTCCACTGCGACATGGGCAGGGAGGAGTCAACCATTCAGTCGTGCTTTGACCAGCACGGACGCAGGACGCAGGACGCAGGAAGTGACTTGAACCACGACTGCTTTCGCAATGGCCCCGTCGGTACCCCCAGGTCGAAAGCCCATTGCGCGCAGGAGCTTCCCAGGTGGCCAGGACAAATCAGAGAGAGGGAAGGGCGCGCTTTGTGCGAGGAGCTGCAGAGGGCGAAGCATCTAGGTACTTAGGTACATTGGTGGGATCAGATGTACTCGCAAGTGGAAATTCAGACGGCGGAAGTGCGTCGATGAGTGGCGGTCTGTTTCGCACGAGTTCGCACATCAACGGCATCCCCTGTACCGTGTAGACTTGGGAGCCGACTGGAGAGGGTTTTGTGGTTGGAAGACGGTGGTGCAATTGGGCGGCTGCGGCGGTACGTACCTTAGAGATTCCTCCCCATCCTCGCCATCCTAGCCCACCATGAGGACAAGCCCCAACTCCAGGGACTGGAGACATGGTATTATATTTTCTGATACGGAAATCCTCCCAGAAAGGGTCTATTGCGGATCACTGCGTCAGTGCAGGGAAGGTCTCTTATGATCTGCTGGGGGTGAAACACCGTGTTACGTGGTCTAGAACCCTCGGTAGCCATGGGTCGAATATGGTTTCCTCTGGTGAATCTTCGGACATCACTACAGGGGTTTTGGAAGCGCTTCCCTCCTTGATGCCCAGGTATCCACTGACAGGAAGCGCAGGCATCCCTAGATCCCTCACCTGCAAGCCACGCCTCTTGTCGTCACATCTGAACATGCCTCTACACGGACCCTGCCAATCTTATCAGGGCGTTTTCCCAGTCATGCTCGAGACTACAGTTCCATATGCACGCAAAGGACCCTCAATGAGCGACGAGCGGAGTGCCGCAGGTGACGAATTGTGAGCATCCTAGCAAGCCTCGTTGCCAACTTGCAGCCTTGGTGAGGAGCCTACACAGAGTCTGCACAATTTATCGCGACAGGGAATCGGATCACATTTGTCTCCGCACTCTCATTATGCTGTCAACCCACCCCAAGACCCTCGCCTATGACTGTTGCACCAATGGCAACCTCACGACGTGATGCAGACACTAAGTCGTTCAAGGTGCAGACATCCTCCCCTCGACTCGACAAGAGAAAGATAATGTGGAGCCCTTGGACGGCGCGTGAGCTACGACGAGAAGACTCAAGAAAGGCAAAGGAGACTAGAATGGGCGTACGCTGGCGAGAGGATGCGAGCACAAGAGAAGGATTGTGGGCAACTTGCATTATGCTGTCCCACGCCAGCTGTAATAATACGAGCTCGACAAGTGGTTGAAAATTTGACCACTCATTCGTCTCCTGCGTCAAAAGTCAAGATCACGGAGATCAGAGGCTTGCCACGCCTGCGTGACACAGCAGCTAAGCCACCCACACCCCTCAGGCGTGGGCGGAAAGATGGAAATGTTTGAACTGCGTGCATTGGACTGCAATGTTACACGACATGAACACCCTCCATCGTTTATCAGGGACGTTGTGCGACAGAATAAGCTATCAACGCCTCTGTCACACAGCAGCTCCAGCTCCTGCATGAACAGACGAGAATACGAGGCTTGCAAAAAGCCGCAAGGGGATAGTTTCCGGGTCCAGAAGATGGGCAGACGACAATTGAAAGAGCCATATCGGGTGATAATGTGGCATCTACACATGTTATCTGCCGGTGGCAACCGCAAGAGGGGAGTGGGAGAAGAAATCGGGAGATTTCAATCCCTCAGAAATCCCTCTGGTTGTGAGTTCGCGCCGACCTGGTGTTATACGAGCCTTGTTATACAAGCCATGTAACTGCCAATCGAGAGGCCATCTTGGATTGACTCCAGGAGGCTCACGAGACAAGGAAAGGGAGTTTTGTTTTCGTAAGGAGTCCTTTTCTACCTGGAGTTTTCCACTCTTTCCAAGCTCTTGAACTCACACAGAAATGTGGAATTTCATAAGAGTCAAGCCAACATCCCTGGGAGAAAGGCTACCGCGTCTACAGGGATGGGGACTTTTGATGTTTCCGAAATAGGTTCGAGAGCCGATCGCCGCGGACAGTAACAACGGCAGCGAGTCAGTGAGTGACTGATTGACGAACGAGAAGGCGTCCAGGAGTGAAAGAAGAGAAGTTGAGTAAGAAGAGAATTCTGCTAGCTGCGTCGCAAACAAGACAGGCGCACACTCATTCACTTTCCCGCACTCTCGCACGCAAGAGCAGTTTTTCCATCACAGCTCAGGTGGTTTCATTATTATTATTGTTGTTGTTGTTGATGTTGTTGTTATCGCTGCTGTTCGGATAGACTTTCGGGGGTCTTTGGGCTTGGATTCCGATCCCACAAAGCGATCCTTGGTGGGACTGAGACTGGGACTGGGACCTGAAACTGGAACTGCCGGGCCGCCTGTGACACCTTGACACCAGCCAGGACAGAGATACGACGACAATCATAAATGCAAAGGCAAAGGCAAATGCAACCCTCCCCCTTCCCCTCCAACCCGATTGAATCATCCACGCAAATCCGTCGGATACATTTTCTGCGCTGCCGGGGTTTTTGTCTCCCATCATCCAATTGAAAAATTCAAGATACAGGAGGACCATACTGAAAACGACGACGAGCAGGAATCGATTATACGAAAACAGGATTCAATTTCAGTATTAGCCGCCCCAATTTTGGAATGGGAAAAACAAAAAGAAAAAAACTCGAGGAGATCTGTCTGTCTGTCTGTCTTCTGTCTGTCATTCGTCATGCTGTCCGTCATGTCCCGTCGCTCATACCCACAAAATATCCAGCTCGCTGTGCTTGCAGACCACGAAAAAAAGAAGAAGAGAAAATGAGTGATGAGAAAGCCCCTTCAATGCCCACCGCAAATCCGATCCCATTGCATTTCCATACCGTCATTCCAGACCACTGAAAGAAGGGTGGTCACAGTGTAAAAAAAGAATCAATCCGCC